TACTTACTTGTGCTTATTTGAATATGATATAAGCACATGTCTGTGCGGGGAAATAGTGTATTTTCACAACTGTAACGGAAGATAGATATACAGAAATACAGAAAGACATTGAAATGAATACTTTATTCCTCTGAACTTACTTGTGCTTATTGGAATATGATATAAGCACATGTCTGTGCGGGGGAATAGTCTTTTCTAAACTGCAACGGAGATAGGAAGTACAGAAAGACATCGAAATGCATACTTTATTCCTCTGTACTTACTTGTGCTCGTTTGAATATGATATGAGCACATGTCTGTGCGGGGAAATGGTCTATTTTCACAACTGTAACGGAAGAAAGATATACAGAAATACAGAAAATACAGAAAAACATCGAAATTAATACTTTATTCCTCTGTACTTACTTGTGCTTATTTGAAAATGATATAAGCACATGTCTGTGCGGGGAAGAAGCCTATTCTCAAATGCAATGGAGGAAAGAAAGATAACATAATGACATCGAAATGAATACTTTATTCCTCTGTACTTACCTGTGCTTATTTGAATATGATATAAGCACATGTCTGTGCGGGGAAATAGTCTTTTCTAAACTGCAAAGGAGATAGAAAGAACAGAAAGACATCGAAATGAATACTTTATTCCTCTGTACTTACTTGTGCTTATTTGAATATGATATAAGCACATGTCTGTGCGGGGGAATAGTCTTTTCTTAACTGTAACGGAGATAAGAAGTACGGAAAGACATCGAAATCAATACTTTATTCCGCTGTACTTACTTGTGCTTATTTTAATATGATATGTACACATGTCTCTGCGGGAAATAGTCTATTTTCACAACTGTAACGGAAGAAAGATATACAGAAACACAGAAAGACATCGAAATGAATACTTTATTCCTCTGTACTTACTTGTGCTTATTTGAATATGATATGAGCACATGTCTGTGCGGGGAAATAGTCTATTTTCACAACTGTAACGGAAGAAAGATATACAGAAATACAGAAAGACATCGAAATAAATACTTTATTCCTCTGTACTTACTTGTGCTTATTTGAATATGATATGAGCACATGTCTGTGCGGGATTGTCTATTCTAAACTGCAACCTAAGTAAATAAACAGAAAGACACCTTTATAAAAACTTTATTCCTCTGAACTTACCTGTGCTTATTTGAAATGGTATAAGCACATGTCTGTGCGGGGAAATAGTCTTTTCTTAACTGCATCGGAGAAAAGAAATACAAAGAAAATCGAAATGAATAAGGTTAGACAGACGTCGAAATGAATACTTTATCCTCTGAACTTACTTGTGCTTATTTTAATATGAGATGATCACATGTCTGTATGGGGAAAGTCTATTCTCAACTGTATACAGAAAGTCACCAAATTGAATATTTATTTGTCAGAACTTACTTGTGCTTATTTGGATACAATATAAGAACATGTCTGTGCGGGGGAAAGTCTTTTCTAAACAGCAACGGAGGTAGGCAATACAGAAAGACATCGAAATGAATGATTTCTTTCTCTAAACTTACGTGTGCTTATTTTAATATGGTATAAGCACGTACATGTCTGTAAGGGAAAATAATATATTCGAAAGTGCAACGGATGTAAGAAGTATAGTAAAAGGTCGAAATTTATACTTTATTCCGCAGAACTTACTTGTGCTTATTTTGATTAATAATATATGTCATATGTTGCGGTTAGGATCGGAATATCCGTCCCGAGGTGACCCGCCATTGGGGGGTAACGGGGTTTTGCCCTTGGGGGGGTGACCGAGGGACGGATATTCCGATCCAAAACCGAAACATATGCAGATATTTTTTTTGCATATTCTACCATATTCCATGTATTTTCAATTCTTTACTTTATTTTCAATGGAAAACTTATATCATTACAACCCTAACTACTTTCTTACAAAGCGTATGAATTACAAAAACATTCATAACGGTAAAATGACGTCATCTTTACCGTGCCATTGTACAGCACGCGACTCATCTGAAACCCCCCATGCCAGATGAAATTTCCGGCATGGGTAAAACTAACGGAAACGCCAGTCTGATATGCAAGAAATGATATGAGTACATGTCTGCACGTATGAGGAAATAGTCTTTCTCATATGTAACGGAAGTAAGAAATACAGAAAGTCATCAAAATGAATACTTATTCGTCTGAATTTACTTGTGCTTATTTGAATATGATATGAGCACATGTATTTGCGGGAAATTGTCTATTCTAAACTGCAACCTAAGTAATATACAGAAAGACATCGATATGAATATTTATTCCTCTGGGCTTACTTGTGCTTATTTGAATATGATATAAGCACATGTCTGTGCGGGGTAAATAGTCTATTCTATACTTAGCTTAGGATGTTAGCACATGTCTATTTTTCTTACGGAGGGAATACTGGAAAAGACGAAACAAAACAAATGTCGACAGAAAGAAATAAAAATAAAAACTTTATTGTCCTGGTTTTCCTAGTGCTGATTTCAATAAATTATTCGCACATGCATGTTTGTGCTGGGGAAAAATCTATTCTTATTTCCAACGGATGAAATACTGGTATCGATAGAGTACCGGTATATGAAAAAACGCGTTCTTGTCCTAAACTTACATGTGCTTATTTGAATAAATCAAAACACATATGAGCCGCGTCAAGACAAAACCAACATAGTGGGTTTGCGACCAGCATGGATCCAGACCAGCCTGCACATCCGCCGTCTGATCAGGATCCATGCTGTTAGCTATCAGTTTCTCTACTTGTTATAGGGTTTGTAAACGAACAGCATGGATCCTGATCAGATGCTGTTCGCAAACCAATTATGTTGGTTTTGTCGTGACGCGGCTCATATCATGTCTGTGTTCGGAAATAATCTTAAAATTATTGATTGCAACGGAGGAAACGATTGTACCAAAATGACATCAAAATAAATACTTTATAGCCCTAAACTTATTTATGCTGAACCGAATAAAACTTTAGCATATGTTTAAGCAGGATATTAAAATTTGTACTTGAAAGCCCTGTAGTTACTCGTGCTGAATTAAATAATATGTAAGCACGTGTTTATGCTGGGAAATAATCTATTAAGAGTAAAACGGACGGAATAAACAATAAAAAAAATATCTTATTGCCATGAACCTTATTTCTTGTGCTGAACATTAGCGAGAAATAATCGATTTTATACTGCAACGGAGGGATTACTGAATTGTACCGACAAAAAAATACTTTATTGCCTTTAAAATTACTGGTGCTGAGCACTTGTTCGAATAAAGTCGTGCGCACGAGATATTATGTCGTGCACACGAGTTACTAAGTGGTGCGCACTAATTATGTGGTGCGCACTATATTGCCGTGCGCACGAGATATAATGTCACGACAGCGAATCTCGCCTTGTGCAAATGGTTTCGCTTTCGTCGTGTGGTGCCATTAAGAATTTTGAACATTTTTATATTGTATGCAAAATGGACCAACAAGAAAGCACAGGTGTACAGCTGAATATTTGCATGCAAATGAACTGTGCAGCCGTGCTATGTTTATTTGTGACGCACACGCTACATAGCAACGCAAACACTTTAATCTCTCCTAGTATACATGTATCGAACATCTGCGATGCATAATTATGTACATGCATAATGTGTACATATTAGAGAATAGATCATATTTACAATTATAAAACCTATACAAAATTGATATATTTCTTTAATTAATCATCATTATCATGTTTCATTTTAAACACGACTTTTTATTTATCAATCCCTATGGTTATTAATTAAACATTCGGTCTTCATGCAGAGAACACCCGTGACTAAATGTCAAAAATGCCCCGCACATTCTATTTGAGAGGTTTTCTCAAATCTATATGCAAACTGAATTTTCTACTTGTCAAAGCCATTATATTTTTACACATTTAAATTTAAATTATATCGTATATTTAACTTAATAATGGATTGCAAGGTGATCGAGGTTGGACGCTGTGACGCGTGCATGTTGTACGTACGTTATAGCACGGATTTATATTACAATATAAATCCGTGGTTATAGAACTTGAGAAAGATTTTTTCTTTTACCCTCCTCTGTCATAGATCTACTAATTAAAAAAAATGCATTTGCATAATAAATTCTTCTATTAATATAGTTTTCCTTTAATAGATTGATACAAATAAATAAATAAAAAAAGAGAAAAAAACGACAACAACAAACAAGTTTTTTACGTACGTCGCCACGTGCTCGCGTTAGATATATATATCATGCCCCAGAAATTATTAAATTTACTCTTACTTAGAGAAAACAAACATGAGTTTTGTAACATTTTTAAAATGGCAGTTTAAAATCATGTGCACCAGTGCTTATTATTTGGAGAAAGTAGAACTGGAAGTAAAATAGTCATTATTGTAGTATTAAAATGTAAACAAAGTATAAAAACAACTACTTTGAAAATAGCTAGTAACTAGTACCCTATATTTTATAAAAAATTTTTCGTACAATTCCCAAATTTAAAGTTACCAAAATTGCAAACTGTAATAAACTAATGAATTGCAAAAAAATGGTTTGGGTTTTAATTAAGGGCCAAATTGTATAGGGGTTTTACGGGGCCTACCCCCAAAAAAAAAAAAATAAAAAAAAACCAATATCTGACCTATTGGGCCGCCTTATCTTAAAAGTGCCCCAAACTTTGACTGCACTGGATTTGATGGACAGGCTATTTCTGCATCGTCTGCCTCTTAAATTTATCTTTATTACATAAGAATGATCTAAAAATATTTGGAAAAGTCCTTAATTGCGTCAGAATGTGACCTTCATTCAAAATATTCTCGAATGAAATAAAAACAAATTCTTTTTTCATCATTTAATGGCGAAAAATAAAATTTCATGACTAAAAATACACATAACTAAAGTCTGCATATCTAGAACAAGATATTTTACTAATTATTTCGTTTTATTCTATGAAAATATACTGTGTTATCTCAACCGTAACGTAAATGTCACGTGAGCGTAGAGAATATCTACAGTAAGCTAAAAATAGAAACTGGGAATCGCAACACAACACACGTGTTCGACGTAAAGATCTGTCATGGCTGGAATTCCCGGATCCGAATCCGACGAAAGGAAGCACCAATCTACTCAGAAAAAGTCTGAAAATGAAAACCCAACGGACAGCAAAGATGCGGAATCGTTAAATGGCGACGGTAAGCTTTATTCTGTCTCTTTACGTAGTTTATTTTCGAAGGTCATGCACAGTTTGTTTTCAATCAGCTGAGTGGCTATTTTGCACATGTCAACTTATTTTTGACATTGTCATGTAGCTTTCTGAAATGCAAAGTGGTTAATTTGACAGTAGTTATCATCTTAAATTATCTTTGTGCATTGCATTCTGTTGAAAATTGAAACACAGGTCTGTAAATTGAAGCGTAAATGCCGATGATTTTGACAAGGTCATTTCCGACATGGAAGTCTCGTTGGGACTCTTATGAAACATTTTGCTTATGCAATATTGTTAAGTAATTGAAAACCGTTTTGTAAATGTGGCAAAAAAGTTAATTCACTATTGTTGTTGCCATTGTTGAGATTTTGTTTTGATTTATTCACTGGAATATTTATTTTACCAAGGTCACAAGGGTCAGAATTTAGATTGTTTTGGTGCATTTTCTTTACTGGTTGGGGACCCCCAAAAAAAAAAAAATTAAACCCACTGCCCCGAAAATGGCTTTATTTTAGTATTTTTCTTTGTTTAGTGGTTTGTCATCACTTTACAAAAAAAAATTTTTTTTTTATTAAGGAAATAAAATTTTTATTTTTAAATTTTTTTTTGGGCTTTAGGTTAAAAATTAAAGAAAAACTGTACGAAAAAAAAGTTCCAAAGTGTTGGTTGATGGTTCGACAGTAGACTTTCATGATTTCGATAATTTTATTGCTAAATCAAGGGGATTTTTGTTTCTTTCTGTTTTGGGCTTATTTTTGGGGGGGGGGTTCAAGGGTATAGATTTGCCTGGAAATTATTTGTCCCTTAACCGACCAAACAGTGAAATGTGTTGGGGAAAAGTGTTAAGTATACTGAAGTTTAGATATGTGAAGTATTATTGAAAATGCATAGTTTGTTTTTTCAAACCCCAGGAAGTTGTTCTGAAAATTTTATGAGGGTTTTTAGATATGATTTTTACATGTAAGTCAGGGATATTTTCCATCTCGTTTCTGCCCAATTTTAGTGCTTTTTACATTAAAATTTCCCAATTTAGATTTGTAGTTTTCCATTTAAAGTAAAAGTTTTTGCAATAAAAAAGCAGAAGTGAGGGGCATGAAATAACCTTTGACAGTCCCCCACCTGCTGGGTAATGTGTTTTGGTTTTGTGTTGGGGGCCAAAAAAATTTTTGGGTATGCTAAACTGCAGTGAGGATATTTAGTGTGATACGACTGACCATTACCGGGGTCTGGTAATCCCAAATGTGGAAAATTTCCCGCTTTCCATGAAGGTCCCGGGTTTTCCTAAATTGACTGATATTTTCATGTTTTAGGTCTTTGACGGGTTATCAAAAGAATATCATCAAAAACCCATACCCAATAAATTGAAATTTTTTATATTCAGATTACTTAGCTAATAAAATTGAGATTTTAAATTTGTCATTTAAAATAATTTTTCATTATAAGAAAACTTTTAACCCCTTTAATGCCAAGTGACTACGGACTCTTCCCATGTACCAGTGGAGAGCAAGTTTACTGTCACACTGGTGCTGTTTCTGACCATTTTCTGCATTTCCCCACTATTTGTCTGTACATATTATGAAATTTTTTCCCCATTTGGTAAAAATTTGATTTTTAAAAGTCGGGTTTAAAATGGACAAGTCCTTTGTAGGGAGAAGGGTTAATAAAGTTTTTTACATGGAATACTGCAGCATTAGTAATATATAGACCGCATGATTTTACAATTGGTTTAATCAATTATTTTGCCTGAGTAGCATAAATTGACAGATTTTGTATCTGTTTTTAAAAATAAGTTTCTTTTGAACAAGCCAACAAGCTCGTGTTACGGAGTTACGGGTTGTGATGGGCCACCAAAATGAAAGTTGCAAAGGTACATGTTTAACATTTTAATAGTGGGTTATCTAATTAAAAAAGTAAACAATAAATCTGGACCTGCACTGAATATTTAACTTTTGCTGATTTAAAAGAAAAAACTATAGAAGCTGCTTTTTTGATTATGTTTTGTTTTTTTTCACTTCTTTTCCTTTAATTGATTTTGGTTTTTAATTGCTTGGTATTGCCTTTTTTAAAAAATGACAATAATTAGATTACACCTTTTTAGCCTAAACCTGTTGCACAAAGTGACAGGGTGAGCTTTTGTGATTCGCTTTTTCGTCCAGGCGTCCGCCGTCCGGCGTCCGTGTCCGTCCGTAAACTTTTACTTTAAATGGACATCTCCTCATAAACACTTAAGCCAATTTTTAATCCAAACTTTCACAAGGAATGTTCCTTTGGGTGGTCCACCTTTAAAAATTGTTCAAAGAAAATTTAATTCCATGCAAGAACTCTGGTTGCCATGCAACCGAAAGAAAGAAACTTTAAATATTCTTTCTTTTTAAAAAACCAATAAGGGGAGCTAGAGGCTTAGGGGATATTCTGGCATGAAAACATCTTTCTATGGGTGGATGTCTACAAGTTTTGGCTTTCAAATATAAAAAGCCCTTGGGGTCAAAAATTTGGCCCCGCCCCCCGGGGGGTCATTGATTTTTCCCTATATGCATATAGTAAAAACCTTTAAAAGATCTTCTTTAAAGAAAACTCAAAAGTAGCTATGGCTAAGATATTGAGCATCATACATGTTCTAATAGTTGTCTACCAAGTTTGTTCAAATAAAAGCCCTGGGGTCAAAATTAGCCCCGCCCCTGGGGGTCATTGATTTTCCCGATATGCATATAGTAAAAACTTAAAAAATCTTCTTTTAAAGAACCAAAAGAGTTAGAGTTAAGATATTAAGCATGAAACATCTTTTAGTGAGTGTCTACAAAGTTTGTTCAAATAAAAGACCTGGGGTCAAAATTGGCCCGCCCTGGGGGTCATTGATTTTCTTTATATGTCATTTATGTGTATAGCAAAAACTTAAAATCATCTTTGAAAAACCCAAATAGCTAGGGTTTTAGATATTTAAGCATGAAAACATCTTCTAGTAAGTGTCTACAAAGGTTTGTTCAAAATAAAAAGGGCCTGGTGTGGTCAAAACTGGCCCGGCCCCAGGGGTGTCATTGTTTTTAACTATATGTGTATAGTGTAACTTAAAAAAAAATCTTCTTTTAAAGAGCCCAATGAGCTAGAGCTTAGATTGTTTAGCATGAAACATCTTCTTATGGGTGTCTACCAAGTTTGTGCAAATAAAAGCCCTTGGGTTAAATTGGCCTTGCAATGTTGGGGGGGGGGTTGGCAGGGGGGGGGCTATATACAGGTGAGCGACCTCAGGGCCATCATGGCCCTCTTGTTTCTAATTTTCTGTTTTTATGATTTTTCCCCAAATTTACTATGTTTTGAATCAACTTTGCTGTTTTTCTTTTATTTATTACAAAAATACCTAAACTTGTTGATTAATCCATATCACACCATGTACAATGTACCCTTAATAGACCTATCCATCTTGTGAATAATGATTTGGACATAACCATTTTTTGATCAGGACAAGACCATTCTTTATTTTTTAAGGGGAAATTTCTAAATATATAGTGGTTTGCATTAGTAGCATGGCTATATTCTGTTACTGCCAAAATAATCTTCTCTTTACATTTAATGGGAAGTTGTACAGATTGTTCCACCTTTAGCTTTAGATGAAGACTTACATAGTAATCTTTACAAATTTTACTATACAGTACAGCAAAACCCATTAGAGTATCACACCCGAATAAATAACACAAAACTGATTTCAGTGTAACTCAATATATAAGCTACAAAAATCTTAATTTATTAATGATCATCACAAGACAATTTACTTTTGATTCCAATATCAACATACATCTACATATGACTTTGATAACAGAATGAGACCGACAGATTTTCGGAGATATTCTTGGAATAAAATTACAACAATATATTACTAATTTTTATGCAGCTTTATTTAGAAACGATTAAGTTAATGTTAATTTTCAAAAATTATATAAATCAAGTGTCTTCTAATTAAAACGGCGGATGTGACAGGTTGACACTTAACTAAAATACATGTAAACAATGGATTATGAAGAAGAACGTACATGCACATCATGACAATTTTTAAAACTATACAAACCAAAATAAAGTTGGGAAAGTCAATTTTTTTGATGTAGCACATGTTATCAATGATTAAAATATTATGAAGATCGAAAACTCATTTTCCAATTGAAAAAAGAAAACACACAAACAAATATTTGGCACCTGAAATTAAATAAGAATGGCATGTTATCGGGGTATTTGATGCATTTAGAAACCATTTAAGATTAAGAAGTTTATAATAATTTAATTCATTTCTTAAAGAAGTATAAAAAAGTTGGGCCGTTATTATATGTGATTTTTTAAATCGCTTTTTTGTTTTGATAGAATTTCGGGTTCCTGTGGTTATTGCTACTGACCTAAATTAATCGGGATAAAAATAAACTTGAGAACTGGTGACGCTTACGGTAGTGATTTTTTTCTAATCAAATGTACCTTTCAACTTGTTCAGGGTAAATTGAAAAACAATAACCGTAAAAAATCATCTTTATTTTCGAATGGTAATCTAAAGAATTAAATTAAATATAAAATGAGATTGCACTTGCATTTATTTACACCAGCTAGACACCGACACGGAGTTACGCGGTAATTCTCTCACGGAGTCAAGCGCTTTTATTTTCGTCTCGGAGTCACTCTCATCACACGTTTCTCACGCGGAGTCACTCGTTTTTATGGACAAATACTCTCGCGGAGTTGCGAGTGTTTTCCTCGATCCTCGGAGGATTTTGCATATTCCTCGATATCTGTACTGTATCTATTTTGTTATCTCAAGAAGTCTGCTGAGAAAGTGCAGACTAAATAACCTATGACACCATAAAATATGAATCTGCCTTGCTTCCTTTGTTTAAACCTGATAAGATTTACAGGTTTTCTGTAGAACAGCAGCACCTTAATGTCAAATAGCATGCCCTTCAACAATTCTGGTATAGTAGAATCTGATAAACCATTGGGCTTCTGTATGTCAGTTTGCTCCGAAATATGAGGAATGACAGTATATTTGTTGAGTATGTAAAATTCCTAATAAACGCCCCTCCCCTAATAAAGGCCCCCAGGCCTTTTGATAAGGAAAACAATCTACTCATCAGTGCTGAACTCATAATTAAAGCCATAAATTTATTGAAATCATTCGGAATTCAATTTATTTTATAGTAAACACAAATATGTATAATATGAACTTTAAAACATTAACACTTTTTAAAGTTATTTCCAACACTTGCTAACACTAAATGTATTTACAGTGATTTTGGATTTAGGAAAATGTGCATTGTAATAATAGCCCTACTTTTGGAAAATGTTTAGCCCCTGGTGGCGTTTAACATTTTATGGTACATTGATAATGTATTAATATTGAACCTGCAAGAGAAGACTGATCCTTCATAATTAGATTAGTAATAACAAAAAATTTTTGGGGGGTTGGGTTGGGGAATAAACTAAAAAAAAAGAGAGATAAAATTGGTTCCAGAACTTTCTATTCTCAACAGTTAGCTTATATTTTGACCTCTTGTGAAGGAGAGAAAATGCATTCAAACATTAACTGTCCTTATCCAAATTGTCATACTGCATTAATTTATTGCCAGATCTCGAAGTCCTAGACCCATTGACCTGAGGCTATCAGTAAAGTATGATAGACATGCCTTTACATGCTAAATATATATAATTCAACTTGTCCATCTTTCAGTCAGGAGAAGACTTTTTGTCATTTTTAGTGAAAATGTCAAAATATATACTGACTGTGCACAAATGTGCCGGCTCAGATCTTAAGACCTGCTGGTTTTGTGGGTAGCATTAAAAGCCATTTGTTGCTGACAGCAGGCTAAAATTTAATTAATTAAACAGGATCACAGACTTTTTGATAATCAAATAAACCAATAGTATATTTTCTTGGTTAAGTAAATTTTTTCATTGTCTTCAACACTTAGGGGGGATAATGGCCTGATGGTAAGGTGGATTCCTCTGTTTTTGGTGTACCAGTAAATACATGTAAGTTTGGGTCCTTGGACTTCCGTTGTGTGGTCACAACCACGTTTCCCCATACCACACCAAAACATGACACCAGTTCTGGTTAGTTCCAACAGGTGGGCTTTAAAACATGAGTTGCAAGAACTAAATTCAAAATCAATGTTGAGACTTACGAAAAAGTTGAGTGAGTTTAACTAGCTGTTAAACAGGCACTTCTAAGTTGTACATGTAGAAAGTCAAGATAGTATTTACATGTCAAATATTTCCCCTGTTTACAGGCCAGTCAGCTGATTTTCTCATTATGAAATTCGAGACGATACTGTGTTCCTTTGTTAGCTCTGCTAAAATTTGTTACTGTTTCCAACTGTTCACGCTCAATTTAGATAAATTAAGAATTTGTCCAAGTTTTGACATCATGAAATCATAGGGTCTCTTGAGCCCCTATGCTGATTACTGGCCCTCCTTTGAACCGTTAGACAGATAGAATTGAGCCTCGGTGATAACAACAAAATACATCTGTTTGTCGATTATCAAGATATCTAGTTCAATGGGTAATTCTTTAAAGACACAGGACATGGTGTATAGAAATTATCAGCGACAATCTTAATTGTAATACATACCTTGTTTACTTGGATAAATTTATTAGCGAAGAAGTGACTCAAATTTAAGGCGTGTGTTAACAGAAATATTGTTAAGTTATCATATAATTTTTTTTCTCTGACACTTATAAAGCATTTGTTTATATGGTTAAAAAAAATCTGATGTAAATCTTTCTAACGGGTGTATGAGTAAATTTAGAAATTGGTCTTGACGTGCATGAATTCGGGGGCTATCCAATGTAAGTTAAAGGGGTTTTCAATTTGATGTGTCAAAATGCTACAATTAAGGCCCCTTGTTGCCTTTAAGGGTTGAGGCATCAGAATTGCAGCTACGGTTTATCCTAGGGTGATGGTAAGAGGCGACTAAATGGAGTCAATTATTGGAGTCTATGTATCTCTTAGCTCCAGCAGGTGAGGTGGTTTTGACCCCCTGGTGTTGCTTTAAGTTAGTAACGTCCGCGATTAGCCAAAATCATCTTTCCTGTGTTGGCTCCATATAATCTAGGCAAAACAAAAGCTTCAAAATAAGAAAGAAATGAAGAAATGAAAGAAAGAAATGAAGAAATAAACCATGTCAAAACAAAAGCTTGTACAATTAGGACTGGTAGGTATAAAGTAAATAGTCGGGTCAGATTGCCTGGATTTGTTGGGTTACCTAGCTCTATACTGGTGACCCTAGCATTTAAAGTGTTATGTCCACTTAAAAATTAACAAAGAATACATATAGTTCTAAAATTAGTATGGTAAGTAAAACTTAAAACAGGATTGAAAAATTAGCCAGCAAAATTTTGTAATATTTTATAAGTGTATTAAAGACAATATTATAAAAGTGTAATAACAATACAATGTGACCTCATTTGTGTTATACAAAAATAGTGTAAAAGTGTGTGCTTAAGTGTTAGTGTTACGCTACAGGCGCGTCAATGATAAAAGAAATGCTTTTTATTGTAAACATTTTCATTTTATTTATGTGAAATTTATTTAACTTGTCATATGTGAAATTTATTTAACTTGTCGATAAAATTATATCATGCTCGCCAGAGTCTTGCATAGTATAATACCATTCAACTCGTTGAATACTATTAAATTCAGTATTGAACTTACACTTGTTTAATATCTTCTACTTTCTGACCTATATATTGAACTATTCCCACTTTCAGACCTTGGATATTAAAAGTTAAACGGGAGGTGAAATATCAGCATTTTATCAGGGAAATCTTTGTTGCGGCCCATGATTTGTAAGAGGATTAGAAAATGTTGAGCCAAGTTATATCATGTAAGCTGATCAAATGTCTCCATTACGATTGGACGGTTTTGATTTCTGAAGACTTTGTTTGGTGTTATACTTGTTGATACAGTATTACACAGTGGGGTCAGATTGTATTGTAAGGACCTCATGGTGAGAGGTGGAAACTTTGTGACTGCATCATGCTGGTTTCATTTATAAGATGCTCAACCAAAGTTACTTATAAATTGAAAAGAAGTAAAGTCACAACAAGTAAATGAGCCATTTTAGATGAGGTTGCAGTTTTTAAATAAGTGATGTAATTTTCCATTGATAAGGGAAAGCATTTTTAGGCAATGTAGATTGAGTGTTATTGAAAAGCAGTGCTTCATTTAAATTTTCAGAAGATGGAACTTAAATGCATATAAAGCAGATTTTGAAATGGAAAGACCAATCTACATACATAAATAAGTAGGGTTTTTCACTTTCATGACTTTTCCTAGGACTTTAGAGATTCTGACTGATGCCTAAATGCTATATCGATTGAGTGAAATACATAAATAAATATTTATTTGGTTTGAAATTGAAGTCTTTTCTACCTGGCATATTGGCTTAAGAAGTTGTGTCCATAGGAATTGGATGTAACATCCAGAATTTTATAAATGATTGGATATAGGTTTTTTTCTGATGGAAAACCTTATTAAATATTCTCAGCAAAATCTTGAAAATTCCAGATATATATTAAAGAAGGTTGTTCCTAACCAGTTATGAATCTGCATCTAATAATTTAGAATATAGAGTTCTGAATAAGCTTCATTCCTGAATAAAAGTGAACAGTTACTGTTAGGAGAGCGGTGGCCTGGTGGTAAAGGTGTCTGCCTCTCAACCCAGAGATCATGGGTTGGAGCCCTACTTGAAGTCACGACCGTGTCAGATTTCTCATATGGACCAACTGGTACTGGTTAGTTCCAGTAAGTGTACTTGAAAGTGATTGCTATAATAATTAGTTGCAAGAACTTGTTTCACAATCTGGCTAGAATAAATATGTTTAATCTAAAAATGAACAGTTTCACAGTTCTGCTATTTTTTCCCAATTTTTCATATGCTATTACTGGAATTTATAAAATTTGAAAGGCATTGGCTGCTGCAAAAATTGTGAAAAATAATCATTGAGTAATTTATATAACTGCATAGTGTTAAATACCATGTCACGTCTTAAGTTCATTGAAGGCATTGATAGCTAACAGGGTATATGTTTCAATATTGATATATAGTCCAGTATTGAATAGCATTTTTGGATTATCTTTGTAATTAATTACTCTACAACTGAATGGAAATACTACATTTATTTTACACGGTTCTGTTATACAGTTTAAAACAATTTGTTTAGTTACGCTGGTGGAAAATAGAATTTATGGAGGATACAGTGGTTTTTCTCACTTTATTGGAAAAGAGACGACTTTCTCACTTAATTGGGAAGGAGCCTTAGCCTCATGATATTGGGAAAAGTTATCGCTGTAATTGTACAATTTTGGAAGTAAAAAAGTTGGTTTTAGTTCAGATTTTTTGGGACAACTGCATGATTTTATTGTGCTCAAAAAGTATTTCACTTGTAGGCCTGAAAGTTTACAAGAATGTTGGTCAGCACGTGTACTTATGCACCTTGGGGTTTGCTAGTGGATTTATTCAGTATTTGTAAAGTTCTTGCCTTTTACTTAGTAAAAGATTTTTAGTTTTCAAAAAAATATTTGACTTAGAGTCATAAGATAACAGTGGCGCGGTGGGGGCACCCGTGTCCTATGGACACATTTCTAGTTTTAAAACAAAATTTTGATTGGGCTTTTATAGAATTATGTTTTATAAGATTTTATCAGAGTTTTTTGTTTTGTACAGTTGAAGTTGTTAGAATGAATGGTGAAACTGAGCACATGAATGGCGGCATGGAATCTCCGGATAAAGAAGTGAACGGAGAGAAAGAAGAACAAACAGATAAGGATGGAGAGAAGGAAGGTGAAGAAAACAAAGATCAAGAAGTGCTCTTGATACAGGACACTGGTTTTAATGTGACAATTACATGCCCAGGTGTGGAGGAATTTGAGCTACCAGTAAGTGTACTTTATTTATTGTATTACAAAAATTAACAGTTACACAGCTAAATTTGAATTTGGACAGATTTATTTTTTCAGTATGAATAATAAAATTAAAAAGCCAACACGAGGGCTTGGTCAGAGTGCATGGATGTGCAGGTTGAAATAACTAAAAAAAAATTTAAAAAAAACACCATAAAATTGTTTTTGTTTTTATTTGAAAATGAATAATTTTTACAAGTTCATGATTACTATTGACCACTGTCTATTTGTACATAGTTTATGAAGATTCTTAAATCTTTTAATTGAAAAATGACAGATCGAGCTGTTAAGAAGGTGTGAATTCTGAACTTTGATTCATATTTTGACATTGAAAAATATTTTCAGAGTAACTTGCCCTGTGGGATGAGTAGCTTCTAAATCCAATGTGCAAGCAACATTTTTCTACTCGTCCTGCATCGAGTTCTCTTAAATTCTACTCATAGTTACGAGCGGACGAATGGAATTTTAGATGTATGATAATTTGATTATTATTGCAGGTGAGTTCCATGGAGTTGGTACAAGAGATTCATCAGGTTCTGATGGACCGTGAAGATACGTGTCACAGGACATGTTTCTCTCTACAGCTAGACGGACAGACATTAGATAACTTTGCTGAATTAAAAAGCATTGAAGGGTTGAAAGAGGGTTCAGTTATCAAAGTTGTTGAAGGTATGTACAGTGTTCATGTATCGAGTGATTTGAATTTCATTTAAGTCTCCTTTTTTCGACACTGTAGATGTCATTTTGGCAATGTAAAAGTCATTTTGACTTTCTAGTTTTGTTGATTAAAGAAGGTCTTACATGCCCCTCCATCCATTGTCATTTATAAATGGCTTGAAACTTACTGAGAATTAATTTATAGGAAATAGTTGTAACTTGTGACTTGGGGAAAGTGTATTGCAAAGGAAATGAGAGCCTAATTTCTTACAAAGGTATACATTTTGGGAAAAATAATAAGTTTTGTTGAAATTTTCTGACTTAACCACTGCTTCAAAACTTTTTGACTTAACCACTGCTACAATTTACTGCCAGTACAAGATAACAAATTTAGTAAAACTTACTTATTTACTACTTACCTTTACAAATTTTGCTACAAAATAGAGAAAAAAAGGGGAATCTAAAGAGAACGTCAAAAAAACACTAAATTGAAATTGTTGCAGGCTTGATTTGATTGAGCAGTGTCTATTCTAGGAGGGGCGATGGGGGTTCACCCCTATTTTTGAGAATTCACCTATATTTTTGAGAGGAAGGGGGAAAATTTTACATAGACAAAGAAGGAAAAAGATCAACAAATGTAATAAATTCTCATTTTTCGATAAAAATCCCCCCTCTTTTTCGAATCCTAGAATAAACACTGTTGAGCCTGTTCATTGACTGTACTGGATATTGCAAGCTTACTCTCTTTTCAAGGACATAATACATGGTATACAAGAATAATTGTTGTTTATTGCAGAACCATACACAATACGCGAGGCACGTATACATTTGAGACATATCCGAGACTTGTTAAAGTCCGTCGACCCAGGAGATGCCTACGCTGGTGTGGATTGTAACTCGGTGTCCTTCCTCAATATAATCACCGCTGGAGATATCCTTGGTAAGAATTTTATGCCCCGACTGAATAGGGGGGTTTGGGGGATATAGATGTAGATGTGCTTGTGGCCTTGTGCCGTTTTGTAGACTTACAAAATATTGGAATGTTGGGGAATTCTTGTGTCCTATGGAATATTTTTAGTTTTCCTGTATTTCAAGGTCAAAATATTTCATAAGATACCTGTTGAAAAAAGCTGACATTTAATAATTAGTATATATTTGCGATATACTTGAATTATACTTGTGTTATTGAAGCAGTATTATCTGAACATTTTTTATGCAGTTATATTCAACCATTGAATTTAGGTTTGTTATTATTATCTGTTTTAAAAAGAGTGCAAGTTGTGATGGGTTATGTAATGGATAAGATAAACAATTCAATAAGAGATTCAGGGTCATGAAATTGATATGATTTATGAATTATTTTATACTTGCAGAAAAAAAACACAAAGACTCCTTGGATTGCACACCCCCTGACTATATCATGCCAGGTAGTAAAGAAAGACCGTTACTACCTCTACACCCAAATATCAAAGAACTAAAGGTAATTTTAGAACAGACTATAATTTGTATATTATTGGTTTCCCCATAGTGAAGAAGTCATTTGGAAAATAATATAATTCTAGAAGCAAGGTGTTGTATTGTTTTCCGTGTCAGATTCAAATGTTGAACATCATATTCCTGCACAGACCTGTCATGGAATGCTTAGAAGTATTATGTATGTCTTAAGATAACATTACTGCATTAACATTACTGTATGCAGTGTTTTTGCCGGTAATATTGTAAAAATCTGATTCAACTTTATACTTTATATGTTGTATTTCAGACTCCTCCTTGTTTGAAAGTTTTGACACTTAGTGGATGGAATCCCCCACCTGGAAACAGGAAACTGCATGGTATGTTGACCTTTATTAATTATTTCACATGCATCTCTGCCACAATCTCAGTATTTAAATATAATAGTATAAAAATCTTGTGTGCTCTGCTTGATTACCTTTTGATTTTGGACTCATTTAATACATTTCAAATGAGAATTAATTTTACTTGTAATTCATGTTTAATTTGATAAGTTGGTTTTAAATGAGCAACTTTTACATCAAAGTATTGTGAATTACTAAGTTTTTTGTATAATAAATAGCTATTTGTCTTTGTCAGTATGTAATTGTTTTGTGACATTAAGACATGTATTTATATTCTAGGAGATTTGATATATCTCTACGCAGTAACCTTAGAGGAGAAGAAATATCATATCACAGCATCAACCCGTGGATTCTATGTTAACCAGTATGTAATATTTCTGATTTTAATTCTACGTTTGTACGAGAGTTCAAGTTTTGTGTAGTTAAACAATTTGAATAATTTCGGATAATGGTATTTTCATATAATTATTTTATTATGTTTTCATATGTATATGAACCTTGACTCGTTACATGTTTTTCACTGACTTACTAATTAAAGTTGATACATCTTATTTCAGGTGCACGGAAGACATATTCAACCCTAAAGCTGCGGCACAGAAATTCTTGTCACATACATTGATAGAACTACTGAATCAAGTAAGTTAAGTATACCTTTTTTCATAGAACCAGTCCCAAGATTTCTATTATTTGTCATGCAGTTGTACAAATGGGACAGTTCAAAGTAAAAAAAAAGGTGTTTGGGTCGGTTAAATGGATAAGTAGACAGACAAAGTAAAAACTGTTTAAACAACTTTCTTTCTTTGATAAAAGATTTTATTTGTAAACTCTCGAGTATCTTCAAAAAGTATGAAAAAATTCATTTTCGTTCAGGTCATAAAACAAACATTGGTATTTATTTAAACATTCTTACTATTGATACGTTTTTCATTTTCAGTTGAGTCCTGCATTCAAACGTAATTTCTCAATGTTACTCAAGAAACGTGGACAGAAGCACCCGTTTGAGCGTGTACCCACTCCCTATCAGGTTTACACATGGATGGCACCACTCCAGGAACATACTGTTGACTACATTAGGGCAGAAGATGGTAGGTTAAATTACTAACATATTTTCTTTGAAACAAGCTGGAACAAACGGGCAATGTTACTGCTTAGGCTTTTTATATTCTTTGAAATTTCGCAGTGGAGAAGATAGTTGACGATTTTATCTCTGTTCCATTACACGTACAAACCGTTTCTGATGACATCTTTATTGAGGGCCGATATTCAGTGTGTTCTTTCCTTAGCCCTTTAATTTGTAAAGAGATTTTAGGTTGATAAGGTCAAGGTTAAGGTTATTGAGGCTAAAAATAGATTTTCCTACTTTTGATTATGTTGAAGGTTAATGTCTTAAACCATCAAGGTCAATGTCATTCTTGAAGGTCATTTTGATGATAAAAATTAGCTGATCAGCAGTACGTAGATAAAAAAAAACATTGTTGACTCATTTATTGTTAGGGTGTGCCTTTTCTGACAGCTTTGTTTATTATGTTGGTAAATATTGTGGACATTTTCATTTCCTTTACCCTGTAAAGGAATTGTTAGAACTATTATTAAAATAAAAATTATACAATCAGAATTTCTTAAAATAACCAGCATGAAATTCTTAAAAATAATATTTGTCGTGCAACAGTACTTGACAGTGTGATGAAAATTTTAATATTGTGTCATTGTAGCTTTTTCTACACGACTCGGGTATGAGGAACATATTCCTGGTCAAACAAGAGATTGGAATGAAGAGATACAAACAACGAGGGAACTCTCTCGTAAAGCCCTGCCAGAAAGGCTTATCAGAGAAAGAGCTATATTTAAGGTTAGTCTGCAATATACTTGTACTTTGAACTAATTATTTTACTTAAGAGATTTTTTTCTAAGTCTGTCATTGAGATGTATTATGAATTTGAAACTGAGGTTAGAGGTTGATGCTGAGGGTAGAGGTCGATGCTGAGGGTAGAGGTCAATAACTTCTAAGTGTAACTGATTAAGCTCAGCAATAATTGAAGAGCTGTTTAACATAAAAGGCATCCCTTGTTAATTTTAGCAGTCATTCCCATAAAGTCAAAACAGGTGAAGACATTGCCTGCAAATATAAATATCATTGACTTTTTTTACCTCAAAAACCATGCCGTTTGAATATTAAAATTTTGAAATGTAATGTGGGAGGGGGAAATAATCAAAATGTCTGGGAATTTCGGCCATATTTTGAGGATGACTTGTTACATTCATTTCAAAATGTAAATTGCATTCATTAACCAGGTTTTCCGAAGGAAAAAACTGGTTATTAGATTGAGGTATGTCGGCGGGCGGATGGACGGGCGGGCGGGCGTAAACAATTTCTTCTGTGCGCAACTCCTCCTACATTTCTCAACGGATTTTGACCAAACTTTCACAGAAGCTTTTTAATTAATTGCCTTAATTAAGTATATCATGATCTTATTTTAGGTACACAGTGATTTTGTTGCGGCAGCTACAAGAGGTGCTCAGTCCGTTATTGATGGTAATGTGATGGCAATCAATCCTGGAGATGAGGCCAAGTATGTTAACTTTTCAGACCTATCTCCCCCCTGATTTTGTGTAATGGACTGGTCCTGTTTTTAATTAGAAACTGTTCATTATTGAAATAGGTGTTGTTTGGTTCAGAATTTTAAGTATTCAAGATACTTTCGTTTGTTGGTTTTCTTGGACTGCATTGATTATCCTTATTTTGGAAGCTTAGACAGGTAGTATTTGCCAAAGGCGATATTTCTTTTGTAAAATCCTCGTAACTTTTTTAGACCTGAGTAAAGCTAGTGGATTAATACTTTACAAAATTTAACACTTTTACTTTATGTATTTCTCAATGGTCTTGTTGTATTTTTGTACTACAGGAATCAGATGTTTATATGGAACAACATCTTCTTCAGTCTTGGTTTTGATGTCAGGGATCATTATAAAGATTTTGGCGGAGATTTTGCTGCTTATGCTGCACCAGTAAGTTTCTAAATTGATGGGAAATTAAAATTTTGTTTGCTTTCAAAATTGAAGGAAGTTGAAAATTTGATATTTTGTTTGCTTTTGAAATTTGTTAAATATTGAAATTTTGTTTTGCTTTCAAAATTTGTTGGAAGTTGAAATTTTGTTTGGTTTAAAATTTTGTGGAAAGTTGAAATTTTGTGTTTGCTTCCAAACATGTAAAAAGTTTTGAATGTTTGTTATAGGGAAAATTTATGTCTGAAATCAAAAAAAAAAAGTTATGAATATGGATTGTTTTAAAAAATTGGAAAATTTGTGAGTTTATGTTTACTTTTAAAAATAGTGGAAGTTAAATAAAAAATTCTTTCAATCTTGAACTGCATAGTTTAGTATAAGAACTTCACAGAATTCTATAAATACTTGTAGGGGAATGACCTGCAAGGTGTGAGAGCCTATTTTAACACAGATATTGAGGGAATGTATACACTAGGTACAGTGGTCGTAGATTACCGTGGTTACAGAATTACAGCACAATCAATTATACCAGGTAATCACTTTTAAAACACATTTTCTTCATATTGTCCATGTTTTATATGTCTGCATATAAGATGAAATATTTTGTCAAATTTTATATGTGTGCATGTAAGGCAAAATATTTTGTCAACATATTCATGACTGCATGTGTAGGGGCCTTACAGCCTCGGAAGCCGATAGGTTATGGTGGCTGTCTTCAAACCACTTGCTTCTCACCGATGTGGGTTTGAATCCCAGAAGGAACTTTGGATTCTTTTATGTGAGGAATTTAGCTTATAAAAGGTTGGTGGTTCTACTTCAGTTCAGATTTAGGGCTTTGGGTGCATTTACAATTTGTGTGGAATCAAACCAGCATGTTATTTAAATATTTTATAAGTCATTTAATAACAAAGTGTTGTATTTTAATTATATTGTTCATGTATGTAAATTTGCATTAATTAAGAATACAGGTGCGTTGTTAAAATGTTAATTACATGTAATTGGGCTTTTGATTTGTACAGATGTGTTAATTGAAAGTAAATTTGTAATCAAAAGTAAATTTGTACAGATAAATACATATATTTATAATTGTCAATTTAAAATGATAAAATGTGAATTTGATTATAGTAATTTGGACATGAATATATTAATTTTATACAGGTATATTAGAGAGGGAGCAGGAGCAATCAGTGGTTTACGGTTCAATAGATTTTGGAAAAACTGTTGTCACAAATGATAAATACAAAGAATTGGTAAGATAATTGTCTCGGTGTTTACATATTATTTTCATAATATTTTCCAGTAATAATTTTTTATGCTCTTGCAGTGATGATTTTTGTAGGGCAGGCCTAGATATTAACTTTTGAATCAGGTTGTCCTGTCCGGCAAGTAGTTTTTAAAACTACTTGCCCTGACCTAAGACTTACTTGTCCTAACCTAAAAATGGTAAAAATGTATAAATATGAAAAGACAAACAAGCTCATACATTAATACTTCTTGTATTAGGTAATGTTTACATAAGGCAATAAACTGGACATATTGTTCATGAAATTGATTGTTAGTTAGACACAAAAGTAGTTTTTCTAAAACATCAGTTAATCAATCATCATCCAGGCTAATAACGACGAATTGATGTCAACAGCCGTAAACGAGTCTTCGTTGACTAAGTTCATAATGTTGTTAAATTAGATAAAACAATAAATCATTTTAAATGCAAAAACTTTATTTAACAATTATATTTAAAGATCAATACGATTATTTACATATTTTCAATGATATCTTTACATGCACACATCAAAATTTAAACGATAGCATGACCGTACAAAATTAGATATAATCTATTATTAGAATGGGGAATTACCTTACCGCGGCGCCTGCTCATATTTTTGCTTCCGTTTCCTATATCAACAAATGTACATGACCGTAGTATATTCACATAATTGATAATGATTCGTGGTGTATTTTTGTTTGACAGATGTTTATAAATGAAAAGATGTTTTTTTCTATTTATTTTGTACATGCATTTTGTCAATGTCACTTGCCCTGTCGGACAAGTGCTTTTCAAAATAACTTGCCCGGACCAAACTTTTAGTTGTCCCGGGCAGTCGGACAACCGTTAATGTCGAGCCCTGTAGGGGCAGTATTGTTTTGTCTGCAGTCAGGTTGTCTTTGTCTGCAAATGGACGACTTACCTTAGCTATGATTTTTTAATTCAACCATATGACAAATTGATATATGATCTTGACCTCGAAATGACCTTGAACTTTTATTTATGAAAGAAATTGTTATTATGGAATTAAATCACATGAAGTCCTTCTACAGCATGTCTTAAAATTAATTTTGTTCTCCTGATACATGTACATTTGAAAGGTTTAGATGCCTATTATTTTCTTGTATTACAATATATGTGTTATTTGTATTTCAGTTACAAAAATCTGCTAGTCAACTAAAAATAAGACCTCACAAGTGAGTCGACCTTTGCTTTTGATTTACATTCTTTAAAAGTTAAACTTTTAGCTGTTATATTAAACAGAAGAAAAATAATGAATAGTGATTTATTAAAATAATAAATTCAACTAAATTTTAATGTCAGTACATTATATCAACCAAGTCGTTATGGATCACACATTTTATATAAAAGAAATGGATTTTCTTTGTTGGGCATATTTATGCATGATATTAAGTAGTAAGGTTAGCAATACAAGTACATATATTAAATATTAAAGTTATCTATCACTTTTTAGCTCACCTGTCACAAAGTGACAGGGTGAGCTTTTGTGATCGCTTTTCGTCCGGCGTCCGTCCGTCCTGCGTCCGTCCGTCCGTCCGTAAACTTTTACTTTAAATGACATCTCCTCATTAACCACTAAGCCAATTTCATCCAAACTTCACAGGAATGTTCCTTTGGTGGTCACCTTTAAAAATTGTTCAAAGAATTTAATTCCATGCAAAACTCTGGTTGCCATGGCAACCGAAAGAAAAAACTTTAAATATCTTCTTTTAAAAAACCATAAGAGCTAGAGCTTAGATATTTGGCATGAAACATCTTCTAGTGAGTGTCTACCAAGTTTGTTCAAATAAAAGCCCTGGGGTCAAAATTGGCCCCGCCACGGGGGGTCATTGATTTTCCCTATATGCATATAGTAAAAAACTTAAAAAATCTTCTTTTAAAGAACCCAAAGAGCTAGAGCTAAGATATTTAGCATGAAAACATGTTCTAAAATGGGTGTCTTACCAAGTTTGTTCAAATAAAAGCCCTGGGGTGAAAAATTTGGCCCCGCCCGGGGTCATTTGATTTTTCCCTATATGCATATAGTAAAAACTTAAAAAATCTTCTTTTTAAAGAACTCAAATGAGCTAGAGCTTAAGATATTTGGCATGAAAACATCTTTCTAGTGAGTGTCTACCAAGTTTGTTCAAATAAAAGCCCCTGGGGTCAAAATTGGCCCCCAAGCCCCGGGGGTCATTGATTTTCCCTATATGCATATAGTTAAAAAAACTTAAAAAAATCTTCTTTTAAAGAACCCAAAGAGCTAGAGCTAAGATATTTAGCATGAAACATGTTCTCAAAATGGGTGTCTACCAAGTTTGTTCAAATAAAAGCCCTTGGGGTGAAAAATTGGCCCCGCCCGGGGTCATTGATTTTCCCTATATGCATATAGTAAAAACTTAAAAATCTTTTTCTTTTAAAGAACTCAAAGAGGCTAGAGCTTAGATATTTGGCATGAAACATCTTCTAGTGTGTTGTCTACCAAGTTTGTTCAAATAAAAGCCCTAGGGTCAAAATTGGCTCTGCCCCGGGGGTCATTGATTTTCCCTATATGCATATAGTAAAAAACTTAAAAAATCTTCTTTTAAAGAACCCAAAGAGCTAGAGCTAAGATATTTAGCATGAAACATGTTCTATTGGGGTGTCTACCAAGTTTGTTCAAAAATAAAACCCTTGGGGTGAAAAATTGGCCCCGCCCCGGGGGGGGTCATTGATTTTCCCTATATGCATATAGTAAAAACTTTAAAAAATCTTCTTTTAAAGAACTCAAAGAGCTATGGCTAAGATATTGAGCATCAAACATGTTCTAATAGGTGTCTACCAAAGTTTGTTCAAATACAAGCCCAGGGGTCAAAATTGGCCCCGCCCTGGGGGTCATTGATTTTTTCTTTATATGTGTTTAGCAAAAAACTTTAAAATCTTCTTTGAAAAAACCCAAATAGCTAGAGTTTAGATATTAAGCATGAAACATCTTCTAGTAAGTGTCTACAATGTTTGTTCAAATAAAAGCCCTGGGGTCAAAACTGGCCCGGCCCCAGGGGTGTCATTGTTTTAACTATATGTGTATAGTGAAAACTTTAAAAAAATCTTCTTTTAAAAAGCCCAATGAGCTAGAGCTTAAATGTTTAGCATGAAACATCTTCTTATGGGTGTCTACCAAGTTTGTGCAAATAAAAGCCCTTGGGTTAAATTGGCTCTGCAACCTTTGGGGGGGGGGGGGGGGGTTTTGGGGGGCCTATATACAGGTGAGCGACCTCAGGGCCATCATGGCCCTCTTGTTAAATCAACACAAGTCTTTCCAGATCATACTTTATCACAGGTATATAAATAGTTGTTTTGTTAATATAGGGTATTGAATGAGAAGGAGGAGGAAGTGGAGTTGTATTCATCTATAGAGTGTAAGGGAATTGTGGGTAACGATCAGAGACATTACGTTCTAGATCTGCTGAGGACGTTCCCTCCAGATGTTAACTTTTCTGAAGGTAGGTGAAATAAATGAGCCATGTCACGACAAAACCAACATAGTGCATTTGCAACCAGCATGGATCCAGACCAGCCTGCTCATCCGCGCAGTCTGATCAGGATCCATGCTGTTGGCTACAAACCCTATTACAAGTAGAGAAACTGATAGCTAACAGCATGGATCCTGATCAGATTGCGCAAATGCGCAGGCTGGTCTGGATCCATGCTGGTCGCGAACCCATTATGTTGGTTTTGTCATGACTCATGAGCATGCAGCCACTGTTTGAACAACTGGATTTGATGCATCTCATAGCTTCAGTAGGTGAGGTGGTTTTGACCCCAGGTGTTGCCTTAGGTTTGTAACACCTGGAGTTAGCCAGAATCATCTTTCATGTTTTGACGCCATGTGACATAAACTGTGTTTGTGGGCTTTTAAACCAAACCAGCAAACAAAGTTCAGGTTTTGTGTGCAACTACAAATCTTATTTATTAACAAGGATGTTTTCTTGAAACTTTAAAACATATCTTTGTAGCCTTGATAATACATGACATGACTTACCAGGGCCCATTACAAAAGCAACTAAGTGGCCGAATGGCCGAGTGGTTAACTAGTAATCTAATGATCGCTAGCCGCATTGGTTCAAACCCCGTCAGGGGCAAGTCTTGTTTCCTTGAGCAAGAAACTTTACACTCATGGCTCAGTACTGGTTGGTTTCACAGATTTGAAAGTGTGTATATAAGCTTATAGCTTCCTACACAATGGAACTAAAATAAATTATGTATAAACCAACAAAAGCAACTCAAATGTTCATGGTCATAGGTGACTGACCAAAGACCTGTAAAACTATTTCAATAGATTTTTTTACTGAATTTTGTTTGTATGTTTTTGATTACAGTTTCACCAGACGAGTTATCTAATGATATGAGAAATCATGGTTATCCTCTTAAACACAGACACAAATTATGTTGTCTTAGACAGGAACTTGTTGAAGCGTTTGTAGAGTAAGTAGTTTTTATCTATATTTGTATATATTTATATCTGGTTGTTGATTGATTAACCTGATTGAATTGACAGTGAGAAGCCTTTGCTGCCTATAAGGAAACAGGCTAGCCTTGCGCTCTCATGCAGTCTGACTAGGCCCTATACAGTTGATAGCACAATTTGATATCAAATTCCTTTAAATTTTCAATGTTTCGACTGTTAAAATTTCAAAAGCAGGGCAAATTCATTTCACAATTTCAGCAGGATATGAGCTAAGGTTTCTGTTTTCCAACCACTTGCCTATAACTGCTGTGAAATTTTTTTCTCTCTATAATTAACAACATGATATATATTGGGTATGATAGATTGTCTTTTTAGATTTTCTTTTCAAAATTGATATGTTTGAGCACTCTTTGTATTTCAGAAATCGTTACGTAGCATTTGTACGCACTGCGGCCTACCACTTTCAACAGATGCAGATACACAAAAAAGCCTCTCAGGACCTTGAAAAAGAATCAAAACTTAAGGTAATATAACACTTATGATGTCTACTTTCTTAATTTACCAATATTCTTGAAGGTCTACATGGACATGTTACTTTTAACATTACCATGTTATATCTCTGAATTGTCAACAAGTCATTTTAAAGCAACACACCCATATGCATGCTATTTCTTGAAAATATTTTAGAAATTCATTGAAAAGTCAAATATTGTGATGTAACCAAAAGGACCCCAGAAGATTAATAAGACTATCACACTTGCTTGTTTAGGGCTGCTGTCCCCACACCCCCGCTTTTGTACATGCTTATTTACAAAACTACAACAAAATTCAGAATAACGCATTGGAAAACAGAATAAGAGCAAAATAACAAAAATCGTTAACAAACTGTGTCAGCTAAACTAGATTTTATTTTCGGGTTGTTTTTGCAGGCAATCTCAGCAGCAACAAAGACGGTTGTTCCAGGTGAGAAGGAGAAATCTGATGATAAAGACATGGCCGAGGCTGAGACAGAGGAAGCTAAAAAAATTGTTGAGGCCCTTACTGACAAAGAAAATCAAACAGGTAATTAATTGAATCGATAAATATGAGAAGCTCCACTGATGTCCAAAAGACTATAAAGATAAATTTTGACAATCTTACATCAATCATTTGGGGCACGTAAAATGGATTGGTTTACAATGTTGAAGGATTATGTGTGAAAGCTATCCAGCTAGCTTACAGAAGGTGGGTGGTTCTACTCAGGTGCCTGTTTATGCCTGAAATAATGTACAGAGGGGCTCCTGAGGTCGTCCTCCAACATTAAAGCTGGAAAGTCGCCATATGACCTATACTGTGTTTGTGTGACATAAAATCCAACCAATCAAACAAAGATATCTTGTGTGTAACATACAGATGTTTGATTATTTCATGTATATAAATGACATTATATTTTACAGTTGAGGAAAGCAGTAAGGATATAGTCAAGAAGGCAGCTAAAGCTGTAGGATCTCTTAGTGAAACTGAGTTCAATCTGACCTTTAACCCCGATGTCTTTCAAGAACATGTCAAACATGCTGATCCTGAGGTACGTTCTCTTACAGTTCAAATGTCACTGTTCTTTAAATCTAGTATGATTTTATTTGAAAATTTGGTTTTTCTTTTAGTTTACCATGGTGTGTAATATGGTAATTGCTGTAAAATATTCTTCGTAATTTAAATATAAATAAAGTGAAGGTATGATTTCACCATAGTTTTAAGTTAGATCATTGTTAAATTGTTGTATTTTGCAAATAAAAGATCGTGCAAATTATCATATCAGTGATGAACATTGCCTTGATGACAACAATTCAATGAACTCACCGCACACACCCACTTATAAGATACAACCTCAGCTTCAACTTCTCAAGGGAGGTTTTAATGTACATCCTCATATAAGACTTTTTTTCCCCCTGAAAGAACTTAAACTTGATTCTGCCATGAAAAATAAGCCACAAAAATTCATCAGTTTATGTAAATATTTATTATGCATGAGTCATCCTTGCAGAAATGTGAAACAAGTTTGTTGTAACTTGATTTCAAGTTTAGCCTAGATATTATTTCAACCACTCTTAATGTCAAGTGTTTCCTTGAATTGACCAGCACTGGTGCTATATGATGAAGCGTGATTGTATGTGTTGTTGAGGTGCAGAGATCCTGGAACACTGAGTACCTTTACCCTTCAATTATGTCTGTGTAGATCAGCTATTGGTGTTTCTCGAAGTCTGATGATGTGGCTCATGATCTGTTAAAAGATGAGGTGATAATATACATGTATGCAGTGTTTATAAGAATTTTAAGAAATGAGCCGCATCACTACAAAACCAACATAGTGGGTTTGCGACCAGCATGGATCCAGACCAGTCTGCGCATCCGCGCAGTCTGATCAGGATCCATGCTGTTCGCTTACCAACTATATTACAAGTGGAGAAACTGACAGCGAATAGCATGGACCCTGATCAGACTGCGCGAATGCGCATGCTGGTTGCAAACCCACTATGTTGGTTTTGTCGTGACGCGGCTCAAATATGTCTCAATATGGTTTATATATTTTCAGTCTGCAGTATTACAGAAAGAGAGACAAGCAGTGAAAGAGGCTGCTGAGTTCCTAGTTCTGCACCAAATACCTACTCTTGTAAGTTGTTTTGTATATTTAAAGTCTTACCAATTAAAGATATTATTTTTGCTTAAATTTGATATTTGAAAATTGATATATTTATTAATAAAAACATTGTAAAAAAACAACAAAAAAACATTGGTCTTTATAAATGCGTTTCATAGGATAACTGTCATCTGCAACTAGAGATAATCTGATGAGAATAGTAAACATTTTAGGAATAAGTAAACTGCTGTATATAGAATACCAACCATAGCATTTGTGTAGTATTTAAGTATTAAACTGTAAAGGGGTATTACTATTTGTTACTATTTCCAGGTAAATGATTGCCTAGATCACTCATCTCCACCAATAGATGGCGCCACGTTGACAGAAGCAATGCACACTCGTGGTGTAAACATGCGCTACCTGGGCAAGCTTGCAGAGACTGTATCCAAATATAAATCTGTTTCTTATATCTATGTAAGTTTTAGTTATATTGACTTTTTCCCTAGTTTACTTTTTTACATGGAATAAAGATATTACATTTTTACATAGGATGAAAATTCACAGTTTAATGATCCTAGACATTTTATTTTAAAACAGTAGAAAAACACTGATAGGAGAAGTAAAATCTGTTGCAAACTGGCTAGAACCCACCAATGTAGGGTTAAAGATAAACCAAAAGTAAGGGAAAACTAAAATATTTAGCAGGTTTAGGAAAACAAACAAGTGAATATCAGGCATTTTATCACTGATTACACTGCTTGTGCAGAATGGTTACGCTCACTGACTTCAAGTCACTTGCTCCTTACAGCTGTGGGTTCAAATCCCATCAGGAACTTTGGATTCATTCATGCGAGGAAACTATACAGCTAGCTTATGGAAGGTTCCTGGTTTGACTTGGTTGATGGTTTAACTAATGATGGTTTAGCTGGCTTGTGTCTAAAATAATGCACAAAGGGGCATCTAAGATCTGCCTCCACCAGTAAAGCTAGAAAGTTACCATTTATCTTTTGGTGGCGGCATGACTTAAAGTCCAACAAACAAATAAACAAATACTGTTTTTATTTCACTGACATCATATTTTTTGTAGACTATATGTATTGCGGAGATGATCACACGTGCAGCCAAACATTTATACAAGATCCACATGCAGGGAATAGATCAGACAACACTATCTGCTGCTATCAGTCATTTCTTGAACTGCCTGGTTGGATCCTTCCCGACACCACACCCTGGAGTCTCAGTGGATGAGGTATGTAGCTTGGATATACCAACACTGGCCCCATCATTCATATATACATTTTGAAATCGAATAATGTAAATTCACTTGATTTTGTGGGGCATAAATTTTTGTAGTTTTGTCACAAAGGACATTTTCATTGGATCTTTAATTCATGGATTGTCTATGTTACTAAAAAGTTAAATGCATGTTATGTCATGGAAAATAATTTTATAGCAGACAAAATTAAATTTTTTATTGGATTTTCAAATTGTTGGATTATTCTATACACTATAATCATAAAAATTAGTCCCCCACAAATAATAATGATTTTGCAGTGTATGATAAGAGATGTAGGAAAACAAGATGCAGATACAATAAGTTCAAGTCTAGTTTTAGTTATTGATATCGTGGTAGTACTGTAAATAATATACCATCTTTGGACACCCACGGTCGTAACATTTACATTTATCAGCCTTCTGATTTTTTCCGATATCCAGTCGATTAGAAGGACAGCTATGTCGCTGGTCGCCACACAATTTCATGAGGGGATTAAAACAAATCAAAACACTCTTTCTAGACCATGTCCGGTATTACAGAAAAAATTGCAGCAACCAATTAAATTCAGCTGTAAAAAGTTCAATAATAAAAATATGAACAACTTCCAACAAAATAGCATAGAAAATTTACTGTTACAGATAGTGTTTACCTTTGCCTTTGAAGAATATAAATTTTGTTAAACTCGATTACATTGGTCAATATTTTATGCACCTGTTGCTGTGAATCCATACAACTCAATTAAACATTTATGTTTTCAGGGTAAAGGAACAAGAAAGAAAAATAAGAGACGTAACAAGGGTATAGCTATCAGTATAGATAACACAGAGTGGGTCAACGAAACACCAAAATCATTGTGGAAGAAAATCATTGACGAGGTTGACGAGTATTTCCACTACACACTAGAATGGTGAGATTTTGACAGCTCTAGTTAATTGATATTTAATATTACCCCTGACTATTTTTGTAAATGTTAATTTCCCATAGGCCAATAGGAGTGTGACTAAAAATGTGACTAAAAATTTTCACAGTGAAAATCTAAAAAATAAAAACCTATAGAAACAGTGTCCCAATAAAGTATATGTTCAGGAAAATAAGATAAATAACACATAGGTTTGTGAGTAACAAAACCTCATAAATATACTGTTAATCTCGGCCAAAGCCAAAATCATCAATTTATTTATTCAAGCAAATAAAAGTGTAACAAAATTGCATTTCTAAAAGATGCTTTATCCAACACAGCATGATAAATATGCTCGTTTAATCTTTCAAATCAAGTCTGTTCAATCAATATTTTAGGAAATATGTATTCAAGTTATAAATTTGAACAAAATGTTTTTTAGAATTTATTTCTCGTTTTCAGTGATTCGATTGACTCAGCAGTAGAGAAGTACGGAATACAGAAAGTGTCACTACTACGTTCATTCTGTCAATGTGTTGGTGTACAGATCTTGTTACGAGAGTATAACCTCGAGATTAGAAGTCGGGCAATCTTCGCTGAAGATGATATAGTCAATGTCTTTCCAGTTGTTAAACATATTCACCCCAGGGTAAGTGTTGTATATCGTTTGTGAAATAAAAATGCACAAAGGGGCACCTGAGGTCTTCCTTCACCAGTAAAACCAGCTGGAAGGTTCCCGTATGACCTATACTGTCGTGTGACTTTAACACTCAACCCTAAAAAAAAACAAAAAAAAAACATATTGTATGTAGCCATTGGTATACAGTATATCATGGTAGACGGTTTATTGTCAATGACAGATGGTGTATTAACCCATTTTTCCTTTCATGGTATTTATTTTGACTGATAAAAACGGTTCATCTAGAAACTGCTTGTATAAGTTATTATATGTTTGCCATTTCAAACTCCAAATGAGTGGGTTTTTTTTTCATGTTCAGTAATACTTTTAAATATGTTTAGTTTTATATTTTTGTTATTTCCAGGCATCAGATGCTTATCACTTTTTCTCAAGTGGTCAGTCTAAGATACAGCAAGGATCACTTAAGGAAGGATATGACCTGATATGTGAAGCTCTCAATCTTCTCAATAATGTGTACGGAGCCATGCATCCGGAGATTGCTGCCTGTCTACGTCTTCTCGCCAGATTGAATTATATCATGGGCGATTATCCAGAGGCGATGAGCTATCAGCAGAGAGCCGTGTTGATGAGTGAACGAGTGCTCGGAATTGATCATCCAAACACTATCACAGAATATGTAAGTTGCAACTCGGTCTATAGTAAGCTAGAATATGGAGGGTCCCTGGTTATGCTCCAGCTCAAATTGTGATTTTCAGCTTACAGGCACTTATTTGCAGTTGTATGTTATTCCTACACAATGATGAAATATAATGGTGTAGTTTTTGAAAATTTTAGAATCCATGTACTGTATAATATACAACTGTAATTCAGAAACATTGTATTATAAATGGTATCTTGTATCTTTTAGAAGCTAAATGTATAGTTTTTAAGTTGATATAAACATTTATACTTGCGTTTATTTCAGGCACATCTTGCGCTGTACTGTTTTGCTAATAATCAAGTGTCAAGTGCTCTACGTCTGATGTACAGAACACGGTACCTGGCTCTGCTTTGTCACGGTGAAAATCACCCGGAAACTGGTCTCATAGATGTAAGTATAAAGTTTTATCGCTTTTGTACTAGGAAATGAATCTGTTTTTGTCAGTTTCTCAACTATTTGTGGAGTTATGATGAGAAATACAATAAAATCGTGCATATACAGGGTAATCATGTGCCATGCAGATGAAATATAATATTTGTCTCGTCCAAATGACAAGGCTTTACTTTCTTGTAAAATATGTGTGTAAATTAAATATGTGATTTATTATTTCAGGTCTTACAGTAGTAATTAGTAGTTAGTTGCAGAGAAATTTGTAATTAATTATTATTGAATAGTTATCAGGTGGATCGACTGTCGAGATATGACAGAAGTAAATTGGAAAAACTTGCTTTAAGAAAAATAAATGATAAAGAAATAAGCAACTGTTATACTTATTTAAATTCAACTGATATTTACAGAGTAACATTGGATTGATATTACATGCTGTTGAGGAATATGATCGTTCTCTGACCTTCCTAGAACATGCCTTACAACTTTACCAAAGGTAATGATATATATGTCCTTTCTTTTTATTGTGATTAAAACCTGAATTTTGTATAATGAACCTGTCCTGCTTTGAACTATGGAACCATCCATTGTCAATGCAGGGGTTTGTTTTTACACAGGCTGGGGAAGCAGCCCTTCCCCTAATTTTTTGGGGGGAAGGGGGAATAATATGGTATTTTTGTATTAGGGTATGAAAAAACTTTGTCAGTTTAAATTTTTGGGGAAAACTGCATGATTCGAAAGAATTTTTTCTTGGGGAAGCTGCCCTCTAATGGCTCTTGCTGTAGAAGGGTAAAAAAGCCCTGCATTGTTGGGTTGATAAATACAGTAATTAAGAATCTAATACAATGTAATTAAAAGACCTGGTAAGACTACACAAGTGTAAGCTGGCCTGTCACTATACTGATGGCATAATGTGACATAGTGTTCAAAGGGTTGAACAGTTTTATCCTTGCTAAAGTGAGACTGAAACTTTCCAGTTTTCATAATGTTGAATACATCTAGAGCCAATAACTGTTTTATGTAGCGCCTCATACCATTTTGATAACTGATTTAGGAATAACATACCATGGTGTAAGTTTGCAGTTGTTCTGTACATTTGTAATTATTGGATTTCAAAATGAATAAATGTATGTCAGTAGAAATAAGATCCCCCAGAGATAGCTAAATGTTTCATTAATAGTTAAATTTTTTCTTTAGACACTTCCTAATGACAACCCTGATATAGTTAAAAACTGTGGCTTATACTTGTACAGAATTTTCTAGTTTTATGTTAATTTTCTAGATTTTATGGATCAAAGAGCTTGAAGGTTGCCATGAGTTACCATTTGGTTGCTAGGACACACTCTTGCCGCGGAGATTTCAGGGCAGCATTAAACAGTGAAAAGGAGGCATATACAATCTATAGACAAATGGTAATATACAAGAAGCTTGCAAAAAATTTTGAAATCCCATTTTTAGTGTCAGATGGACTTACTGTTAACTGAAAATGTTTTGATACATTAACCTAATTCATTTTTGAGTCAGTTAGTTTACAGAAAGTTTTATGTTTCTTTTTGTGTTTGAAGCTTGTGTGAGTACTTGTGCCAAAAAGGAATGCTCAGAGGCATATCCAAAGTTTGCCACTTATCTGTAGAGCCAAAAATTTGCCAAATGAACTTGACAGTGATGGTATGATTTGGAAAAAACAAACCATAGTGCATCAGTCTGTTATTATTATACTTCACATTTTCTCATGTGAAATTATAGAAATTGAAAAGTTGAATTGAATGAAAAATAATTTACTGATGCTCATGCATGCCACTTTGCTAGATTCACTTGGGGGAAAAATGTAACTATTCAAAACATACAAACAACACATGGCTTTTACCAACATAAGTTTACCATTTTTAGCTCACCTGTCACAAAGTGACAGGGTGAGCTTTTGTGATCGCTTTTCGTCCGGCGTCCGTAAACTTTTACTTTAAATGACATCTCCTCATAAACCGCTGAGCCAATTTCATCCAAACTTCACGGGAATGTTCCTTTGGTGGTCACCTTTAAAAATTGTTCAAAGAATTTAATTCCATGCAGAACTCTGGTTGCCATGGCAACTGATAGAAAAAACTTAAAATATCTTCTTTTAAAAAACCCAAAGAGGTAGAGCTTTGATATTTGGCATGAAACATCTTCTAGTGAGTGTCTTTCAAGTTTGTTCAAATAAAAGCCCTGGGGTCAAAATTGGCCCCGCCCCGGGGGTCATTGATTTTCCTTATATGCATATAGTAAAAACTTAAAAAATCTTTTTAAAGAACCCAAAGAGCTAGAGCTAAGAAATTAAGCATGAAACATCTTCTAATGGGTGTCTACCAAGTTTGTTCAAATAAAAGCCCTGGGGTCAAAATTGGCCCGGCCCCAGGGGGTCATTGATTTTCCCTATATGCATATAGTAAAAACTTATAAAATCTTCTTTTAAAGAACCCAAAGAGCTAGAGCTAAGATATTTAGCATGAAACATCTTCTAATGAGTGTCTATAAAGTTTGTTCAAATAAAAGCCCTGGGGTCTAAAAAGGCCCCGCCCCAGGGGGTCATTGATTTTCCCTATATGCATATAGTAAAAACTTATAAAATCTCCTTTTAAAGAACCCAAAGAGCTAGAGCTAAGATATTTAGCATGAACGATGTTCTAATGGGTGTCTACTAAATTTGTTTAAATAAGAGCCCTGGGGTCAAAATTGGCCCTGTCCCGGGGGTCATTGATTTTCCTTATATGTGTATTTCAAAAACTTTAAAAAAAATCTTCTTTGAAAAAACCCAAATAGCTAGAGTTTAGATACTAAGCATGAAACATCTTCTAGTGAGTGTCTACAAAGTTTGTTCAAATAAAAGCCCTTGGGTCAAAATTGGCCCCGCCCCGGGGGTCATTGATTTTATTTATGTGTATAGCAAAAACTTAAAAAATCTTCTTTGAAAAAACCCAAATAGCTAGAGTTTAGATATTAAGCATGAAACATCTTCTAGTGAGTGTCTACAAAGTTTGTTCAAATAAAAGCCCTTGGGTCAAAATTGGCCCCGCCCCGGGGGTCATTGATTTTATTTATGTGTATAGCAAAAACTTAAAAAATCTTCTTTGAAAAAACCCAAATAGCTAGAGTTTAGATATTAAGCATGAAACATCTTCCAGTTAGTGTCTTCAAAGTTTGTTCAAATAAAAGCCTTAGGGTCAAAATTGGCCCTTCCCCGGGGGACATTAATTTTCCTTATATGTGTATAGCAAAAACTTAAAAATCCTCTTTGAAAAAAAACAAATAGCTAGAGTTTAGATATTAAACATGAAACATCTTCTAGTGAATGTCTTCATAGTTTGTTCAAATTAAAGCCCTGGGGTCAAAACTGGCCCCGCCCTAGGGGTTTCATTGCTTTTAACTATATGTGTATAGTTAAAACTTAAAAAATCTTTTTTTTAAAAACTCAACGTGCTAGACCTTAGATGTTTAGCATGAAACATCTTCTTATAGGTAGACTAATGGGTATCTACCAAGTTTGTTCAAATAAAAGCCCTGATGTTTAAAATGGCCCCGCTCTGGGGGCCTATATACAGGTGAGCGACTTCAGGGCCATCATGGCCCTCTTGTTGGAAAATGCAAGCATCTTTGTATATACCATTGTAACGTTAGTAATGATGATGGTGTTATATATTTATATAGCTGGGAGAGGAGCATGAAAGAACAAAGGAAAGTGGCGAATGCCTCAAACATCTTACACAACAAGCCGTCGTCTTCCAGAAAAAAATGAATGAAATCGTAAAGGGAGAAAAAGTCACATCCCTGGCTGGTTTACAGGTGATTTATTTGCTATATTTTCAAGTTAAAGTAACATGAAAAGTAAGTGTGATGGCGTGGCCGAGTGGTGAAAGCGTCGGGCTAGCAATCTAAGAATTGCTGGCTGTGTAGGCTCAAACCCTGTCAGGGGCAAGCCATGGTTTTCACGAGCAAGTAACGTTACACTCATTGCTTAGTACAGGTTAGTTCCAGGAACAGATTCAAGAGTGTTTCAATAAGCTTATAGCTTCCAACACAATCAAACTAAATAGGTTTCAACTAAATTTAACTAAAAGTAAGGCGTTTAAATGGTGAAGTGGTGTTGATCACAAATATTGAAGCACTTGCGCTAGGTTCAGATGTGATGTAGCATGTGGTATCTAGAGTTTTTGATGCACCATTTGGGTTTAAATTACTCAGATTTTTGTTGGTTGTATCCAATATTCTTATATTGGAACAATAGGTGAAGGTTCAATTTTGCTTTGGACATGAACTTCTTCTAAGTGAGGAAGTTATCTGAGTTTGCTTTTTGAAAGGAAATTGGTTCTACTTGGGGGTCTTGTTGTAGCTTGTATTGTTGGATTATGATGCATATGGGATGTACCACTTCACAGATAAATCATGAAAGACAGTGTGACTTTGTAATGAATTGACTCATACATGCACATGTAAATTTCTTCAAGATGCATTTATATTCACAATCCTAACTTTGTATTTTATTGCACAGATTCAAACTCCGTCCATGCACAGTGTAATGGAGATGTTGAATGTAATCAATGGAATAGTTTTTGTACAAATTAGGTAAGTTTACTGAATTGTTTTAATGAATATTGAGAGAAAAGAATTAAACATTGTTACTGAATTAATCATACTGCCTGTTTGTTATCTTTATGTTCATTGGACCAACATTGTTTGAACATTATCTGTATTCAAGGCTACTGTAAATTTATGAAATAATATTTATTTTATCTAAGAAAGCAATTGTGCAAGGATTTTGTATTTCATAATTTGTTATATGGACTTTTAAAGGTTATATGGAGTCAGTTGTTATATATATATATATTTTTTATATATATATACCTCTTTGTTGCTTCAGTGACATAGAAATTGATTTGCAACAGTTTATATTACACCATGTAACCTTCCAAAATTTTATATAACATGATAACATATCCTAGGCCATATAATCTTACAACTAATAGGATACTATTAAATGGGTCATATAACCTGCCCACAAAAACTATGTAACTAATAGGATATTTACTGTGTCATATAACTTAACAAATATCTTTAGAATAACAGTTTTATAATTGCACAATTACTTTGGATAAAAAAAATTCAATGAATTGTCAATTGAATACATCCTTGAACAGTTATAAATTTTTGCCTTTTTTATCATTCTTTACAGTCCTGATGAAATTGAAAGGCTCAGAAAAGAAATCGGAAAGAAACCAGAACAAAAAGCGGGAGAAAAAGATTCAGAGAGTAAAGCTAGTGATAGTGGTAACGAATCTGACAATGTCAATTCCCCAGAAAAAGACGATCTTGCCAAAACTGAAAAACAGTTGATAAATGGCGAGGTACATGTGGAAGAAATCGCCGTCGGACATTGAAATCTGGAGGGATTATGATTTTGAAGTGATAAACTCCTGTATACATAGGCAAGCAAAGTGATCCATATGAAATAAAAAATTGATATAAATTGTGTGATATTGAAATTTTTAAGCGCTGTTTTGAGTTTTGGTAACTCTTCACTGTAATGAAAGAGAGATAAATATAGGTTGGTTTTTACTTTTGATGGTAACTCTCACAGACAAATGGCAGACGGTAACTGGCATAACAGTATCTGGAAGATACCTTTGTTCAGTTCTTGTGTATAGATGGATGAACTGGAAAAAAGTGCTTCATGTCATTGCTGCATTGTTGTTTTAGATTATCATTAGTGATACAAGTGGTGCTTTATTTAGAAACTAAAGAGACACACTTCCAGGACAGTCAAAAAGTATAAACTTTCAAATCCTCAAACTCAGAGAGAAAAAAAAGATATTTGAAGAGTTAAAGAAATGTAAGAAATTTTTGCAATCTGTGTAATGCCTTGCGTGTTTTATGTAAAAGAATTACTTTATTTAATCCTTAGTTTGCTGGTGTTTTACCCATGTGACAAGTGTAGACCAAGGTACACAGGGATATCCCTGCCGTCTGATCATTGACTGCACTGTTCACTATTTAGTGGTTACGTATTTTGAAATTTTCCCTTGAAAATGAAGAAATATTTTGAAATTTTCCTCTTTAAAATGAAGAAATATTTTGAATTTTTTCCTTAAATTTAAATGTTTTGAAAAAAGTTAAATTGTTCACTGGAAGTTAAATATTTTGAATATACTGCATATCTTTTAAGTTGAGCATGAACATACTTTTGGTGACCTATAATAGGAATGAAATATTGAACATTTTATGGTTATAATTTATTTACTGCGAGATCGTTGTAAAGGAATGCTGAGTTGAAAATAAAATCTCTGTTCTTACACCAAAACTTCACATATGTGAAAAAATAAGGGTTATTTTTATTTTACTCACAGATACCCATTTCTACTTTTTTATTTTTTTATTTTTATTTTTTTTTTGGTTACAACTTTAGATAAATGGACAATTAATATATATTAACTCTCCACAGGTATTTCCTGAAGTTATGACGATTTTACTATGTTCTTTAATGTCTTATAAATCTCATAACAGATATTTGATGGGTGTTCTTATTTAAGGTCTTTGAAATCTCATAATCATATTTCAGTTTTTGTTTGTGCTTTTTAACTCCTTCATTAAGGCACTTTAATTTCTTGCACTTCCTATTTTTTCTTGCATTGAAACAAGTTAGATCTATTATTTTTCTTGCATTAAAACAAGTGTATGTACATGTATGTTGATCAGGTACAAAAATAGTGTTGTCAACAGCTTCATAAATAAAGTTTGAGATTGATGTGCTGTTATGATGATACAATCCAAATACTACTGGTTCTTCGGTTTTATAAGTAAATATGGCAAAAATGATGTATTTTTATTTGGAATGCTCCTTAGTTTATTTTACTATCACTCATTCGGTCAAATCTTGTTTCGACATCTGGAATAGAATGTAAAACAGGAAACTTTATCCAGTTGGTTCAATACAAGAGTAATGTACTTGTTTCAGTTGGTAATCAAGCTTAGATATCTGTTAACTGAACTGAATCAAAATTTATTTTTTTCAAAACTGGCACTGGGCATAATTATAAATTCAACTAATGTGATAGTAAAAAGTAAAATAACTAACTGAGAATGTACAAGTTGCTCGGAATCTGTTTTTCTTTAGGTGATTAGTCTTTTATAATGATATGCCATGAAGATATTCTTAAAAGTTTGAACCATATAGTAATTGTTGTACTTTTCTAGTAAAACTAGAGCAGTAAGTGTGGTATAAAAGTGCTTATAATTATTATGTTCTGATTTTGTTGTTGTTTACTTTTGTGGGTGAAAACCATAGAACAAAACCGTAGATAAGGAAACATTGTTAATATACTGGTGGAGTGAATTGTGTAGATACCTGTATCCTCTCCCAGCATGTATATCTATGTACATGTATATATGTGTTGTGTTTAGAGTATAGATCATTCCATATGTGTTGCATGTATAGTAGTGTTGACAGCTACACACATATTTATATAACTTTGCCTTCAATATATGCTGGCAATAAGAAAAAAAACATAAAAGTACTGGGCTGTTGTTAAGTTGTGCAGGTATAATATTTGTAAACAGGTCTTATTTTTTCAGTACAGACTCAATCAAACAAAGTCTGCAATTTTCATGTAATTTTGTTGTGATTAATGCTTCCAAGGGGTCATGTCACGTTGTACCCAGATTTTTTATCTTACCATTAGTTTTAAAAGTCATATAGGGACATGAGTTTTAATATGTTCTAAAAGTAAAGGTTGAGTGGTATTAGGGTCTCCAACTTCAAATCACTTACCTCCTCACCCTTTTGGTTTCAAATCCTGTTTGGGACTTTGGGTTTTTGATTCTGTCAGGTGAGGAAATTCTGTCAGGTGAGGAAGCTATCTAGTTAGCTTACAGAAGGTCCTTGGTTCAACTTGGGTGCCCATTCTTCTCTGAAATAATGCATGGAAGGACACCTAAGCTTTTAAAATCTGAAAATTGAACAAGTCTGTTCAGAAATTTCTGCAAGTAATTGAAGCCCAGTACAAAAAAAAAGTAAGAAAGGAAAAAAAAAATTTGCAAAAAAATAAATAAATAAAAAAATGGTAAAAAAAGAAAGGTAAATGATTTATCTTATTATTTCTATGAAATCTAGAAAAATAGCCAAAAATATGAAATATTTAGTGAATATATAGAATATATCTCACTAGTGAGGTAGTTTTCATATACATGTATATATGTCTTTTTTCCAAGTATTCATACTTCATTAAATCAAACAAATTTTCTTTTTGAAATTATACTGTACCTAATGATGAAATATGAAAAATCTCACACTGTCAACAGTGGATGATATCAATTTTATCAAATCACTATGTATCACATATATAATAAAATCATAGAAATCTTTACTTCATCATCATGTAAATGGATTTTACATGCATTAATGTTTCTGACGAAGTAAATTGTTTTAGTTTCATGTCTTGTTTTTGTTTGTTTTTTGATATATATAGACATTAGTTGATATCATAAGAGTTTCTTTTGTCATGTTACTTTTTTTGATACTTGTAAATAAAATATATAAATGTTTATGAACAAGACTTGGTGTATATAAGTGTTTTATAATGTCTTAACCCCACCCCCATATAGTCATAATGTCAAGTTACCCCAAGGATAAACGTGCATGCTTGTGAGTAATGAAGAAATTAAATTTTTATTTCGTACACTTGTTGAATTTGAACTTGTTTAACACTGGGTATTTGATGGTAACGCTGGGTATTTGATTATTATGTTAGTTCGTAGCTCAATATATAGACTTTGCTGTGATAGATATTGTGACTTAGATATCCCAGGGTCCAAGATTATTAAACAAATTTTTTTATCTCAAACTAGGATTTCAGGCATTTGATTGGTCGAAAACCAGCACAGAATTTACTGTAACCAATGAAATTCCCGAGATTCAAGCGAGAGGTTATGAAAAGTTTATAATCTTGAGACTGCAACTTGTAGTATTGTGATTGCAAGAAAGTAACTGTCACGGAAAACTTGCATGTGTTTTTAGGTAGATCTCAATATTCGGTTTTCATTTCAGAGAATAAATATAGATTGTATAAAGTTAATGATTTGAGGTAAATAGGTCTATGAATCATGTGTAATGTTTAAAAAGAAAAATTCATGATGGTAAATAAAAAATATTTAGTTCCTAAATTTTAAGTCTATGTGACCAACATATTTCATAGACTTTGTTTTATATGCGCTTTGGAAGAAATAGTCGAAATCGTGAAATTTATAGTTACATTTTGGAAATAAAGCAAGCAAAGAAATGTTGTTGTTTTTTTTAAGGAAAGAAGTCTGATCCGTGTATATCATTGTAAACATTACATAATTAAGAATTTAGAATGATTATATATCTCTCTGTCTACAAATAATAAACTATCACAATAAATTCTTTACATACTAACATTTATGTATTATGATTTATTTTTATTTTGCATGCTATAGTATCATATACTTACCTGTTCGGCCAAATTCCACTTGAAATATTCCTGATATTGTGTGAAGGTCTTTGTATAGTTTTTGCTATTATAATATTTATTTTTTTTTTGTATTGTATTGTAATTTGGAGAAAAAGGGCCAAGTCAATATGATGTACATAAAAGAATATGTTAAAGAGTACATAAAAGAGTATGTTAAAGATTTATTCTGGAATTTTATGCTAACTGGAGATTTTTGTTTAAAAACTATCTTGCATAATGTAAGTTGTAGTCTTGATTTGTGTTTTGATTAAATACAGACATTATTATACTATGATTAGATACAGGTTATATCTCGCCGAGTTCTGGATTTTTTTTAAATGAAACTTTCCACAAGTTTATAGGGCAAATGAAATATATTAGAAAAAGAATTCATTGCATTGAAAAAGATTTTTTTCTTTTGTGAGAATTTACAGAGGTAGTTTTAGCAAATAATTAGTCGGTGATATTAAATATATTTCACTGATATGCCAGTGATACTAAATATATTTCACTGATATGCCAGTGATATTTAATATATTTCACTGATATGCCAGTGATATTAAATAAATTTCACCGATATGCAGGTGATATTTAATATATTTCACTGGTACGCCAGTGATATTAAAAATATTTCACTGATATGCCAGTGATATTGAATATATTTCACCGATATGTGTGACAGTAAAGACAGTATTGTTTCTTTTTAGATGTTAGTGGAGACATTTATTCTGGTTTGATGTGTGTAGGTAGATATAGGTGTATTGCTTATCTAGGTTGTAGTACCCTTAATATATGAGTCATTTTTATAAATGAAGTTTTAAAAGATTTATGTAATATATTAAAATACAACTTTGTCATTTGAATTCGTATTTTTTGTTTGTTTGTTTGAAAATGAAAATATATATTTTCGGGTCAACTGTTTTTTTTATTGCAGTAGTTTGGTATATTTTCTTGTTTTAGTTTTGCTGATGAAATATTTCTTTTTATCTTTTTCTGAAACTTTATACAAACACAATATAAGGGCATCCTGTGTCGATTTGTTTAAGGACCATTTGAAATTGCTTTTATATTATTGTTTGAATGACTTTTTTTCACTTTTTATATAAAAACACTGGGTACTTAAAAAAAAATGTTACATGTATAACTCTTGAGCTTCATTTTACCAGAAGAATCTTAAATAATGAATACCAGTAATAAAAACATAACACACACAAAAGGGGGAAAAATATAAAAAAAAAAAAAATTTGTTAAGATAGAAGGTTAGTTAAATATTTTTATGTTACAATACCAGAAATCATGTGGTACATGTATGAAATGAATGGTACAGTTAGTTTTCTTGTGTATGTGCATGTATGTTTTATGTAACACATCTTTTTTTTGTAATTGGAAGTTGCATGGTTAATGATACTGGATACCATGGTAACCAATACTAAATTTGCAAATAAAACATTTGTCTGTTAATCTTGTTTTTTTGTCTTGGTAACCTATATGATATCTTGAAGTACATATATTTCATGTCCAAGGATGTCTTTGTCAGCATGGATATCCACCCAGAGATATTAGTTTATATGTAGTTGGCACGGGTCTGTGCTTGTACTCACATGCTAGAATATCGATTTCAACTGAATCCTAATGCGTGCCTAAAATGGTGAACATTTGTGCCAAGTTACATTAAAATCCTCCAATAAATGTAGAAGTTTGCTCTGAACAAGGGGGCAAGATTTTATTAAGATACATGTATACAAGGCTTCATGAAAATAGAAAAATGTTTGGACCTTTACTGTTATTAGCAGTGAAAATTTAGCCCCACCTTTTACATTCATTGCTGGGTCAACTGCTCACAAACAGTACAACAAAGACATCATTTCTTGGCGTGGGACTTCGATCCCCGGGAGATGCTTTGGTAGTTTAGCACGGAGGAAGGTTGTCTAGTACTGGTGTAACTCTCCAGGAATGATGGTTAGGAAACTACCCGCCTATATGACTGAAATACTGTTGGAAAAAGGTGTAAAATCAAGCAAACAAGACATGATTTCTTTTGTAAAAACAAGGTATAATGCCAGTATAGCAATTGGATAGCCATTCTGCCAATTTGCATAAAACTACATTGTTCAAAAGATCCATTGATAACTAACCTTGTCCTTTGTTCTATTTTTATGAAGTCTTGCCTCTTTCTGTAGTAAGCAGGGATTGTCCCCTTCAAATTTTGTTAAGCCTTTCCCCTTTCAATTAATAATAAGCATTATTTTTTACCTCTGTATGTAAAGTAAGCCATGCCCCTTCTATAATTTTATCATATTTTGCCCCTTTACAATGATAATAGCTGTCAATAGTGACAATACAAAAACTGAGCATACAACACTTGAGCCATGTCAGTTTGCACAGACAATGCGGCTGGCTTGGCCTTACACTGGTGGCAAATCACTTTTACTTCCTTCAGGTAAAGCTTTTATTATATTTATATGAATATGATTGTGAAGACAACTTTTTCATACCGATCTAGTCTCCTACAGTACTTGTGACTGGAATGTGTTTAGTGTTGTATATAGGGACATGGTCCAAAGTAGGGCTGTAACACTCAAAAGTGAAAAGGCAGATACTTCAATAACTTGTCCCACTCCTTCCCATTACAGTTAACATTAAGTATTGCACCTGTTACAGCAACATCCCTTTTACTATGAACAGGCAAGCTGTAACATCTGACCTTGAGGTATGACTGAACTTTGGCCTACCCACACAGTTCTTATGCTCGACACACTATCTCGTGATGTTGAACATTTGTGCCAGGTTGTTTGAAATTCCACCAGCTAGTGACAGAGTTATGGTGCAGACAAGAAGTTTGAGACCATTTTGTATTTGACATTCAAGCATGACCTTGACCTTTGACCTAACCGCATGGTTCTTGCGCTAGACACACCATCTCAGGATGTTGAACATCTGTGCCAAGTTATATGAAATTCCACCAGCTAGTGAGAGTTATGGTGCAGACAAGAAGTTTGAGACCATTCTTTTTGCATTTGACCTTACAATATGACCTTGATCTTTCACCTAGCAACTAAGGTTCTTGCACTCGACACACTGTCTCATTACTGTGAATATTTGTGCTAAGTTATTTGAAATTCTACCTACTATTGACAGAGTTTAGACCTGGACAAGCATAATCCTGACAGACGGATTTACATAGAACAAACCGCAATTGTGACAACTATGTTGAGCTCTCCGCAAGCAGGCCTGACAATAAAACCTTTCCCCATTACAATGGCAGTCAGCTGCATATTTTCATATTTTGTATTTTGGCACTTCCAAAATATGCATTGACATAAAGTAATACTCATTTAATACTGCTTAAAGACCTAGCAAATGTTAACAAAATATCTGATACAAGACAAACACAGTATATATTTATAGCCATTTATTGACTAAAGAAATATGTCATTATATTGTAACAGATGACACATCTATAAAATACTTGTTCACACATATGCTCATTTTCCTTGCATATTTCTTTTTTTTTTTTTTTACATCATCGTAAAAATAGCAACATTATTGAAGAGAAAACTCCCCTCTTTCCAACCTATTTTGGACAAAATAGGACTGAATGTTGACAACGAAATCAACAGTTCAGTCCTAAATAGGCTTATAAGAAAGAAGGGCTTTTCCAATCAATATTAATTCTCCATTCTGATAAACAAGAGTATCACCTCTATAAATGTTGCTTGTGTTTTTTAAAAACAATCTTAATTTGCATTACTAGTTTTCCTTTTTTCTATTACAACAAAATCGGCAAAAAATTTTTTTTTTTTGAAAATTTCCGAAAGTCATGTAGCATTCTTTCTCGACAGAGCTAACGTTTCTCTCAGATCCGTCAACAGTATAATCACAAATATCTTAAGTGCATACAGAGTTAGCTTTAAGGTGGACATATAAGACGCAAAAAAAAAAATAATAATAATAAATTACATAATGTTATATAAAGAAAACAAGATATATACCGTACAAACAATAATCAACAATTTAGAATTATTTACCAATTACCTTACTCTAGCTGTATTTCCCAGTTAAGCACCTATTCCCCTCCCTTTTTCTCTTTGAGATTTCTTAACTACCCTTTCGTAGGAAATTCAGCTACTGTAAAGTAATAACATCTTTTAAGTAATTCAATATTTAATGATGTACTAAGATAGATACAGTCTTAGATTTTTTAATGGCAAAAACAAAGTTTTTTGGTTAAACTCTCGCTAATTTCAGGTCAAGATCTTTGTTTCAAAATTATACATGCTGGTTTTCAAATTTTCGGTAAAATTACTATATTTTTAACCTTGCATAAAAACTACTTCAAAAATTAAGTAGGAAAAAGAAGTCAATTGCCATCAATGACTTATACACAATATCTAACAATTATATTTCCTATAAATTCTTTGGCACAACAACAGAATATCTCGGAGATGTGTATATTTTACGTAAAACAATCTGTGTAAGTTCTACAGATTTTTAACGTCCTACTGACGACTTTTTAAGAGTGACATGGCATGAAAGAAACGAGACTTTAAACAAAAGTTCATGGTTATGTTTCTGTGCAATACAATAGGATATGTCATGTATTGCACAAGAGTCAACTTTTCCAAATGTCTGGAAAAAATAAAATAATGTAATAATGTACAATTACATTGATACACAAACTGAACCTAGCTAAACACAGCAATTTTCTTTTTTTGTAGACATTTATATGCAATTCTTCTGGAGCAAAAAGTGCAACATTTATTCAGAGCATAGTCAAATTACTGAGAATAACTAATACATTGTTCATTATACTGACAATGTAAAGTTCATGTTAACTCCGAACAAAATAAATGAATATTGCACTTATTACTCCAGTAATAAACATGTAAGTGAATGCCATAGATGGTAATTATCACACACTGGAGCAAATACTGAACATATTTTACATTTGTGTCCATCTGAGGTATATTCTTTGACTCGATTATATATGATCATAAAGCCACGCCATGACAAAACCAACATTGTGCATTTGCGACCAGCATGGATCCAGACCAGCCTGCGCATCCACGCAGTCTGATCAGGGTCCATGCTGTTCGCTTACAAACCCTATAACAAATAGAGAAACTGATAGCGAACAGCATGGATCATGATCAGACTGCCCAGAGGCGCAGGCTGGTCTGGATCCATGCTGATCGCAAACGCACTATGTTGGTTTTGTCATGACGTGGCTCAAATATACTCTTTGAAAAAAAAAAAAGAGGAAAAACACAAGAACTTTATATAAATATTAAATAATTTTTACACTTTTTTTGTAAAAGGCAAGATTTAATTTACACAACCATTGTAGGACTTAGGCCATAATGGGTTTGTTTTGGGTTTTTTTTTAATATGGGGGTTACACATATATATGAAAATATGGACACTTGAGTAGAATACCCACAAGTGCTGTTTGTTACAAAAAAAATATATATTAATAATCAATAAACTCATTATTTCATTTAAGAATAAATAAAAACATACTTGGTCGATTCAATAAAATGGTGTTTTGTTTTCAACTAGACTAACAAGGCAGTTTAACAAAATATTCATGTCTATATCTTGAAGCAATTAACTAAAATGTATCACAGACTTTTGTTTATTTATGCTGCCTTAACAAATTAAGTGCTGGCGAATTATGGCAGAAAATTATTTTATTTTATATGCTGCAAGTTTATACGCTTTCACTGAAAGACATAAGTAAGTCTTTGGTTCAAACAGTCACAGAGTTGTCAAATATGCCAGACTCGTGTGCTTCCCTAAATAAGGTAAAACTACTGAGCAAACTTCTTCTTTTACAAATTTTGAATACGGCCAGCAAACGTTTAAAACTTTAAATTAGAAACAAAATGAACATAAAAACATATGAATACTGGTAAAAACACAAAATCTAATGCCTTGAGTCGAGACTTTGTTCATTTAAATAAATATATAAATATCTATATATTGCACATGGGTAATTCACGTCAAAATGACAACATATGATCATACATAGTGATGAGCTTGGACAAACTTTCAGAAATCAAATAAAACATCTTTTTTATAACACAAACCTTTCATTCTGGTCAATCTGAATATCAATATTTTGTAATATGGACGGATGTAAAATAAGTGTCAATAAATGCAACAGGCGAATGTTTCACATAAAAGTCAAACAATTTGAAAGCTCCTTCAGCGCAGAGATTCAGTTTATATATATATCTAAATAAGCGAGATAAAAGGCATCGGATTCAACACAAATTTAATACACAGACTAATCTCTAATGATCAAATTCCATAATTATCTTCTTTTTTGTTCAATCATATTTTGGTATAGGTCAGACTACCACTGTTGGTCACTTGACAGCTTTTCAGCTTTACTGGTAGAGGAAAAACTTGTGTGTGCCCATCCCTGCATTATTTCAGGCATGAACTGGCACCCAAATATAGCAACCAACGTTCTGTAAGCTAGCTTATGTACAATGACTTGGTTATATTCATAAAATTCTTTACACATACTTCTTTTTTATTTCGTTTTACCATTCATTCTATTATAAATATCACAGGAATATATCAGTCTTGCTTTCAAACTGTGTTGACTTTTTCTGTCAAACACGTGTGAACATTACACATCAGACATACAACAAACACATTTATACATATCATTACACGTGTTAACTACATCACATATCAAAAAACATAAAACGTTCTAGAATAAGTGATCACATTTCACAAATGTCCTGGTTACATTCAAACACCCTTCCCCGACACCCCCCTCCTCCCCCCACCCAACCCACCGCAAAACATTTCTGGAGACTTTAAATTACCCCCAATTTATAAAGATATCCCAGAACTACGTGTCTGGAATAGTAATAAAGTCTCGTCACTAAATCACACGCAGATCTGTTAAGTTATATTACAAGCCGTTAAAAGCTTGTATACATGTACAATATATGCCGTACACTCAACATCTATATAATTAAATATGGACTTCAATAATTTGCAATATCTATTTAAAGCATGACCTAGTATATATAAGTAACAGTTTTTATATAATAATTACATTATTAAAAACACACCCGGCAACAATATATAATAATAATAAAAACATGTATACTAGAATGTCTAGGAAAAGTCGCACCACATTTCCACAAAAATTCATCGACATCCATTCGCTTTCTGAAATAAAGCCGTGTCACATTGCAAAAACAACTACACAATATATCTGAAAGGATACCATAATATAAAATCATATATTATATATTCATACAATGGTTCAAATTAATATATCATTTTATATCATCATCATCCATGTTTATACACTTCACAATGTCACACAGTTTCAAAACAGAGATCTATCTATAACTCATTCACACAATGTTATGTCATGAAAATGATAATTTACCCATAATGCAACTCACTTAAGCTGCAATCTTTAAAGTTATAGTGCTAATCTCCAAAAATAAATAACTTATATGACACATTATCTAAACAAACCTGTTAGATTAGTTACCTCGGTTTAACCAATAAAATATTTCTTCACTTGTCTTGTATGATCAAATTTCCGAGAAAGCTTAAAATTCTGGAGAAAAAAATAAAGATACTTATATTAAAAGGCGCCCTTTTGTGCATTATTCCGCCAAGAAGGCTTGGGAGTAGAATCAGAGACCTTAAGTCAAGCACACAAATATTCATCTCCCTTTGTAAATGTAAGTTTAAGCAGTATGGTTAGCTATATAGGTATGGATTCGATTTACTTCATAGAAATTACAGCAGTACAAAAAAAGTAGTACATGCAACACACCATCTCATTAATAACAGTAAATATATAAACAGATTTATTTGTAAATAACCACTTAAAAACAATCGAGACAGTTCCCCATTGCACTGAACCACTAAAGTCATTCAAAAGTTATGTGACGAGATTCTTCCGTCTACTTCAAAACTACTTACTTGACACAATTATCACTTTAAACTTTAATCATGACAGCTTTTAACTTAATATTGTGATGAAAACTATGTGTATTGATCCACTTAGAAGTTCCTTTCCCCGCAATAACACTAACTATTTCTGAGGATACTGTCTTAACAATCACTACAGGTTGAAACCCATGACCCAAGAGTTGAAAGTCAGGACCTAGATTTAAATACAACCTATGACCCAAAGGTTGAAAAGTCGGGGACTAGAAATAAATACAATAGCTTCGTATTGTACACACTATTTGTACATTACCAGTTCTATACAAGAGGTATTTTTTATTGTATGTTTACACTAGTAGTACTCTCTCGTAAAAAAATATGAAAGAAATCTCTAAAATCAATTGACCTGCAACCTCTTGACACGTTGACTAACCATCTAATACTTCAATAACTATTTATTTATAAGTTGTATTTTTCTTTACCCCACCCACAATTTTTCCCCCATTTATGCAAAGATAACGGTATAAGGGAGTTGCTATTATGAAATGATGAAACGATATCACAGTGACAAACTATTTCAAAATGATGTGACAAAGGTCCGAGGTTATAAAGAAATTCTCAAAGCTCAACCTCAGATCTCAGGCACTTGATTGGTCAGAAATTGCCACAGAAAGTACACTGTCCAATGAAAACCCTGAGATTTGAGACAGAACTCAGAAAAAAACGTTTTATAACCTTGAGCCCAGATTTAATACATTCAGCTCATCCTTGGTAATTTATTCAGACATTTGATAACCCATTAATTTAAAAAAAACACTTGGTGGAGATTGACATAAAAGTTCAAAGGTCAGAAAATCAAAGGAATGTCATTCTAAAAAAAGACTCTTAATACATTACATAATACTGACATACATATGACATACATTGAAGCTTTCATCTCAAATTTTCAATTCTGTGAATAATCAAGTCACCAGAACAGGTACCTCAATCAATTAACATTCAATTAAGTGCTCAGTATAATCAATTAATATTATCAACATTTAATCAAGCTAACTGACAGCAAATGACCTATACTAGAATGGACAGATCGGAATGCCCTGGTCAGCATCAAAGTTCTTTGCTGTCAAGAAGCCACAGATTTCTCTAACAAAATCTTCCGAACTAAACCTTCCAAGGTGCATCAATCAAACTAACAAGACTTTATTTCTTTTTTTCGACCAATATAACTTACACAAAGACACCTACAGTCAATATCCAGTGTTGAATGACATCTTATCATGTAGCATAGTAATTCATATGTACCCTGTATGTCACATATTACTTCAAAACATTCGAGAAAATAAATTAAGGAGCACTTAAACGCAAGATTCATATTGGCACTATATACATATTTATATATACCTTTCAGAAAGACATTCTACAAAAAATTTCTGCTGAATAATCACAAAATGGTAATATTTCTTAAAACTGGAAATATATCTGTAACTTACTTTAAACCATTTCTTCCTGTAATTCTATTTTTAAATCAAAAACAAGCATATACCTAATAACAAAGTCAAGTAAACAAACTGCCAATTCTTTGGCAGTAGTAAACAAAAATGATTTACTTCAGACTTAATTTGTGTACTTGAAAATAACTTAAATGCAGCAAAGTTTACATTGATCATTTCATTTCCTCACTCCATATTTATCTCTTTACATTAATTCACCAATTGCTTTACATGAATATATCAAATGCTTTCTATTAATTTATAAATTCTCCACATTAATTCACTGAATAATTTACATTAATTCATAAATTGCTTTACATTGATTCATCAATTGCTTTACATTAATTCATCAATTGCTTCTTTATGAATAATCAATTGCTTTACAATACTTAATGACTTCACTTCACCTTAAGTTCAATCAATTCTCTTATTCACATAATAATTTAATGTTTTATATTCTTCATGACTTTATATTAATCAATTGCTTAACATTAATTGCTTTTTTCATGAAAAAAAATCAAAAGCTTTATTTTACTATATGACTTCATATTAATCAATTGCTTAAAATAATAATCAATTAATTTGTAAGATACAGTAAAGTTTAAGGGTTTACTCATCATCACCACCATATCTCATTTAAATGAGCTATCATCAATCAATAAAGCGATCAATTTCCAAGAAATTACTGGTTATCTGCCTAAAACTTACATCATAAAAACATCTAGAACACACAAAAACAAAAATGATGAAGCATGATGTGTACAGGAATGACTGCCATTTACCTAAAATCACAAACATTCGTAACGTCAATAGCACACACTTGAGAGAGAGAGAGAGAGAGAGAGAAAAACACTAATAAAACACATCGAGCCTCGTGTTGGCAAGCAAAAATAACTCTAAAAACTGAAGCTGGGAACGTAATAAAGTAATTCCACAGTAATGGGTATCTCTACTAATATCAGCACTTTAACAATTAGCTACAAAGCTTTTAAGATCATGTAAGAGTTAGCATGCACGAAAAATGCTTTCCTCCGACATATACAGTCCCAAAAATCGTCCGACCATTCCTTGGCATTTTCTTGCCAACGGTTTAAAAAAATCTCCATTCCTTTTTTTATTTTTTGAATAACTTTGGGCGACTGGTAATTCTTGAATCCAGGACATCTTTTGTACACATACAGGTTATCAGGAATTTATCACAATGAGTCTTGGTTTTATATGCCATGTCTGTTGTCTGTTGTTTATTTTTCAAACCCTCTAGATTAAATATACATGTATAGCCGTTGATGGACAGCAAGTTTCAAATTTAACACAACTTGTCTGTTTTTATCTAGACAGGAAGCCTGTATATGTATAACAGTGTCTACAGTGTTTTTGTTTATGTTTACTGGTGTTAGCGACATTCCCAAACTTTGACCGTTTGATCTACACTTCCACTTATCACATACGGCGAGTTCCGATGCATGTCTGAAATATAATAATAAGCTATGTAACAATCATTTGGTAAAAAGAAAATCTTTGCATGGAAGTTATCAAGCTGATCTGCCTTTTTGATATATTGAGAGGATATTTTTTTCGTTTGAGTGAAACATGAAATATATTTTCACAAAATATTATAAAATTCAAAATCAAACTGTTTCTCATTCAAATGTTATTTCAAGTATTATAGGGAGAAAATGCTAAAAATAAAGATATTTTACAATATTACCTAGAGATGTAACAAAGTGTTGGTGTGCATCTAACGTTTTCTGGTTTCTTCTATTTTTAATGTCCCATACTCGTATAGTTTTATCATCTGAAGCACTGATTATGAATTTCCCTCCAGGGTGAAACACCAGTCCTCGTACCCAATTATCATGACCAACCTATATATAGGAAAGAGCATTATTATCCAATTATTATGACCAACCTATATATAGGAAAGAGCATTATTATCCAATTATTATGACCAACTTATATATAGGAAAGAGCATTATTATCCAATTATGATCACCAACCTATATATAGGAAAGAGCATAATTAACAAATTACCATGACCAACTTATATATAGAAACAACATGATCAACTTATTGATTTATTGATCGAGTAGAACATGAGAGAAATTTGTTGCTTTTAAGACAGCTATACACTGTAACAAAAGGACAAACAAACCTTCACACTTAATTATCATGGTTAACAAAACTTTACTTCAACTATCTGAAACACATTATCTTAATTATCTTGATCATCTGTATATACATATAAAGTAATGCATATAAAGACGTTTCCTGAGTAGTGTGAAAAATTAAACCTGGTACACAATAATTATGACCATCCTATTGACAGGGGAGAAAAAAATTATTCAAATATTGCATGAAAGACAACTGTATATTTTCACTTCTCTTCACATTAATTCACTCCTTTCTCCTCAAATGAAAGATTATTTCCCAAAGGAATTTTTATACAAGAATAACTTTTGTCAATCCTATTTCTGAAAAAAATAGCTACCAGGGATTGCCATGTTCTTTTCCAAGGTTTGTACAGAAATCTTTGTTTCAAATTTAAGTACTTTAAAATAACTTATTACATTGTTCATAATTACACAGGTGGTAAATTGATTATTGACTACACTGCCATTGCTACAAAGGCATAAATTAATCAGCATCTGTTTTACTTCATTGTTACATATACAGATAGAGAAGTTTTCTTATCTTTTCAGAAAATTAAATTCAATGACCCATACATAAGAATTAAGAACATATATGGCCAGATTTAAATTAAGGTCTTTTAAAGGCCACCAATGGATTTTAAGGACTTTTTAAGGTGGTATGAACCTTGTTTCTTCATGTTGCATGTATTATACAGCTCACTCAATCAGTTTTTACTTCCTGTAAACAGTAATTGTATAATGTGTAATAATAATGCAAGATGTAAAATATTTTTTTCTTCTTATTAAATTATAATCAGAACCTGAACTGATTTTTTTTATAAAAACTGTAAATAATATTCTCTTATTTTTGTTCTCAAGAGTTTTTTTTATTATTCAAATATCAATATTATTCTATTTTGTGGAAACTTAAGTCAACCAACTTAAAGCAAAGAAAACAAATTTTGAGCAAAACCATGATATATTCTTAACCTAACACCAACAAACTTCTTAAACTATAAAATAATATTCAACTTTTAACCATAGATTTCAATCTTGTCTGGTTCAGAATTTGTGTCTGTCTGTTACCTATTTCAGAGATTTCAAGACTTAAAAGACAACAGCCTGACTGCAAAGATACTATGTGTGTGTTCTAAGCTTTATAAGGGCCCATCCCCCACACTGAGAGTACAGACCCATGCAAAGAATCTCGGATTGCCCCTTGGTTTTATACCTGTGGTTTTCAAACTCATATCATTGCTGACAATGCTCATTTTGCTAAAAAAAGTAAGAAAATATGAACATGCCTATTGCTTAACCATCAAGCTGGTTGTGACAAAAATTTTTTTTTTTTAAAGTATACATACAAGTGTGAACAGACATAGTCCAGTACTGATGTCCCACATTTTGATTGTCTTGTCCCGGGAACCAGATACCAAGAATGGTCCACTTCGTCCTTTCTTGTTCTAAAATCAAGCATTTAATAACAAAAAAGTATGTTAGTCAAATAATAAAATAGTCACATAAGGGCTTCAGGTAAATCTTTGTTGTTACTCATCATTTTTTATCAAATAATTTTTTTTAAGGCACAATCATTCACATAAAACTAATATCATTTTAACATCTCAAGATCGAATTTGGGTAAAAAGAGTATGTTAAGATGATGCTTTTCCTACAGCAATTTTTTTCAATAATGCAGAAATTCAACTATACTAAGAATTTTTTTAAAATACCATTGCTTTGATATTCTTTATATAACCTTGGATTATAACATATTTCAAAAACTTCATCAAACTCTCCTTCAATAAACTTAAGAATATTTCTTTGTTTTTTTAACGCTGATCTTTACACAATTATTTAGGTCATGTATCAGTGGTCAATCCACCTTACCAGCTCTCCTGGATAACTAACAAGTTAATTACCAATTTCTTCGGAAGAAACTAAATGAAAGTATACTCACATCAATACCAGCCGCTTCATTTATGGCTGGACAAGCGCCCTCTGGTGCCCAAGCAAGACATTCTACGACATGTTCATGCTCACGTAACTCAGCTTTACAGTCTTTAGTGGCCACTACCCACACGCGTAGTGTTTGGTCATTAGAACAACTAGCTAATAGTGAACCATCCTGGTTCACACGCACCATTCGCACCCACTCACGGTGCCCGGTGAATGTTTTTACACAATACCTGTATGTATATTTACAAACATTTTATTGAAGGTCACACAAAATCAAGCCCAAAACAAAACAGAATTTTTTTTTCAGGCAGATTATTTTACAAAGGGCAGGTTTTAAATACATTTTTTTAATATAACAGAATCATTACCATTACTAAAGCTAAAACCAAAGTTCAAAATAATCTACAGAAATATTGTATATTACATGTATACAAAGTTAAAGTAAAACCTATATGTATCTCTAAATAATTTCATCTAAAGGCAGTACGGCTGTGTTTGCAACAGTTTATCTTCACATATTTCCCCCCATTAACTGCTTTTACTTGATTAACACAGCAAGCAGTATCTGACAAAATCTCATTTTTCAAATCAGCCAGACAATACTTTGCCTGTTAACAACAATCCAATTAATTCTATCACTATTGTTGTATAGTGTTCTGCTTGGAATAAATATATGTATATGAAGGCAGCAGTATTTTGGAAACTTATGGGCACCTTGGTAGAACCCATAACTAACCAGAAGCTACCTGGTAAGCATCCTCATATGAGAAAAATTGTACATATTTAAATACTTTTAATACAGTGGAGTAAGGGGGATATTGATTGACCACAGATCTTAGCCAAATTGGCCATGTATGCATTTATAAATAAAATCAGAATTAACACTAAGTATACTGTACATACCCTGTGGCTACCTCCCACATTTTTATGGTTTTATCTCTGGAGGCAGATACAATAAAATCTCCGCTTGGCATGAAGGATACACTAGAAACATTGTGATCGTGTCCTGTAACAAATACATAACATGTTACTGATATTTATTTTGTTTGTTATCTTACATAAAAACAATGAAAAGTTGACAGCTGATTTTTTCATAATTATATCATAATCAAACACTTACTGAGTAAAAACAATATCAAACACTTACTCAGCAGTATCAGGATCAAACACTTATCATAATCAAACACTTACTGAGTAAAAACAATATCAAACACTTACTCAGCAGTATCAGGATCAAACACTTTTACTGAGCAGTATCAGGATCACTCACTTAACAGTATTAGGATCAATCACTTGCTAAGTAGTATCAGGATCAAACACTTACTGAGCAGTATTAGCATTAAACACTTACTGAGCAGTATAAGGATCTAACAATTACTGAGAAGTATCAGGATCAAACACTTACTGTGCAGTATCAGGATCAAACACTTACTGAACAGTATCAGGATCATACACTTACTTAGCAGTATCAGGTTTGAACACTTACTGAGCAGTATCAGGATCAAACACTGAGCAGTATCAGGATCACTCACTTAGCAGTATCATGATCACACAATTACTGAGCAGTATCAGGATCAAACACTCACTGAGCAGTATCAGGATCACTCACTGAGGAGTATCAGGATCAAACACTTACTGAACAGTATCAGGATCAAACACTGAGAAGTATCAGGATCAAACACTTACTGAACAGTATCAGGATCAAACACTGAGAAGTATCAGGATCAAACACTTACTGAGCAGTATCAGGATCACTCACTTAGCAGTATCATGATCACACAATTACTGAGCAGTATCAGGATCAAACACTCACTGAGCAGTATCAGGATCACTCACTGAGGAGTATCAGGATCAAACACTTACTGAACAGTATCAGGATCAAACACTGAGAAGTATCAGGATCAAACACTTACTGAGCAGTATCAGGACCACTCACTTAGCAGTATCATGATCACACAATTACTGAGCAGTATCAGGATCAAACACTCACTGAGCAGTATCAGGATCACTCACTGAGAAGTATCAGGATCAAACACTTACTGAACAGTATCAGGACCACTCACTTAGCAGTATCATGATCACACAATTACTGAGCAGTATCAGGATCAAACACTGAGCAGTATCAGGATCAAACACTGAGCAGTATCAGGATCAAACACTTACTGAACAGTATCAGGATCAAACACTGAGAAGTATCAGGATTATCCAATTACTCAGCAGTATCAGAATCAAACACTAACTAGCAAAATTTAGCAAAAGACAGTTATATTTATACAGGAGGCACCTTGACATAAAGTTCACTTAAATAATATATAACTTACCATACATTGTCTTGACACATTCAAAACCTTGAAAATCCCATAATTTTATTGTCATATCAGCTGAACACGATACTGTAAAAACAGAAAACAATCATATATATATATCTATATATAAATATGTTTGGAGAAAACTACAATTTCTGTATAAAACTTGAACACTGGTCACTAGTTAGGCCCTTTACACAAATTTTGGTTCAGAATGTATATTATCCAAAAAATTTTGTTTTGTTTACATAATGGTAATAAAGACCTTTCTGTTTCTTTTGGCTTTTTATAAATATGTACTTTTTCTTGTTAACAAAATCACTAGTACTCACAGTTTCACAAAATATCTTTATTTACATAGCTGTATAATCCGTTGTTTTATGCAAGAAGATGAATTTTATTTGGTGGGCAATTTCATGTACATTTTAGTCTTCACTTCTAATGTTTAATAAATAAATTACCAAATTACCTAAGTATTTTCCAGTGTGGTCAAACGAAACATCTTGTACAGAGTCTGTGTGACCTTTTAAAGTTCTCTCGTAGTCCCCAGTTTCATAATCCCATACCTGAAAAAGAACCAAAACATAAGCTACAATTCTATTGATACCAAGTTAATACTAAATTCCCAAGAGCAACCTGTGAGCCCACTGTCAAATCTGACCTTGAGCTTTGATCTAGCCCACGGTTCTTGCGGACATGTCTTCTCATGATGTTGAACATCTGTGCCAGGTTATTTGAAATTCCATCACCTAGTGATAGAGTTATGGTGCGGAAAACCTGTTTGAGACCATTTTTTTTTTCATCTTAAAAATTGACCTTAAAGAATGACATTGACCTTTGACCTAGCCACATTGTTCTTGCTGGTGACAGACTGTCTGATTCTTGTGAACATTTGTACTAAGTTTTATAAAATTCTTCCTAATAATCGTGGAGATACGCCTTGGACAAGCATAATCCAGATGACAACTATGTCAAACTCACCACAAGCGGGCTCAAACAAAGTGACATAATATATCTTTGGCCAAGGGAAATTGATAAGAAGAATCTTTTACATGTGTGACAAGAGAAAACAAGCTACTGCATAATGCATAAGCAAGAAGTAGGAATTGCATGAAGGTTGACCTAAAAAAAAATCTTTCCAAGTTTCCACCACAATCATTCCTCAATACATATATACAACAATAACAAGAGCTATTGGATGGTGTGCTTGACTATTCTTCTTGTCTGATAGTGAAACATTAGCCTTAATAATATAGAATTTTTAAACTTCAAAAAGGGCCATAACTCTGTTCAAATCCATGTAAGAGTTATGGGCCTTGGTCAGTGACCTATTATGCTCTCAAATAAATGTAAAAGTTTCAACCAGTTCCCTTCTAGTACTTTTGGAAAATTAAGTCGAGCGGAAATTTTTACAGCTTCATGCACAAAAATAATCTTTGTCTATTCAGCAACTTTTATAACCAAATGTGACAACAGTTAAAAATTCCATTAAAGCACCCACACTGAGACACAATCATGTGTGCTAACAGCATTGCAAAACAATATGTAACTTGAGATATATTGATCTTATTTAACTTGCATGCAAAATCACCATGTTGAAAGTTCTAATTAATCTGTTTCAAGTTTCATGACAAATCAATTAAGCTTCGACATTATGAGGAAGAATTTTACTACAAAATGAAACAAGCTATCTATGTCAGAAAAGCTTGCACAAATACTGGCATTTTAATTCAACATTCATGCGTTGTTAAAAACTTTCACAAAACCTGCATAAACATTGCAGTTTGTCAGTTGATTTATCAGCCATAATGCCTTTGTAAAAGACATAATTCATGAAAAGTCTAAGACTTTAATTTCAAAATCTAAATCAAATCTACAATGTCATGACCTATAACATCAGTGATTAATCTAGAAATTCCTTACAATGCGTCGGATGACGCACATGTTTGAAAACAATGAGTCCTGTAGCAAAATCAATGAGTCATGTAGCAAAATAAATGCGTCTTTTTAATAGCAGATCCTTGACATGATTTGCATGTTTTATAACAAGCGATTAAGTAATTAAAGTGCATAAAAAAGTTATTTTTGGTGCTAATATTAATTGCAGGCAAAACAATTTTTATTGGCTGCTCAAAAATCTAATTTGCATAATTTATATTTTCTTACTACTTATGTCTAATACTGTGCATTATCCATTTTAATTGTTCGTAATTTGCACAAAATGTCCCTCTACATACTGACGACTTTTATTGCTCCTTGTATGCCTCTGTGTAGAAAGCATACACAGACAGACCTTTTGATCATGAAAAAAAGTCATGCACAATGTTACCCTGATTGGTTAATCACCCTGTCAAATATTCTGATGACGTAATAGACATCTATTTTTTTTTTACACTCCGCGTGAACTTGAGTGACCTTAGGGGAAATCATTACACACCTGTCAGATTATACTGTAACTTACAGCATTTCTTAAAATAGCAACACTTTTTTTCAGTTACCGATAATTATTTAAAATATTAAGTAGATTAATGATTTTTTGTTTGCTTTATTGGATTAAATTTACGGTTGTAGAAATGCAGTAGTAGGTGGGAAAGGGATTAGGTAAGTAGATAACTTGGAAAAATGCTATAGGGAAATGGATAAACTCAAGAATATGCGTAATTACAGAGGAATGGGTAACCTGTTGCTGTTGGTACCAGTTTTGTCTGGATGACTAAATAACATACAATATTAGTCTGGGACAGATTTTAGATGCGCCTTTGGCCATTTGCTGACGATTTTCCTGTGCCCATCTCATTTTTTAGCGCCAATGTCTGCATATTTCACCATTGTAGGTGAATCGCTCTTATGCAAAATGGACGCTCTGATTGGCTAATGCCGATAATGGGCGGCTACCGATCACAAGCAACAATTGCTTGGGATTTAACGTTTCAAGCAAAAGGGATTAGTCTTGCACCTGTTATCATCGGAAATTAAATTATTCAACTGAAGAAATTGAAAAATTATTCAACTTATGAAATTAAAGTAATCAATCTGTACATAGAAATCACTAATCGTGATATTTTGGATTATAAACTTCCTGATTTGCATGCGTCAGATTGAACGCACATATTTTGAAACTGTGCGTCTTTTTCGATTTTTATGCGTATTTTACGCAAGACGCACATCTAGATTAATCACTGTAACATATCAAGGTCTTAAAGCTGCATGCCTCCAGATGAGTCAAAATATATATCGAGCAGAGAAAAGTTTACTAAGATTCTTACAAAAGTAAAAGATTCTAGTAACAATTAACATGTAATGTGCAATAAATGACTGATTTTGCAGTATATATCACCATATTTCTACTGTGTGACTAACTAAATAAGGACTATTTTTTGCATATTTTGACCTCTTTTTAGCCACTAACGTAGATTGTAGGTTATGTTTGCAATGTGCACATAACTTTCTTTGTTCACTTCACAATATTTAAATGAATTTTCTAAATTTTCATTAGAATTAGCATGAATCTGGAGGCATGCTGCTTTATAACATGTCATGTTTTTTAACACATCAATACTTAAACTTACTCTAATTGTTGCATCTTCACTGGCAGACACCATAACACTGAAGGTGGGATGAAATATTACCCTCGTTACTGGGCTTCTATGGCCGCTGAGGGAATAACGTTCTGGGGGTCGAGGAATCCATTCTGACGGATCTCTTTTATCACGGGTCGGGCCACCCTGGTTAAATTCTTTCTCTGCTTCCGAAAGTTTGGCTTCTAGGTCCATGACCTACAAATTACAAACAAATACAAATTAAACCCAGATTCCAATTGAAATACAGTCAAACTATATTGCGTAGTGACACTCTTTCATACATAGAAACAATTGTTTTGTTGTTTTTCTGCTTAGTACTTATTTATAAATCTACATCAAAGTTCATCATCATCATCTTCAGTAATTGCCTCACTCTTCATAGAGCATAATCGCGATGAAACGCGATGAAAATTCATTGGCACTATAAGACCTTTCTGTGGCAACTCACTACCAGGGTGGTCTACCTATAAATTACATTAAAAAGAAGAGTTCTGCAATAAATTACAGAAATAACAAAACATTTTCTTCATTAAAATTAAGAGAATAAATTCCAAGAGAAAATCAGAATCCGACACTTTTTCTGCTAATGAATGATTTTCGATGCAAAAAGACTGTAACAATAAAGCCTTATTTAGAAAGGCAATGATTATGTCTTTGCTTTACTTGTAGATGAAAACTCAAAGTTCCCCTCCCAGTATTATTTCAGGATTGTTTCAACACAGACTATCTTGGGAAAATAAATGACAATCCTTAAGCTAATTATATGTAGGGGTTACTTTCGTTAACCTGTCACCTATCTAAGCTGAATTTTCCTAATGGACAAGTCAAGCTTCCAACTCTGGAACTGTCCACTATCAATTTTTGGGATGTCAAGATTAAAATTTTATGCTACTGAGCCACCAGTATAGAGCCTGGTCAGACTGCATGGATGTGCAGACCGGCCTCGCTCTATACTGTTGGCAATGGCTGAACAATGGGTTCCAGCATGGAAAGGGTTAAACATTTACCTTTTTCTGTAACCTTATGACTGATGTCCATTTTTTCTCTAAGATACCAGAGTATTTCTTGTCTATTTCCATTGGCTGAAAATAAAAGGAAATAAAATCACTACGTTAATGTAGTAAAATAAACATGAATTACAAGTATGAAAACATGTGTGGCTTCTCGATGCATTCCAGTTAAACGTTTAAGAGCCTGGATATATCCAGAATCATTCATAACTTCCTTAAGTGTAGTACATATGAATTAGTAATATTCATTGTTCAAGGAAGCATAAAATTGATTGTTTTTTTTCATAATGTAACAGAACACTACCTATCCCATAATGATTTATCAATTTTATAAAGATGAAACTCAACTTAAGCCCTTAACCTTCTTAAACTGAAGCAAGTAAGTCTTTGCCACCAGTATAAAGCCAGTCCAGCCTGCATATCCCACAATCTCAGTGTTTTTTTTCACCAAAATATTCGGCGAAATTCTCCCTATTCCCCCCTCAAAATAGTATGTTTTTTTCCCCCCTCAAAGCTGAAATTTCCCCCTATAATATGGCAGCCCAAATCTGCCTGCAATGAATATCATTTTTTTTGCAACAAACTGCCGAAAAATGCTTTATTTTATGCCTGTAAGACTTACTGTTAAGCAAGGTTTTTCATATAGGTAAGGGGAGCTACTCCTGGTATCCCAACAAGTTTATCATGTGACACATCAATATTTTAGATCCGTATAAAAATCCCCCTCCTATTGCATTTTTCCCCCTCCAATGGGCACCGACCCCCTTCCCCCAAAAGTGAAAAAAACACTGAATCTGTACAGTTTGACCAGGCTCTATTTATATACTGTTGGTAGCTGAATTTTTGTATTTTTATACTAAAACCCCTTCACTTTATATGGACTTCTCCAAATTCAAAGTTTGGGAAATCAATTGCATAATATGCAGCAGATTACAGGTTAAAATAACCAGTCTTAAAATATAAATTTGAACTTCAATATACACAAGCTCTGTGTGGGTAAGGTAAAATAATGCAAGTTCTGTATAATGCAATGGGTAAAATTCAATATTAGTGTGTTTTGAACCTTTAATTTGAATACTCGTATTATTGATTTCATATGACATAACTATATATATTATCTTGATAAAAACCAAACTTAAAACCATATATTCAATTTTACTAAACAAAACCTACCATAGAAGCCTCTTTCTGAAATTGTGTGAGTGCACTAACATAGCCATTGGAGCTAAGGTAATCAGCTATGGCTTTATTCCTGAAATTGAAACAAAAACCAAATATTGAACTTTCTCAAATTGTTAACATGTACCTGGCTAATTACATCAAAATATAGCAGAATAGGCAACAATTCATAATATAATATTGATTGACAATATTTACTCAGTGTGCTTAATCCGTAGTAAAATATTTGCTTTTCATTGTAGGCGTAACAATACTGCTTAATCTTGATATATAATAAGGTCTAAATTTTTAACTTTAAGACATTCAATATGTAACAAGATGTTAATTTCAATACTCCTCAATAGCATGACTTTATGACTTCACAGATTAGGAGACTTCAATACTGGATATGGAATGAAATATTCTCCACCCCCAACCCCCCACCCTCTCCCAATTATCGAATTTAAACACCCTTTCCTTACACTTTTACATTTGTCAATATATCATAACTATTTGAAAGAGAAACTTAAAAAGGAAATATGACATCCAATTTTGGACACCGTTACAAATAGCCATATGTTTAAGATGTCAATAAGTATTACAAAGCCAATCTTCCGCATGCATGTGCAAAAATAAACAGCTGTTTTGTGTCCTCATTTCGTAATCTTAGAACAATAATTATTTCTGTCTAGCTTCGGGAGATATTGATTGTTCATTCCACAGAAATCTATATTGGACTTCTGAGACATTTTGTAGGCGGAAACATTTGAGCTGCTTAATATGTTAACACGAGAAATCTTCCTTGAATTATGAATATGTCGGTATTTTTCCTGAAACGTAAGTTTCTACCACTTGAGAACGTCATTATAGATATCACAGGATTGTCATTAAGAGGCAGCTATATGGCAAAATGACTTGTCTTAAATGCATTTTGGGTTTCCTCATTTTTTAACAATCTCTGTTGTATCATTTTGTATGTGATAAAAACCAAAAATGACCACCAAAAAAAGGGAGGCTCCGAGCATCTCAGAAAAATGACAACACTCATTAGTTTATAAGATTTTTTTTTCCCACAGGTTACATGGCAAAGCATTAATAGTTGTAAGTTTATATAACCTGAGCCACTTAATAAACAGCAGTTTATTATACACAACCATGTAATTTTTATATGAAACTGAGAATACTTCACAACTGATTTCTTTGAATTAACTACACAGACAAATAGCGCCATGTCCGATAATTATTAACATTACAAACTTGAAGGAGAACAATTTTCATTAGACCAGTATTAAGGTCTTTTTTAATTGGTTTAGATAAAATCTTCACACTGCTGAATTAATTAAATGGGATCAACTTGTTTTGTTTTAACTATCCGTTATAAATATTTGGAGTTCATAATTGAAATTTAAAGTTAGCCAACCAAACAGTTTAGAGTCTGGTTGAACTACTAATGCTCTATAATAGTGGCAAAGGCTAAACATTTTCTGTTCCAGCAGTTTATGGGTTAAATCCCCTACTAAAAGTAGCTTAAATGATAGTTACATGTATTGTTACATTTCAGAAAACAACATGTACATGTAGTACATCTCTCTTGACACTCAATCAACAATCATAGACAATTTTAGAGAATTTATTGATCTCTGCAATGGCTGTAGACATTTACATTGAAACATCTATTTTTACACCATTAAGCAATTGGAAAGCCCCAGTGACTGCTGTTGAGTAGAATGGATTTATACAATATCATTCCCAGCACACGAGTATGAGAATTCTTCTTGAGCAGGACATTTCTTCTTCAGCAGGACATTTTTTTATCAATATCTAAATTGCAGAAAATTAAAAAAAGGTCTATTTAAGGCCTTTTGCAACTATTTTGGGATCATATAAATTGGAAAAAATATTTGGCATTTTGAACAAAAATGAAATCTTTAAAAAGTTGAAAAACTAACTTATACATATGACAGTTATGTAGTTATGTACGTTTTTTATGGTTTTTAGCATGTGTATGATCATATAGCATGTCATTTCAATATTTCTCAGAAGGTGAATAAAAGTTTCCGTTTTTAGGCTGCTATTGAAAATTTCTGTTTTAAATTGCGGAAAAAAAAAACCCTGGCTATATGCTGGCATCATGGTGAAAACACCCAGTTATCATGATTGCAAAAAACATATAAATATTGAACAATAATTCTTTCACAGTTGGCACCATTTATAATTTGATAGACTAGTAATATAGATATTTGTTTGGTATAACTTACAATTCATCTTTCTGCCTCTGTGACAACACCATGGTTGTATATATCTTTGATACTTTCACTAACAACTACAATAATCACCAGTGCACTGCCATCCTGAAACATACATAAAATTTCATTGTACTTTACTGGACTTAATCATGATAATAACAGATACTGTATGTCATGATTTTTCATATTTTCACAAATAAACTCGTGCATATTGTTGAAACTATCATCAAAATTCACAAATTTCCAATTTCAAGAACTAAATCCATCAGTAAATTAATGGATATCAGTATTGAAAACTCAAAATTCAGTTGCCCGGGCCGTCCAAGCAGGTGACAACCATGATTTTTGTTACAGGCTACTATTGTTAGGGATAGGGTTATCCTTTCCTAGTAATAAACAAACTGCTTATAGTCAAGAGAGGGACCAGCTTTATATATATTTTCACACTTCTAGGTCCTCAAAAGTACATTCAATGTGCACAACTAGTGAGAAAAGTTTTAAAATTCAACTTTCAAAATAAATTATTTTGACATAAATTATTTTGACATACTACATGTATGGCACTGCTTAACCTTTTAGTAGCATAAGCGAGTTAGTTAAACAGCAATGTACATCATACACAGGTGATAAATTTTCGGGTTATTTTTTTCTTTTAATACAGAATTATTCTTTTTTATACAGAATCAAAAACATAATTTTGGCTTTCCAAAATCATATTAAAATCTAGAACTGTGTCCATAAGACAGGGATGCCCCCAAAATTCACTGTTTTGTCAGTCTACTTATGAACAGTGTGACAGTCTGCCAATGGCAAACCAAAGTAGGGGCATATAAGATCAATATTGATCAAATGAAGTCTACACTGCTCTTTGTGAACCGAACCCTGTAAAGTTACTGTTTTTCAGGTATATTTACTGTTTTTCTAGAATATATCAACTTCAAACAATAATTTTGACCTTCTATAACTGAGAAATGATTGTTCATCAAATGCTAACTACTGTCAATCAAATAACTGCTACACTACCAGTTGTGATTCAGTGGCTAATGATCTGATCATAAATGTCAAAGTTATAAAAGCATTTACTGGAGTTACAATTAACTAAATGCTAAAAACAGACCAGGCTATAATCTGTTATTGTAATTACTAAAACAAATCTGCAAATCTCATCTAGTGTAACACAAAGGAGAGTAAAAGTATAGGTAGCTGCCGATAAAATGACAAGAGCAGATCTTTTTTAGAGATTTAAACTTTTTTCTACCTAGATCTGTAATGTTTTATGTTGTGTACATAAATTTTCAAAGTTGTCTAACAAATAAACATACATATCTTTGATCAAAAATAATACAATATCTAAATAAATGCCTCCTTACAATAAATAATAAATTTAGATTTAAAAAATTAAACTTTATTAAAAAAATTATTGATTTATATAATGTATAATATAAATTAAATGTAAAAAAATCAATTTAAATCTGAAAAAGAAAAACATGCTTCTGGCATTATGCAGATTTCCCCTAGTAAATCATAAGAAATATTTATCAACTAATACCAAGAAACACAACTGCACAGGGCGTATGGAACACTTGCATTCAAAAGACAGCCAGAAGCAACAAAATGGCAATAGTTTTGGCATTAAAGGACCCAGACAGAAGCGGCAGACATGTATATTTGTAGAACAGATGCTGTGTGTCTGCTCTATCAATATTGATCTAAAACATTCCAAGGAAACTTCACCTCCCAATAAAAATTCTCCCTGCTACTGCAATATAAACTCTCCCACAAATATATTCAATAAATGCCAGTTAAACAAGGAAAATAATCATGTTTTCTACACCAGCTTGAATGCTTAAGAACAATTTAACTTTACATGATTTGTTAAATACCATTATTTTAACTCTTACTCCAGATACATATATTATCATAGGGAATATTCATTGTGTGACTTGTTATCCTTAGCTAATGTGACAGTGATGATGTTATACGTACACGTATAAGTTCAAACAAGAGAGATTTCTAGACAGTAAAAGAGCCATGCAGATTTCACGTGTTTAACATCAGGTTGCCTTGCCCTAAATGTATCATAATAGAACTTTTTGTGACTTTCTGCAATTTTTTTTGTCATTTCCAAGCATTAATTTATGCTCACTGTCAATTATTACATTTAGGGAATATATTTAGTATAACTTATATCATCCAAGTAATATCCTTGTGTTACTATTTTTAAACATGATGTCACATAATGCCAAGAATATATTATTGACTTCTGACATCATTTCAATTCGTTGATGACTCAGATGGTAAACTTATAAATCCTCCAGTCCTGTCTGAAATGGATCAATGGATGAATACCATCAATTGTTACTCACTCTAATAGCAGAAACAATGCATAAATGCTACACACATTTTTATACACATAGATTACTATAATGCAAAGGAAAAAAAGAACACATTCTGCAAAACAATTTCATGAGTGGTATCTTTGCATACTGAAATTATTCTCTAGCATCTAAATGTTAAAATTAAGCAGCCAACAACATCTAGTATGTCAGGTTTCTAGTCAAACTGTTTGCAAAACAGCTTTTTTTTGCACTACAAAACAAGATCTTGTGCATTTTGTATGCACATAATATATAGGCAGTATCTCCCACCTTAGCAAGATTCAGACTAATAGATTTATCAAATCCCTCATCCTGAAGACTTAAGGCTTTAAATGCATTGTCATGCTTCTTAATATGTAAATACACTATATGAAAACATCTACCAACTCACCAAATATCTAATATGTAAATGTAGGAAATGGTTAAGCATATGGGTCAAAGGAAAAATCACCATTTACAGTTTTATATACTCTGTTTAAAAACTTTGGAAAGCATAAAAATTATTTATGACATTACATGACAAAACATAAATGAAAAATAAATGAAAAGATGATGGCACCCTTATAATGCTATTTCACTATTGATCTTCTATCTATCCTGACTGACAGTTGACAATAACCCAAAATAAAATACTCTATTACCAATAATCAACTAGAGGATGCTTTTGTAAAAAAGCGCATGTCTCCCCCACTGCTGAGAATAACTGTGAATGGAAACAGGAATGGAAATGGAGATAAGATAATGTAAATACCCGGTAGTCACTTCAATGAAGGCTGTCTATGGATGGTTTCTATTGTTAAGGTTGTATGAGAAGATGCTTCCTATGAAGTTTGAGGGTTGTAGGTCAAAAGGAACTCTAGTTATCATCCGGAAATGAGAAATTGACCAACGGTCACTGTGACCTTGACCTTTGACCTACTGACCCCAAAAACAATAGGGATCATCTGCTCTATAAGACCAATCATCCTATGAAGTTTGAGGGCTGTAGGTCAAAAGGAACTCTAGTTATCATCCGGAAACGAGAAATTGACCAACGGTCACTGTGACCTTGACCTTTGAACTACTGACCCCAAAAACAATAGGGATCATCTGCTCAATAAGACCAATCATCCTATGAAGTTTGAGGGCTGTAGGTCAAAAGGAACTCTAGTTATCATCCGGAAACGAGAAATTGACCAACGGTCACTGTGACCTTGACCTTTGAACTACTGACCCCAAAAACAATAGGGATCATCTGCTCAATAAGACCAATCATCCTATGAAGTTTAAGGTCTGTAGGTCTAAAGGAACTCTAGTTATCATCCGGAAACGAGAAATTGACCAACGGTCAGTGTGACCTTGACCTTTGACCTACTGACCCCAAAAACAATAGGGATCATCAGCTCTATAAGACCAATCATCCTATGAAGTTTGAGGGCTGTAGGTCAAAAGGAACTCTAGTTATCGTCCGGAAACGAAGAATGGACGGACTGACGGACGGACGGACTGACGGACGGACAGGGCAAAAACAATATGTCTCCCCCCGAGGTGGGGGAGACATAATAAATGCCAAAGAGTCTGCTGTAGGGCCAGAAACTAGCCAAACTATTATGATGTTTGCTCTTTAAATAAAATTTCTTTACCTTCCTTCCATAAAAGTTAAACATTCCTCAAATATAGAAATAAAATACCAGTACAGATAGTAGGTCTTTTAAATGTGACATAAGGAGTAAAATCAATGTCATAATAGCTTTCAAGTGTTCTGTACATATTTACAATTATGTGGGTGGTAGTTTTTTTTCCAAACATTACCCATATTACCAATATATATTTTCTATTAACAAAAATCAATAAAATAGACTTCAGGACTAGTAGGGGAAAAAATACTAAATGCCATAAATTACAGTAGACCTGCTATTAGGGTTGTTTTTCCTTCTAGAGCAGCATCTGTTTAAAGGCTGCTTCCCTTCTGAATCTGAATCATACAGTTTTCCCCTAAAATTCAATTTTCATAAAATTTTGTGTCCCCCTTTTGCAAATAAAGTGTGTCATTTTCACCTAAATGAAAAGCCCCTTCAAAGCACTCACTGGCTATGCAAGAAAACGCTTCTTAAGTTTTTTATACACTCAGTTATAATTTATAAGGCTTAAAAAATATTAAAATTCCTTAGACTTCTGTAGTCAAAAGCAGCCTTTTTCTGTATCAAATGTAAATTTGAATTAATACTTAACATATATAAAAGTTGGTAGCTATTCAACTTCAATTTTGTTTTGTAAACACTTGTGTACAGTAAATTATGATGAGTCATAATACAAGAGACCAGGAAGCATTTCAGTCATGAACATTCTTTATTATGATTGCACTTTAAAAAGAAATCCTTCTTTACACTTGTAATGTAGACTTCTTTTTACAAGTCTATAATGAATAAAACTTGAACAAGATGTCTACTTTAAGGGAATCATGTTAAAAGAAATAGTCTTAGGGTCAAATAGAAAGAGGACCAAAAGTTAATGAAATTGGCTGAAATCTACTATTGCAGTGTCTATTCTAGGTTAGTAAAACACGCATTTGCGACATTCATGTTTTTTCCCATAGATTGTGCAGATTTTTCAAACTTGTGTGATAATCCAGGGTGTTTTTTTTTTCAAGGATTTTGGGAACATGAGTTACATGACCCATACCCATGGAATGGGGAATTTCAGCTACGTTTTGTTAAAAATTGGGAAAAATTGCATGACTGAAATTTTGCAGTGATTAAATGACTACAAAGAATAACTGTCTAGGATGGCATCTGCAAACATTTAAACACCATAACAGTGAAGAAGCCCTTATTTTCAAAGATTTTAGAATTTGTTATTCAATATTTCAGTGAAGAAGCCCTTATTTTCAAAGATTTTAGAATTTGTTATTCGATATTTTTATTTCTAACTTTTCAATTGAGAATTTTTTCCTGTTGATTGGGAAAATAATACAGAGTTCTCGGGGACGCTTATTTGCTTATTTCGGCGTCCCGGTACGCATGTTTATTACAGCTGGACGCAAATATTTCAGAGCAAGGATTCCACGTACGCTTAATTTTGCCTGGGGACGCATAAACATTACCGACTGTTTACAACCACTAATTCACAAATACGTCTGCGGGTGTCAGGCTATAGGTAAGCGGTCCTATGCACATCGACCCGTGAAGCGATTAGCCAATCAGCGATAACGCTTTCGATCATTGATCAGACTTATGTATGTACGCACGCTGTAGGTGTAATTACCAGATATAACACGAGATGATAATTTTATATATTTGATCAACAGTTAATTGGAAATTAGCAAATTTTACCGACAAAAGGATAAAAATATTGACTATTTACGCCGCAAAGTTAAAGACTGTTTTCTCAAATTACAAATGAGTGTAATTTTGAATTATTGTCGAATATTTTAGACATTTCGGCATTTTCTAGGCAAAATTTTGCTTTCGTTTCATTCTTGAAAAAACATTCTATAAGAGTATTAAGAATTTGAGATATTGCGACGAAATTCCAGGACAACAAACCAAAATACACATACGCTTTTCTTTGATATTTAGATTTTATCCGAAAATTGATCCCGAACATCGACAATTTCACTTCGCCAGAAACCCTAAAATTTTGCAAAAATTCTCAGTTTCCAAGCCAAACATGTGAATGAATTGTTCCTTTATTATTCAATCAACATTAAATCTTTAAATATCGATCTTCAATTTGCCCCCTTTTGAAGATATTTGCTAAAATAATTGTCGATCGGATGAATCTCTTACACACTGTGTGAAGCTGTACACGATTTTCCTATTCATTTCCCTAAACGCTGCCTATATACATTTACGTTTTTTTTACAAATATAAACTTTTTGTCTTTAGAGTGGACTTATTTTACCAGAATAAAATTTGATTTGGTATAAAAGTGAAAAATAAAAAACGATTTCCATGTGTTGATGCATTATAATGAAATAATTTCAAAATAAATATTAACAACAAAACAATAATTATACTATGTAGTTCAGAGTTTGTTGTGAATAACTATAAACTTTGAGTTTGAAAGTCTCTTGAAGATTCAAAATATCAGCAATGCTATTGTGAGCATTCAATAACTAATCTGTAACATATTAATTGCGACGCGCTTTTGGACTCCAACTTTTTCAGGGTTGGGAGTCCATGGACTCCATGTTTTAAAGTCCTAGTGAGAACCCTGTAATATACTATTTTCAATTGGGAATGTGACCAAATATCGACTATAAAATAAGCCAAAAATATCCCTGTAGTCCCACATCAGAATTGATAAAATAGCTCAAAAAGTATAATATTTCAAGTCAGTTTGTTTGACAATGTAAATAAATATCATTGGTTGAATGTTTAGGTGTATTTATTAAAATGTTTGCAAAGTGCTGACAAATCATTTCATATAAAATAATAATGTATTTCTTTCATAAACCCAGAGCTGATCAAGTAGTGCTATCTGCAATGCTGTCTAATTGTAATACAAGAATTGTAACAGAGTTACCAACGTCTCCCGCCTCGGGGAAGTTTTATATGAAGCATTAAATTGTGCTATTTCAAAAGATTGAGGTATCGCTCTCAGGTTTTTCAGTCCAAAATTATGATCAATGCTAGATCTGCAAATGCAATAATAAATTTTTTAAAGAAATAAAATGAAACACGGAATTTAAAAATCTATCATGTTAAGCTTTGACCACTAAGTATGACCTTGACCTTAGAGATAGGGGTGCAGGTGTCGTGCAAGACATATCGTTGTATGATTGTAACTATTTGTGCCAAGTATTTTCAAAATCCCTTGAATTATGAAGAAGTTATAGATGGTACACAAAATCTACCCTATTTCAGACTGTTAATCTTTGACGACCAAGTGTGACCTTGGCGGTAGGGACCCATGTTTTGCGCCTGATATATCGTCTTATTATTGTGATTATTTGTGCAAAGCATTTTTAAAATCCCTTGATCTATGAAAGTATGGACTGGACACAAAATATACCCTATAACAGACTATGTAAATCTTTGACCTCTAAGTGTGACCTTGACCTTGGAGGTAGGGACACAGGTGTTACCATGACATATCATCTTATCATTGTGACTATTTGTGCCAAGTATATTCAAAATCCCTTGATCTATGAAGAAGTTATATGGGGGACACAAAATATACCATATAACAGACTCTGTTAACCTTTGACCTCTAAGTGTGACCTTGACCTTGGAGGTAGGGGTGCAGGTGTTGTACTTGACATATCCTCTTATTATTGTGACAATTTGTGCCAAGTTATTTCAAAACCCGAAGAAGTTCTAGATCGGACACAAAGTATACCCTAAAACAGACTATGTTAATTTTTGACCTATAAGAGTGACCTTGAACTTTGAGGTAGGGATGCAGAAAATGTGTATGACACATCCTCTTATTATAGTGACTATTTGTGGCAAATATTTACAATATCCTTTGATCTATGAAAAAGTTATGGACCGGACACAAAATATACTCTATAACAGACTATGTTGATCTTTGACCTCCATGTGTGACCTTGACCTTGGAGGTAGGTGACCGGTTGTTGCGCATGACACGTTGTCTCATTATTGTGAACAATTGTGGCAAGTATTTTCAAAATCCCTTCAAAGATAAGAAAGTTATGGACCAGACACGTCATATACCCTCAAATAGACAATGTTGACCTTGAATGAGCAAGTGCGACCTTGACCCTAGAGGTACGGGTCTGGTTGTTGCGCATGACACATCATCTTATTATAACAAACATTTGTGCCAAGTTATTTCAGATTCCTTTGATAAATGACAAAGTTATGGACCGGACACTTGTAGGTAGTAAACACAGACATAAAAATTTATTATTGAAAGTTTTTTCATCTATTTAGATACGATTTGTTCGTATAAGAGTTTGGTATTATTTTTTTGAACAAAGAATCAAGGTGAAATGACTTAATGTTTGGTAGTTGGGAGAAGTTAATTCATGTGCATATATTTCATAACTAACAGCAAATTTGCCATAACAAAAACATAAATTTCTTTTCAAACATATATTTTACAATAATCTTAACATTTAAATAGAAATTGACTCTAATGTTGATTGAATTGTTGGAACCAAAGTGTGTTGTAATCAATTATAATGTATAGTAAAGTGTGCAGTCACCATCATAATAATGAAATGTATTGTAATTTCTGTCAAATAGGTCACTTTGATGCTTTGCCTTATTTATATTTTATGTCCATGAGTGAATAAAGTTTGGTGAAGTGAAAGAATGACAAATAGCTAGCGATTACACTTGGATTAGAATCTTTATCAAGCATTCACTTATTTGCCAAAGTAATGAAATACTTCAATACTAGTCTTCATATTTATAACACATAAAAGACTAACATTGCATCCAAATTTGACAGTTGTGCCATTGATCTGTTAAGACTGTTTGAAATTTATTCAAAACAGAGCACGATTTGAAGAAATTACCTATAAATTCATTCAGGAACCTCTGCAGAATCACACAATCATTACACACTTAGATCGTATTGTGATAAACCATAAGATTTACCCAGTAAGAAAACAGAAAAGTAACATTTTACTAATCCACCTAATTATTCAGTCATAATTTATCTGTTGACCGCCATGTTTCTTCAGGCGTTTCGATGACATTTCGTAAAAAGAGTCTACCATAAGCTTTGACAATTGGGTGATTTATTCAAACAATACATTGAATTAATTGGGAGACAATACCTTTCCGATTAGATAATGAAAAATTCTAATTCAAAGCAGAGAATGTTGAGGAAATCCGTCTTATTTTTGAAGCACACAAGTATTTTGTCTCGAAAAGTGTAATACAATTGCGCATGCGTACAATTCAACCGGAAATGAAATAACGCACGAGATATGGCGCGGTATAGTATACACCAAAATCCATTGAATTTACCGAAATCCAAAACTACCACAAAAGTTTATTCACAAAATTGAATTGATACGTCTTTAGATGAGGACATCCGGCAGTCATAGAGCAAATATATAAAACATTTATAGTTCTGGTTTTATAGTCCATTGCATATTTTGTAGAGCTAAACACACAGACACTAACTAGCTAAACTTATGATAAACAATGACCGTGTTAAATGTTAGCTAATAAAGAGCAAAATCTTTTTCTTAAAGGTAAAAATGTTCACCATAAGAGAAAAGAAAAGCTCTCTAAATTCAACATTCCAATTTTAGAACAGGAAGATTTCAAGAGATTCAAGTTTTTTGTTTGTTTGTTTTTTTTGTTTGTTTTTTTGTTTTTTTGTTGTTTTTTTGTTGTTTTTTTTTAAATTAAAGATATGCAAACTCAAAACTTCATATTTGAAAATACTGACAATTATTATACAAATTCTCAGTCTTTAGTCTTTTAATACACACGGTGAGGATATGTTATGTTTAAAAGTCTACACATTACAGGTAAATACATTATGAATTTATAGTGGCATTTAAAAAAAGGTTTTTTGTTGTTGTTAGTGTTTGGTTTTGTTTTGGCTTTTTTTCTATCTTTTTTCAGGAAGGACCATTAAAAGTATGGAATGCAGCTTCCCAATCATAGTTTAAGCATTTTCTTATTCAAATTAGACATATCTAGTGAGACCCTTTAGATTTGAATAAATCTTTGTAATAAGAATATTTTACTGAATGATGAGCATAGTATATATAACACAGTCATATTTGGTCTGCATTTTGCTATTTGTAGAAGATGAAAATTATTAAAAAAACAAAAAGGCTTCTATCAAGTATTTACGGAAGCGTCCTGGTGCCAATTCATAATGTTCTATAAAAAAATAAACTCCTACGTAGGAGATAAAAAAAGCCTAATTAGGAGTTTGTAACTCCTACGTAGGACTTTTAAACTCCTACGTAGGACTTTGTAAGTCCTACGTAGGACTTTATAACTCCTACGTAGGACTTTATAAGTCCTACGTAGGACTTTGTAACTCCTACGTAGGACTTTATAACTCCTACGTAGGAGATAAAAAAAGCCTAATTAGGAGTTTATAACTCCTACGTAGGACTTTTAAACTCCTACGTAGGACTTTATAACTCCTACTAAGTCCTACGTAGGACTTTATAACTCCTACGTAGGAGATAAAAAAGCCTAATTAGGAGTTTGTAACTCCTACGTAGGACTTTGTAACTCCTACGTAGGACTTTATAACTCCTACGTAGGAGATAAAAAAGCCTAATTAGGAGTTTACAACTCCTACGTAGGACTTTATAACTCCTACGTAGAATACATATCAAAGAACTGAAAGCACAGAGTTCGACGGACATGTATGCTAGAGTATAACTTAAGATAGCATATTATGTAGGAAAATAAATTATATGAGCCGCGCCATGACAAAACCAACATAGTGCATTTGCGACCAGCATGGATCCAGACCAGCCTGCGCATCCGCGCAGTCTGATCAGGATCCATGCTGTTCGCTTACAAACCCTATTACAAGTAGAGAAACTGATAGCGAATAGCATGGATCCTGATCAGACTGCGCGGATGCGCAGGCTGGTCTGGATCCATGCTGGTCGCAAACCCACTATGTTGGTTTTGTCATGGCGCGGCTCATATGTGTCAAGTTGTAATTGTGGCAAGCCACTTTAGTAAATACCTTTAGTCTGTAGCCAGAGATGATTTTGTCATTCTCTGCATATATTAAACGATGATTCTGTATTATGTACGTTTAGTTATATTTATTATACACATGTACACAAAATGTATGGGTTAAACTTTGTTCAAAGTAGGATATACAATGTAATTCATTATTAAACATATGCATGCATAATGCTCCGCAAACCGTTATCTTCTTAAACTTTACGGAGCAGGAACAAGACACTTCACTACCCCCCTGCCCCCTATAAGGATTTAATCATTTGAAACGGCCGAAAATGGATAAATTGCTCGTTTTGTTCAGCTAGTTTGTATTGAAATCGTAACCATTAAAGCCTTTTCAAATTTTGATATATATGCTTGATGTCGAGTAAGTTTTTTTCGAATAGCTGTAAAGCAATTTTTCGGGATACATCGCCAATGCTTACAGACACCTCACCCTAAGACACTGTACACTCTAGAAACCTGAGACACTTTATTAAAAGGTGAAGTGTTGCGGCATGGCCGTGTGACTAGTAGCCTAATGATCGCTAGCCGCATGGGTTCAAACCCCGTTAGGCGCAAGCCGTTGTTTCCTTGAGCAAGAAACTTTACACTCATTGCTAAGTACGTACTGGTTGGTTCCAGGAACGGATTCGAAAGTGTGTCTATAAGCTTATAGCTTCCTACACAATCAAACTTAAATAAATTCTGTATGAACCAAAGGTGAAATGTCCTCTATATTTAAGATTTGAGGGGGGGGGGGGGGGGCTAAGTGTCTTGTTCCTTCGCCGATATACCGGTCTGGAATGTTGAGATTTGCAAAGCATTCTGTATGCATTTCTTATAAAGTCATAAAGTCCTACGTAGGAGTTAAAAAGTCCTACGTAGGAGTTTTAAAGTCCTACGTAGGAGTTATAAACTCCTAATTAGGCTTTTTTATCTCCTACGTAGGAGTTTAAAAGTCCTACGTAGGAGTTATAAACTCCTAATTAGGCTTTTTTATCTCCTACGTAGGAGTTTTAAAGTCCTACGTAGGAGTTATAAAGTCCTACGTAGGACTTATAAAGTCCTACGTAGGAGTTTAAAAGTCCTACGTAGGAGTTATAAACTCCTAATTAGGCTTTTTTTATCTCCTACGTAGGAGTTATAAAGTCCTACGTAGGAGTTAAAAAGTCCTACGTAGGAGTTAAAAAGTCCTACGTAGGAGTTATAAACTCCTAACTAGGCTTTTTTATCTCCTACGTAGGAGTTATAAAGTCCTACGTAGGAGTTAAAAAGTCCTACGTAGGAGTTAAAAAGTCCTACGTAGGAGTTATAAACTCCTAATTAGGCTTTTTATCTCCTACGTAGGAGTTATATAGTCCTACGTAGGAGTTATAAAGTCCTACGTAGGACTTTGTAAGTCCTACGTAGGAGTTATAAAGTCCTACGTAGGAGTTTAAAAGTCCTACGTAGGAGTTACAAACTCCTAATTAGGCTTTTTTATCTCCTACGTAGGAGTTTATTTTTTTATAGAACATTATGAATTGGCACCAGGACGCTTCCGTAAGTATTCACTAAGTTCAGGTCCAGGAAAGGAAGATAATTCTTGAAAGTAGAAATTTGTTCTAAACTTTAAGTTATTCCGAATTTAGAACATTATAATTACCAAAGAGAAAAGTGCAATGGCATTGCTATTCTTGTAGTTAAAATCATTTATGGTAACCATACTTTTTCAAAATGTGCCAAGGGGCGAGTATAGGGAAATTAATGGCGCCATTCAGTAACTTATTGTGTAAGTAGGTGTTTATAATACAACCTCATAAGACTCATAGTATGAAATGACCAAAAAAGTTAACAGTAATTATTTTCAAAATGCATAACTGAGAAACTTATCTCACTTATCTTGGGCAAAACCGTCACTCAAGTAAGGCTTAAATCGTTATATAGGGCGAATCGTTATCAATACGACATATATTTTCAGCTTTTTGATCATCTTCTATCTTCTCCTTGGTACGTGCACGTTTAAGAAAAGTCATAGGGGGTTGAAGATTCGTTAACTTGGGATGGCGTAAACTAAGAAAGACGGGAGCTTGTACCTGCGGACCAGCAGCTGCTGCCTGGACTGAAGCCAAGACAAGTAGCTCTATACAAAGTAGACAGAGACGACGCAGAGAGTACTAGAATGTGTCAGCCACGGTTAGACGGCTTGAACGGCGATACTCTTTGCTGGCATTAAAGCCCTTTTCAAGGCTACCTCGTCCTTTTTTATTTGTCTTATGCTACTGTACATTTAAATTGGTTCTCGTACAGTGACCTACTTTTGGCCCAAAATTCATATCTTTGGCTTATACTTTATAAAAAAGTGAATAGAGGTTAGATAAAATTAATAAATTTGAGTCTCCGATTTGCAACTATTTGTTTTTGTTTTTATTGCTCTCGAAAAATCTCCTTTTTTTAATTTACTAATTCTTATTTTGGTGTTAAGTGCCTTATGACAGTCTGACACCTGTTAAAATCCCTCCGGACTTCATCCTTTTGTTGTTAAATATGTTTTTTACATGTTGCAGACAAAAGAAGAAAGTAAATTTCCGACGAAAATCGTTGAGCATAAAGATAAAAAGTTACCAATAATTGACCAATATATCGTTACATGTTATTTCTAATATGTTATGATATCGGAAAGTTATATTATATATTCTTTCTGTGCTTAACTGCGTCTTACAACAGCAGGTGTCAAGTGCTGTGTGGCAGCTGTAAAAATTTGCCCCGTACTTCACTTCAGTGTTGTTATATTTTTCTGGTCCTTCGGGATCATTGATGCCAGCACTGTCAAGTCGATACTACGGGGCATGAGGGATGTTGCACTTATTCATTATCCCTCATGTACAGACTCAATCAAACCGAGTCTGCAGTTCTCTTGTAACTGAGAGGGATCACTTTGTTTCCAGATTTTTTTTAAAAAATATATGCGTGTCCACTATTTACATTAGATCGCCTATATTAAGTAGAACCATGATCACATTTTGATTGTGCAAACTTGATTATAAAACATTAAAAGGAATAAAACGATTCTAAAGATAAACACTGTTGTAGTTTTTAAGTTTATCTCAAAGATCCCATAAACATAAACATCAATGAGAACAATTATAGTTTTGCACATATTGCAATCGATCATCAATCCAGCTAGGAATAGCCCTGTGTATACGTACAGCCAACTTGTGGAAATTTCTTTCACTTGATACTGATTTAAATTGTTTTCTTTATAACACCCACTTTTTACATCATGCAAATAGATATTTGGTTGAAGACATTAACTCATTTCACATTAACCGAAAATAATAGTCATAATGATTAAAATATACATGAATGTAGCAAAACAAAATTCTCGAACCAAAGGAACAAAAAAAACCCACTCTATTCTGAAAGATTAGTACATGATATGTGTTCATTTGCGAACTGCATGATTAAATGATGGTGACTTTCAATTCTAGACTATGTATACATTACCGAAAAAGCTTCCCTACATTTTCACTTTATTGCATGAAAAAACATGCAAGCTTCTAAATGTTTTTAAATAAGTAATTTCCTAGCCCAATGCTCAATTAATCTGCGGGTCCATGATCAGGTAAAGTATGGTCCTTAAAATATTTCAAAGACAAAAGGGACAAATTAGGAGATAAAACTTAAGTAGAAATAGTGATATCTGACTTCAAAATTAGAGGATATTGCATGAATGTAAATTTAATACTGAATTTATTGAACGAGTATGCGAGCCTCTGGCGAGCATTATATTAATTTATTCAACGAGTGCAATAAATTCAGTAATGAACTTACACGAATTTAATATTCTATTTATCACATACCAAAAGTAAAGACCATTTAAAGTGAAATAAGAGTAATTTTTCATTGACGCGCCTATAGTATAACGCTAACATTTAGCGCGTCTTTTCACTATGTTTATATTACGCTAATGACGTCACGTCAAAATATATGCACGGCCGTGCAATACCATTTTTACAGAGTCGCAAAATCGGCACGGGTGTGTGATAAACAGTTTTATTCTAATGTATAATTTGGATAGATGAATACATGTGGTGGGATAAAAGTCAAGTAGCCAAATCTGTAGGACTTCATTTAGTGCTTAGAAAAATTCCTTGTTCATCTAACCGGGACTCATATTTCTTGACAAATTGATGATTGCCGTGTTTGCAAGTGCCCGTTTATATATTTTTCTATAATTTGCATACTGTAAGCATGATAAACATGAAAATCTAACCAGTGTTACCAGAGACATAGTTATCTATGTCTCTGGTGTCACTGTCGATTTTAATTAGGTGTGAAAAGATATTTTAAAGGACAGGGACTTTCCCAGTGACGATTACTTAATTTAATGGATAATAAACAAGTGCGCCGTATCGTAAACAGTTATGCATCATAATATTAAAGACAGAATTACAGTTGGGTGCGCTCTAAATAAATCTTAGTACCGCGAAACCTGTAATTGTTTATGTTTGTAGGAGTTAATCCCCTTTGTTCAAGGTCATACAACGGTAGAGGTCGTTCGTAGAATAACAAAGATGGTGGCAGAATGAAACGAAATGGTTGTTCCTAATCCATAATTTTCGGTATCTTTTAGGGGGAAATTATTTGAATGGACTGTTTCTCAACAATCTGTTGATATGCAAGGATTATTTGGACGCGTTTTCTTCAGAGCTTTTGCGTCGAATGTTCAGACGGAAATCAAAACAAAACAACCAGCATTAGATCCGCTAAAGTTTGTTACGGGCTGCTCTGGTTTTTCTAAATCATTATCACCTTGTGGTACTGGAACTGGGCAAAGGAAATGGTCATTTGGTGATGATTCATATTTTATTGCGAGAGATAAAACTGCCGATGTTTTAGGTAACTGATGTTGTGTTATAATTCTTTGTGCGCATCATTGACGTTATACATTTTGACATTAGTCACGTGACCATGTCATTTTGTAAACAAAATTGATAAAATAAACAAAATTGATAAAATGAGCATCTTTATCTATGATTGTTTATGTATATATATTTACTTTTGTATCTTTTAATTATCAATGATAATTTACCATAAAAGGACTTTAAACAGGAGTTTGATTAATAATTTAATTGAAAAATTCTTGTTACTGCAGTGCAGGTCATTGACCTAGCCTAGGCCATACATAATTTGTCACCTTGTCATTTTGTTTTCTACTATCTGTGACCCATGGTCACCTTGTGTTTAATGACACCCACTCTATATGATTACTGTCAAAGTGACATTCAAGGTGTAACATTGAACAAATGATCACCAATTATATGTCACTGACCATGTCACCAAGTACACCATGATTCCTGGCATCCTGCATGAATGTTCTGGGATCCCCCCCCCCCCCCTGTATCAACTTTCCTGCAGGGAAGTTGTGTTTTCTATTAAGCACACTGACAGTCATTGAGCTTGCAGTGCATCAGATCTCACTTGATAATGGATGATATCAATTTCTTGCAATTATATTTAAATAGAAACTTTAATGAAATATTGATTTCTTGATAATACTAATAGAGTTGATTATGTGTTATTTAGAATAATATTAATTTATATGTTTAAACTTTCAACTTCTTTTGTATTAAATGTTAAAATACTTGAATAGTAGAAATAATATCTTACCAGAATGTCAGTTCATTACTCATAGTCGTATAAGTCATATATAATATTTAAAGAGAAAATAGAGGCATGACAGCATCTTTTTTATGATTTAATTTTACTAATCCTGGGTTTAACAAATAATTAACTTTCGTTACAGTTAGGTATTAATGTATATTAATTTCAGGAGTTGCAGATGGTGTAGGGGGTTGGAGAAATTATGGGATAGATCCATCAGCATTCTCTACCTCATTGATGCGAGTATGTGAACGTCTTGTTGCAAATGGTCATTTCAAACCTCAGTCACCAGCCAACTTGATCCAGGATAGTTACGAAGAAATTTTAGCACACAAATATCCTTTAATAGGTAAGTTTATGATTAATTATTTAAGGAGATTAGATTTGTTAGTGAATTGAACAGGGTGACTTATTTGCAGACTATCCTAAAACATGATGAAAGATTTTTACTTATTTCAAAAATTAAGTTTTATATTTAATATTATTTGGGAGAAAGTATGTAAGTGGCCAGGTAGCTTTATCTGTAGGTGGGGTGACCAGATAGCATTTTCTGTAGGTGGGTCACAGCTGGGATATGCATTTTTTTTCACCCTGTGACACATTTCAATATTAACTGTTTGAGCCTACAATAATGAATTGTTAAGAACTTTCTTATTTCTCCCTTTTCAAATATATTTTTAAAATCGCAAAACATAAAATCGCTTTCGTTTCTAAAATTCATTCAAAATACTTTATAAGTTTTATAAGAAAAGTTATCTATTATGTAATGAAAATGAGTTTTCATTTTAATTGATAGATCTTTACATTTTATGTAATATTTTTTTTATTAAAGGTGGCAGTACAGCTTGCGTTGTAGCACTTCACAAGGCAGAGCGCACAATCTACACAGCTAATCTAGGGGATAGTGGGTTTATGTTAATTAGAAATGGGGAGGTAGTGCACCGGTCCGAGGAGCAACAACATTACTTTAATACACCATTCCAGTTGACAGTAGCACCACCAGAGCAGGAGGGACTAGTACTCAGTGATAGGTAAATTATTATAGAAATACAAAGACTGGTTTTAACCTTGAACCTTCTGAATTCGTGTAATGGATCTGCTCTGCTTTGAATTTGGAACAGCCCATTTGAAGGTTATGGGATTTCAGTGTCAAAGAACAAAAAATGATCTACAAATTGTGTATAGAGAGAGTCTGGTCAGACTAAAACAGATGTATGTAGAGGCTGGCCTGGCTCTATACTCTAAAGATTGGCAAGAAAGGCTAATCACCGAGTTTCAGTAGGTTATGGGTTAACCAGGGCTCTCGTTAGCATTTTGAGACTGGGGCCAGGGTCCATGCAGAGGGGGAATTTTGCATGATTTTCAAATATTTTTCATTTAAAGGGGATTTTTTATTTTTTCGGTAAAACTTGAAATTGTGCGACATGTTGGAATGCTAAAAACTGTCCGGAACATTTTATTTATATATACATACTAATTTTCGATAGCCGTTCCCAGAATACGTACTAATTTCTGGTTGCCAGTCATGGAATACATACTAATTTCTGATTGCTGTCCGCGGAATACGTACCTATTTCCGGTTGCCGTTCGCAAAATATATATTCGCTGATCGGCATTTTCTATGCCTGTTAAATATTAATTTCCAGGGATTTCAAGGGAGATTTTTTTTCGGTTTTAGAGGAAGAAACATACTTTTTTGGTGGGGGAATGGGGCCGATATTCGGCCCCAAATTTTATCAAACGAGAGCCCTGGTTAACTGTTAAAGGCCTGGCTCTATTGACAGAGGCTAATCACAGAGTTTCAGTAGCTTAACTGTCACCTAGTAATGTAGTGGACTTCAGTTGCTATGTATTTGAGTTGAAACTATCCATTGTTAGATATAGGATGTTAATTAGATAGAGAAGCCCATTAAAGCTTGGATAGACTACACCAAGCTGTCCTGGCAATATACTGGTAGCATATACAGTACCTGTCATTATTGTGGGTGAAAGCTTTGAAACTGCTTGCTCACATTAGTGGTATTCCAACATTATTAACTTGTTTAAGTATATTCTACATGTATACATGTACCTGACTGAAGTGACACTAAAATTACACAAGTGTCTGTTCGCCCTTGAAAATTGGATAAAAATCAAAGGTCTTCATTTTTAAGAAAAACAAAAACAAAAAAACAAAACCCACACACAGGCTTAGTTCTGTTTTATGCAGATTTTGTGGGAATAAGTTTACTGACGCACGACCATATTCATTCAGCATTTATTGCAGGAAAAAAAGTTTAACTCAACCATCTCAAAATTGCAAGTAATTTGCTTTTATGTGTGCTGTCAAGATCGGATATTGTCTTTAAATGATATATGCTTGACAGTGTGTTTTCTCTAAAAGCTCTTTTGAATGTCAATGATCAGGGGAATAATTTTGTCAATGATTTTATTGATTATATCATACTTGTAGGGTTTATTTCTATATATTGTCATTTTGTCTGTCATAGCAGATAATGCATAGAGGATAAATGATATAATAGAACCTTAGGTTGAGTTAAAAACTCAGATGGATGATTGTTGTGTACTCGTTCAAAAGTATTATTGAATTTGATAAATCGTCTGAAAAAAGAATTTAATACATTAAGGAGCAAATTTAAACAGATGAAAATGAGGACCAGTAATAGAATAATACAATAAAGAGCAAATGTAAAAATAATAACATAAAGAGCCAATGTAAAAATAGTACATTGAGGAGCAAATATAAAATTCTGCAAGGAGGAGCAAATGTAAAAATACCATGAGGTGTAAAATTAATGTAAAATTGACAATAAGGAGCAAATTTAAGATTATATAATGAGGAGCAAATGTAAAATGGTAACATTGAGGAGCAGTTGTAAAATAAGACAGTTACAAGGAAATGTACAATAAGACAGTTAGGAGCAAAATTAATATAAAATAAGACAGGAGCAAATGTAAAATAAGACAGGAGCAAATGTAATAAAATTACTCTGAGAAGCAAATGTAAAGAATACAAAGTGGCGGCATGGCCTAGTGGTTAACACGTCGGACTAGTAATCTAATGATCGCTAGCCGTATGGGTTCAAACCCCGTCAGGGGCAAGTCGTTGTTTCCTTGAGCAAGAAACTTTACACTCATTGCTCAGTACTGGTTGGTTCCAGGAACGGATTCGAAAGTGTGTCTATAAGCTTATAGCTTCCTACACAATCGAACTAAAATAAATTCTGATGAAGAACCAGATAGGTTCGAAACCGGTAGATCTTTTATTAAAATTTTGTTAACATTTATCCGGCGTTGACGTGTGGTTTCTTTGAATTCTTCCTTTTTATCCAGTAAAATAAATTCAGTATAAACCAAAGAATACAATTAGGAGCAAAGGTAAAACTGACAATAAGGAGCAAATTTAAGATCATATAATAGGAGGACATGTAAAATGATAACATTGAGGAGCAAATGTAAAATGATTACATTGAGGAGCAAATATAAAATGATTACATTGAGGAGCAACATATAAAATGAATACAATGTGACAAATGAGTAGTGAATGTAAAAAATACATTGAGGAGCAAATGTAAAATAAGATCTTTAGGAGCAAATGTAAAATAAGACATTAAGGAGCACATGTAATAAAATTACTCTGAGAAGCAAATGTAAAAATAGTACAATGAGGAGCAAATGTAAAATTGACAATAAGGAGCAAATTTAAGATCATAAAAATAAGAGCAAATGTAAATTGATTACATTGAGGAGCAAATGTGAAGTAATACAATGAGGAGTAAATATAATAAAATTAAATTGAGGAGCAAATGTAATAAAATGACATTGAGGAGCAAATGTTAACAAAATTACATTGAGGAGCAAAATGTAAAATGAATACAATGTGACAAAGTAACTTTGAATCATGTACCCCTCACCGCTGTTGAATCCCACTAGGTACTTTGGATTCTTTCATGTGAGGAAGCTGTTCAGCTAGTTTAAGGAACGTTGATAGTTCTATTAATCAAATGCCTGCTTGTGCTGGAAATATTGCTTTGAGGGGAAGCTAAGGTCTTCCTCCACTATAATTGCTAAAAAATTAATCAAATGACCATAAACATTGTCAGTGTGACTTATAAGTTATAACCCATGTGAAAGTAAAATTATTTATTACTAACTTTCATTGTAAAAATGTGTAGGTGTATATTGCATATAAGTGTGTTTTAACCTGAATAAAATCAGTCAATCAATCAATCAATCAATCAGTCAGTCAACCCAGCAACAAAAAGGAGCAGTTTTAAAATATTTCAATGTAGAGCAAGCGTAAAATAATTCACTGCAAATTCGACAGTATAGTCAGAAGTAAATGTCATTGTTAATTTATAAAATGTTGAACTTTACGAATTGTTTCAGAATTGATATGGCAGCAAAGACTTCATATAAAGTAGAGGAAGGAGATGTGTTACTTATGGGAACAGACGGTTTATTTGACAACATGCATGAAGACATGATTCTTGATTACATTTCTAAATACAAGGTATAATATCCCATAGTTCCCTGCCTATTTATCTTTCTAAATGTTGTTTATTATAGTTCCAGTGCTGTCATTGAAAATTGCCATTTCAATATTTTGTCAGTATTCAGCTTTAATCAGCTACATGTATCTAGATTGGTATTCAAAAATAGCGATATTGGTACATGCATATAAACAATATTCAAATTCAGTTCAATATTAAACACAATCTAGAATATTGACACATTTCTCCTTTGTCTAGTGGAAATATTTCTCTAGATTTTGTAAGATAGGAGAAATCACTTCTCTCCCTGTTTTTTCTTGGCTAACTTGAACCCTAAATTTAATTGTCAGTGGTGAGTGAGAAAAAATAACAAAAACAAAAAATAACGACATACTTTTGTTTTGATGACGACATTTTTGACATGTATGGTTTTTATTGTACAAGCAGTTTTAGCTATATAATATTATTTATCAATCTATTTTGATACTCGGGTTCTGATATATTGTTACAAAAATGTTTTCTATCATTGACAGTCCTATTTAGTTCATTTAAATGATGTATCAATTAGGTTGTGTTTTTTTTTTGCAGCATTTCATTAAGAACAGCGCATCTCTAATTTAATATTGTAATAAGTGAAAGGGGGCAGACTTTGCTACTTATGACCTTCTTGCAAACTTTGAACAATGACTTAGTACTTATAAATGATTGAGGCAGGAAACTGTAAAATTTTTACGCTTGTATCAGTAAATAGATGTTACTTTAATGTACCAGTAATGTATATTGTATATTTTAAACTCTGGATTTAGAAAAGCTGTAGGACAAAAACCATGTTTCAAAAGAAAATTTTTATTGTTAAATTTTTTTTTACGATTGGTATTTTTGTATTTCTTCACAGACATTTGAAACACAAAGTATTTTATTGTAGTAGAGCGGGGTCGTCATTTGCCGAACGATGTCTATTTCCGAACAATATATATGCGGTCGTAAAAATAACAGTAAGGTTGCGTTTTTTAAAGTTTTTTGGCGCGAAATATTTGAACGTAATTGTTTGCTTCCGGTTGTTTACAATTCCAAGGTCGTCCTGTCATCTTTAAAAGCGAAAGATATCATCGAGGTAAGTCCTATAAATTTTGTCATATATTTAGCCGTACATGCTAAGGAGACTGCTGACGTAGATAAGCGATGCAAGTTTTGTATTTTGTGTTTAAATGTAAACATGTATGAAAGTATGTAGATGTACCCCTTCCCCACCCATCTAAATTAGAATGTTCTAGAATAGACAGACGTAGATCTTGCCACGTGGTTGTTCGGAATTATCCTCTCACTTTTTAACCGAGGGTCTAATTCCGAACAAATAAGAAAACACAAACATCAAAAAAAGGCTAGAGGACTAATTTGTATTTAATAGTTTAAGTAAATTATAAATAAATAAATCTAAATAAATAAATAAATAAATAGATAAATTAATAAATAATTAATCAATAAATAAATTAAACAATCAAAAAAGTTGGTTAATGAATGAAAAAATAATTCATTAATAAATTAACTCATTCATTCATATCTCACAGGTAACATGAGCCGTTCTATCGGTGCAAAGTCGTATACCCCGGATGTGCTGGCAGAGGCTGCCAAGCTTGTTCAGGGTGGGAGCCTTACGTTAAGTTGTGCGGCCAAGTCGTACGGGATACCGAAAACGACTCTGCATGATAAAATCAAGGTATTTAGAACAATTTTATGAATAAATAAGTACGTTTCATCGGGTCATTGTAGTTTGCGAACAAAGCAGGCCAGTTTATATAATTCCTAATTCTAGCTAGTAATTTGTTAAAACGCCATTTATTTTCGTTTAATTATTATTGTTTTATAAATGACAGTAAAAGATTAATTTTATCATTGATGAAATGGTTCTCAGTGCACTATTGTTTATTATCCTTGTTCATATCACACTCCTACTTGTTTTAGGGAAGATACGCAACAAACAAAACAGGTCCCCGCACTGTCCTCTCGCCGGCTGAGGAGACCCGCCTGGCAGAATGGGCAGTCAGCATGTCCAGGATCGGCTATGGAAGGACGAGGCAGGAACTGTTGACCACGGTAAAGAAGATCCTTGATGACGATGGTCGTAAGACGCCCTTTAAAGACAATCGACCCGGCAAAGATTGGTACAGGGGCTTCGTCAAGCGTCACCCTGAGCTGACGGAAAGAGCGCCCATGCAGCTCGGAAAAGAAAGAGCAGTGATAACGCCATCAAAAATCTCAAATTGGTTCTCAGAGTTAGAGTTATTTGTAAACAATGAGTTGAATGACACATGCCTATTGTCTGATCCGTCTCGTTTGTATAATGCTGACGAGTCCGGGTTTCCACTATGTCCTAAAAGTGGACGAATCATTGCCATGAAAGGGGCAAAAAATGTTTATAACTGCACAAGTAGTAATAAAACTCAAATAACTGTGTTGGCCTGTGTTAGTGCTATTGGACACTACATAAAGCCAATGATTGTATATCCTGGCGAGCGTGTGAGGGCTGATATTCTTGAAGGTTTTCAGGAGGCTGCAATAGGTCGTTCTCCGAATGGGTGGATGGAGTCTGAATTATTTTTGACCTGGATAACGGACGTGTTTATACCCGACTTAGACGAGCGTCAAGTCAAACGTCCAATCTTACTATTGGTTGACGGCCACTCAACACATGTGTCTTTAGAGGTGTCGGATGTCTGTAAGGCAAATGGCATTCACGTGTTTTGTCTACTTGAGCACGCCTCACACTTGATACAGCCGCTTGATCTTCGGGTTTTCGGGGTATTAAAAGAAAACTGGAGTCAGGCTGTGAGAGATTTTCAAATTGAGAATATCCCGAATACAGTTACGAAGAGGACTTTTGCTCAAGTATTTAAGGGCGCCTGGGAACGGTCAGCCACCACTGAGAACGCAATATTGGCATTTAAGTATGCTGGCCTTTTCCCTTTAAATAGAGACATTGTTCTGAAAACAGCAAAAATGGAACCATCGACAATCTACAGCTCAAAGCTTAACGCACCAAAAGCTACACCTGCTGGGGTTCAAATGAATGTGCAGCCTGACTTACTTCCAGATGTACAGCTGGACGTGCAGCAAGCTGTACAACAAGAAGGGCAGCAAACTGTACAGTCGGACGTGCAGCAAGCTGTACAACCGGAAGTGCAGAAAACTCTACAGTCAGACGTGCAGCAAGCTGTACAACCGGAAGTGCAACAAACTGTACAGTCTGACATGCAGCAAGCTGTACAACCGGAAGTGCAGGAAACTGTACCGTCAGGCGTGCAGCAAGCTGTACAACCGGAAGTGCAGCAAACTGTACAGTCGGACGTGCAGCAAGCTGTACAACCGGAAGTACAGCAAACTGTACAGTCGGACGTGCAGCAAGCTGTACAACCGGAAGTGCAGCAAACTGTACAGTCGGACGTGCAGCAAGCTGTACAACCGGACGTGCAGAAAGCTGTTCAACCGGAAATACAGCAAACTGTACAGTCGGACGTGCAGCAAGCTGTACAACCAGTAGTGAAGCAAGTTGCACTACCGGAAGTGCAGCAAGTTGCACTGCCGGATGTGAGTCAAGCTGTACAGCCCGACGAACAGATAGATCTACAGTTTGTCGCGAACCCACAGACATCCTTGCAGCAATCGCCATTTTCGAAACACCTAGCAATGCCAAAACCCAGAACTGAAAAGAAAACGATTAAAAAAATTAAGTTGCCGAAGGCAGTTACTGGTGAGGCATTTAGAAAGATAATGTTAGAAAAAAAAGCACTTAAAGAGCAAAATGAACGCGAAAAGCAAGAAAGAAAACTAGAACGTGAACGAAAACGCAAAGAGAAAGATGAGGAAAAACAAAGGAAACAAAAAGAAAGGGAGGAAAAAAAGCGGCAAAGAGAAATTGAGAAAGCAGAAAAACTAAAAACAAAGGCACTAGCAGAAAAAGTAAATCAACATTTAGCAAAACGAAAAAGAAATGACGTATCTAGCAGCTCCGATTCGGGGTCTGATTTTCAACCGAATGACGACTCGGAATACGAATGTGACATTGACAGAATGAAATGTTTCAAGTGCGGTGAACTTTACAATGACGATAACCCGCTGGTATGGATCTCGTGTGACAACTGCCCTCGTTTATTCCACAGGAAATGCACAGACATTGATTTCAGTGGAATGGACGAGGAAGACATCGCAAGTTTCCCATTTGAGTGTCTGTACTGCTGAAAAATAGTTGCACGAGATCGAAAACAGTGAACTTGATAGATACATATCGTCTCTGGTTGTGTTTGGTCACATCCATACTCCGAGTCATCGTTTGTGTTTAAGACAATTAAATATTGTTGTTATAATTATGTTTAAAGATATTGAATGAATTATCTTGTTTAAATTGTTTAGATTAAACGAAATTAGATAAATTAGTTATTTTTAAAAAGCCCGTCATGTTCGGAAATAGACACCGTTTGTGTTCGAGTGACCCGCACTGTTCGGAAATGCACGCAGTCACAAGAGTTTTTCTGGCGCGATTTTCCTACTTACTGTTTATCATGAGCAAATGCCATATGTCTTGTTTGAAAGGTTAAAGGTCAGACAATGTGTGCATAATATTATTAGTTCGGAATTAGACATCTGCTCCTTATTATAAGCAGCGAACCTTAGGTGTTCGGAAATGCCCGACCCCGCTCTACATGTTAGATTTGTACACAATCAAAAAGAACATAAAATTCTAAATTTAAACTTCCTGTTTGAACAAACTCGTCAAACTATAAAAATTTTGAATTTAAGAATATAATCAATGGGTTTTCTCATAAAGTTCAGAAGAGGCCTTAGTCTCTCATATTTTGAGAAAAAATTTCACTTTGCTAATTTGGGGTGTAAGTTCAGATTTTTTGAAAAAGTGCATAATTTGAAGAAAATTTTCATTTGAATATGTAAGCTGAAATAGCCACTGATAATGTATCATAATTATATCAAATGTCATATCAGACTATCATGTATCATACATCTTTGATTTTAATTACAGGATCATAAAGACTCTAGTAAAGTATCAGCCAATCACATCGCTCAGAAGGCCCAGGATCTCTCTCTAGATCCAGACTTTATGTCCCCATTCTCAATGTCAGCTTTAAATGCAGGAATACCTATTACAGGTATGTTAATTTATATATGATATATGTCTATAACGATATGTTCAAACTAGAGGGGCGTCTTTGGCCGAGTGGTTAAGATTGTTGACTTCAAACCACTTGTCCCTAACTGCTTTGGGTTCGGATCCTGACAGGGACTTTGGATTCTTCCATGTCATTGTGAGGAAGCTATCCAGCTAGCTTATAGAATGTCTGTGGTTCTACTCAGTTGCCCGCTCGTGCCTGAAATAATGCACAAAAATATTTTGCTTGATAAATTCATGGCAGTGGTAATGAATAGTTATTTTCATGGCATTAAGTTTTATTTTGGTAATGTCTGGATGAAAATTAATAATGAAATTGCTTGGACATGGAAATTTTATTGAAAAATCACGAAAGTTAAACTAGTGAGTCGGTAAATAAAAACATCTGTCTGTTTTAGTAAAATAGGAGAATAATTTCTTTTCGTAAAATTTTATTGAAAAAATTTAAAATTAAATTAGTGTCTTCGGAAAATATTAATAATTTCTTTAGTAAAAATGAAGTTCATTTTGTTTCATGTTTTTAACAGGTGGTAAGCCAGACGATATTACAGTTCTAGTTGCCACGGTATCATGTGACCTGGGTACCTAGCAACAGTGCCATCTAGTTTATGAAAAGGGACACAACTCATCTAGACCATAAATTGTTTGTAATTTTACATTAGGCAAATGTTTGTGTTATGCTGTAAGCAGGGGATAGGAAAACAGGGCGAGGCTTTATATGTACAATGTACTATGCAGTTATAGGTGTTTTTTGTGGAGAGATAGAACATTAAGTAAAGATGATTCTTAAATTTTTAAAATGAGAGAATCTATAGACAGACGATAAGTGCCAATAAGGGAAAGTTGACAATCTTGAAAAATGATTTTTAACTTTTCTTGTGTAAGATTGAATTTTTCATAACATGTTAATTTATTAAACATTTTATTTAAGATATATTTATATGGACACATTCGAAAAGATAAAGAACTTAAATTTTTAGATACAATGTTATAAGATGATAACTTGTTAAAATGAGATTTTGTTGTCTTTATGCCATTGTTTAGAAATTTGTTTTATTTGCTAAATTTCGTTTGTAGTTGAAAAAGGGCATTAAATTGATTGTTTTAATTTGAAAATAGTTAAATGCTTCAACATTTTTTCTCTCTAGTAGTTAATTCTAAATAGATATTGCTTAGATAAGGATATATGCACTAAATATGCAATATTGCAATAGGTTAAGAAATTTGTGTGTTTCGTCAATACAGCCGGCACTTGTGAAACTATTTCCTGTTGTGAAGTGTTTTGCTTGTTCGTACATCTTTGTTTATTTATGATTCAGATATTCTATTTTTAAAGTTAGTTTAAGCAAGGTTAGGTGTCAATTACAAATATTGAACCGAGTGGTTAAGGCAGCTGGTTAAGGTCGTTGACTTTGAGCCACTTGCCCCTCACTGCTGTGGGATTGAATCCCAACAGGGACTTTGGATTCTTTCATGTGAAAACTATCCAGCTGGCTTATAGAACATAGGTGGGCCTACTGAAATAATGCACTGAAAAAAGTAAAAAAGGATTTATGAAAATAGGTTTTCGTATGAATAAAGAAATTACTTAAAAAAAAATATTTTGATATTCAGAGACAATTTTTAAAGTTTAAAGGATGGCAAATGCCTTAGACAAGCTCTTTACCACTTTTTCAAAATGGTTAAAGTTCTTATTTCAAATCACTTGCCCTTCACAGCTGTGGATCCGAATCCCGTCGGTGTCTTTGGATTCCTTCTTTGATGTGAAGAAGCTATCCAGCTAGCTTACAGGTTGATGGTTCTACTTGCATCTGAATTGATACTGAAGAGGCACCTAGGGTCTTCCAACAACTGAAAAGCTGGAAAGTCGTCAGTTGACCTTTACATTAGTGGTGCGACTTGAACCCAGTCAACCCAAAGAAAATAAGTTGAATTTGTTCCATTGACTATTGTTTAAACTATTTTGTACGCATTTTACGATTTTTATGATAATTTGGAGACAAGAATTTGGAGAGATGCTGCTTTGAGGGTAATTCTGTTCACTAAGAGAATCTCTTAAGGTCACATGTAGTCATGTATTGTAGGTGCTAGATATATTAGTTAACTTAGTTTACTATTCAGACTAAGAGTATTAGAAAATGAAAGTAATTAATCAAGAGAAGGTTTGGTTTGTAGATGAAAAGACAGTGTAAATATTTATACTGAAAAAGTATGTACATGTAATATCATTGTGTAAATAGGTATTAGAGAAAATTCTGTATATATGAAGTACAATTTGTTGTATGCCATTATTTTGTATGTAATTTTTTTTCCAAGGGCTAATGGCTGTTAAACTTGTGTTTTTTGAAACAGTTGAATAATTTTATTAGTATGTATTCAATAGTTTCAACACAAGAAACAAAACTATCAATTCATTGTGTTGAATTATTTGCATTTTTAAAGCCCTGGTTTAACGGCCACAGCCCAATTGTCACATAAATGGAGCATTTGCCATTATTTTTCACTGAATATTTGTGTTCATGAATTTTACTTATCTGTGATACAAGAGTGAATGTATAACTTTTTTTTCTATACATATTTAAGAATGGAAGCTGTAATTGTCAGGTGTTTTTGTTGTTTTTTTTCTGTTGAATATTTTGTATTTTTGTCAGTACACTTAAAAGTATTTGAAATATATGTTCTCAGAAGTTGGTATGTGGATCTAGAGGGAGCATTTATATTAAATGCAGTTGAAATGAACGGAACTCTTACAGAAAGATTTTATCAGAAAACTACATCCAGTTTATTGACAGAAAGAAGTTAGTTTTAATTAATATGTTCTTATACTTAGCAATTAGCTTTACGGCTTATTTAATTTAGGAAAAAAAATCATTTTTACCAGTTAATTTAATTATACACATGTGAGAAACTGAAAAGTAACATCCTTCAATTTGAGTCATCTTAAAGGCACTGGACTAGGATCAGTAAAGCTTAAAACATAAAATTTGAATTTCTGACATTGATTAACTGGGGCATTTCAAACAGAAAAGATTATTAAGAAATATACTCAGAAATAAATTGATAATCATACTTAGCTATTCTTCACCCGATTTGATTGAAAGAATTGCAATGCTTTAAAATTTTGGGTCATTTTTTCACAAGAAGAATTCTTGAAAAACAGAGTAAGTGAATAATATGAAATTTTACACCCAAGTAATTGGTCTAGACCTATATCAAATGGTACATTTATTCCAAAAATTATTTCCAAACTGAGCGTGTCTAAAAACCTCAAGAAAAGGGAGTAACTCTGTCATTACTTATATTTCTGTTAATATTTGGCTGTTTGTTGTATATATATTTTGCAATATTGAAAACCTCAATGATATGATTTATTGTTGTATTTACTATTATATCACCAACTTGTAAGAATTATAATTCATAGTGCACATTTTTTGTATTTAGCACATGAAACCACTTTGAAAAGAAAAATGGAAACTTGGTGCAAAGATTTTATTGTGATAGATGCAGGTACACATGTATATAATTATGTACTTTTTTGTTGTGATAAATGAATGTTCACATCTGTTTCACATAGCGAGGGGTGACTGCAAAACTGTTTTAAGTCCATTATTTCATATAAGTTACAACAGTTTTGCAGTCAACCCTCGATAGGTAAGTTAGTTGTACAGATCATTGATTTTTTTTTTATTCTTATATTGCAGAAAACTAAATTTTTGTCTTTTAATTGAATTATTATACAGAACAGAAACTTGTGTAACTTATAAGAATTATTCACTTGAACTTAGAAATATTTTGGTCCTTGCTGATCTGTGTAATTCGTTTAAGTATACTAAGGTATTAAATTTTTTTTAAAAAAGTAAAAAAGCATATTTTGACATGATTAATTATTTTTATCTTTCCTTATTTGCATTTAGTTGAATATTTGTAGATGTGTTTGTCATAATTTTTCCTACCAGTACATCCTGATCTCCTGATACAATAGGTGTTATTGTTCCCTACATGTCATCCATTTATTTTCATTTGATATTTCATTGGTCATTCGTTATGTGTGGGTTTTTGTTAGTAAATATGTTCTATTTGTCATTCAATTTGCTCACGCTTCACATTGAACTTTTTAACAAGATTGCCTTTTCTTGATTAATTTTTAACTTATTTGTCTTAAGGTTTTTGACCAAATATTAAAAAAAAATGTATATAGTGAGATATACTTCATATCACATTGCTTGGAAGTGAGTGAGATATAGAATTTTGGTTTCCGTTCTTTACATTTCAAATGAAGAGCTATGAGGAATGTATTGTAGATAAAGATTTTCACAATGTTATTGATTACATTGCATGTCATTTGGAGTAAATTTTTAGAAGTCATCAGGATACTTAAGTAGAATACAACACAAAATAAAAAAATTCTTTGTTCTTGGTAAATATGGACTGCATAGTGTGTAATTATCTTAGAAATTTCACATTTAAAAAAATTTCACATTTTTAGCAGGATAAAGACCATATTCACAGAACAGGTACAAATATCCTCATTTATTGATGTTCAGAGCTAAACATTGTTCTTTTGTTAAAATATTTTCTTTGCAAAATGTCTTTACACAGGTTTTTTTCTTCTTTTAATTTTCAAAAAGGCTGGCCTTTACACAAATTTACAGGTTTATTTATTTATATATATGTAGTTTATTTCCTAACCCATGTTGATATTTTCCATATTTATTGAAACGTTCTGGCAGCAACCCTGAAAAATACTAAATTCAGGTTGAAATTCTCTTTTAAATTAAGAGCCATGCCATGACAAAACCAACGTAATGCGTTTGCGAACAGCATGGATCCAGACCAGCCTGCACATCCGTGCAGTCTGATCAGGATCCATGCTGTTGGCTATCAGTTTCTTTATAAGTTTGTAATAGGTGAACAGCATGAATCCTGATCAGACTGCGCGGATGCGCAGACTTGTCTGGATCCATGCTGGTTGCAAACGCACCAAGTTGGTTTTGTCATGGCATGGACATTTGTTTTCATAGTTTGTACATAGTATCCAGAATTTTTAAGTTGTTTTTTTTTTCGTTCATTTTGCATTCTCATTGATAAATATGAAAACTTGGTCATTAATGGCAACAGATGCTGAAGATTATATATGTTTAAAAGCAATGGATGGTTAAGAGTTTTCACTGGTGGAATTATAAGAAAAGTACTTAATTTCATATAGCTCATTATTTTATGTTGTTACGTTTTTTCCCCAAATTTGTAAAGAATACCAGTACCGTTATTTTTAGTGAAGGATTACTATACTTATATAACATGTATGTATATCAATGAATTATAATGTGTTTTAAGTAATTATTGAATATATTTTTATTTATTTATTTGTTCGAGTAAATTTACGATTAGATTATTGCCTCAATTTAGTTAGGCAGCGTTTTTATCTATTTTATTCCGTATGACGATAAATATTTGCCAGACAATATTTTTTTTCTTTCTGAATACTAGCGTTTAATTTCACATAATTGTCAGCTTTTTTTGCCATCAGCATGAAGCCAGTCCAGCCTGCACATCTGTGCAGTCTGGCCTGGCCTCTAAACTGTTGGCTGACTTAACACAAGATGTTCATCTTGCTATCCCCAAATTGATAATGGACAGCAAGGTAATTTAAACTTAGTTTCAATACCAGCAGTAGACGAGAGTAATTCACAGTCATATTTTACCTATACTGGTTGGGGAGATAACTCCGACACTAAATCACATATTTTTTGCAATATTTTAATTATCTTCCAGTATATTTTAAATATTGAACCACCTAAACAAAGTTCAGTTCAAAGATTTTACATTACACCACAAAAACTATGTATGAAAATGGAATCTGGTACTTCTTTAAGGTCTTGAATGAGGTATGCAAAACATGGTCTTTTTAACCCACAACAGTAGATAAAGTCGACACTTAAAATTTTAAGTAAAAAATGACTGGAAAATCAGCATCAATAATTTATTTTTACATCTTATATGGTTTATCTATTTTTTGTAAATATTTAAACAATTTTTCAAAAATCTTTCCCAAGTCAGTGGCCTGTGTGGTCAATACACTTCTAACTACCTTACTGTAATTTTTAGTAAAAAGAACGTTTTGAAGCAGTTTTTGCCTACAAAAAGTTTAGGTTATTTGAAAAACATTAAAAAGTCTACCAAATTATAACAAATCATCACATTCTGTCCTGTTCCTATACTGTTAGGTGATCATGTGCTTATTTGTTGAAAAACAAAGCAAAAACAATTATATTTATCAAGTGTCGGGGTTATCTATGCGTCGGAGTTATCTCTCCAACCAGTATAGTCACACCAGCCAAACCTTTTGTAAAAAAAAATTATTTTATTTTTATTAATACCAAAATTTCTTCAAAAATAACATTGGACTGTTCCCAATTTCAAAACAGGGCAAGTCCATTATTTTAATTTAGAGGTGTCATTGCCTTTCTTGTATTGAACACCAAGATATTTTTTACATATGTTAATGTACATGTTAAAATTAGTTGATATACATTTTGTTTTAAGATAGGAGATGTTGTATTTTAAACAGGATTGTTACAGACATTGTTCTCCCTAAGATAAAAGTGGTTGAACTTTGTATCCATAAAATAAAAGTTGAAAAATATTTGTGTTCTGTTGTCTTTGTTTTTGTTTGTTTCATTTTACGCCTTTTCCGAACAGTATTTCAGTCATATAGGCGGATAGTTTCCTAACCATCGTTCCTGGAGAGTTACACCAGTACTAGACTACCTTCCTCCGTGCTAAACTACTAAAGCATCTCCCGGGGATCGAGCCAACGCCAGAGAGGTACCTGGATTAGAAGTCATCGACTCTAACCCCTTGACCATGGAGGCGGTTATCTTTGTTTTTATTACATGTATTTGGTTTCTTAAATCAAAGTTCTGACCCGTAACATGCTGGAGTCTAAAAGGTTAGCCTTTGCCATCAGGAGTCAGGCCGGCCTGATTATCTGGGTAGTCTGTATACTGTAAGTATCTCCTCTGAAGCCACTAAAGTTAAAGCTTTGATATTTGGCATGAAACATCATCTAGTGGAGCTGTACCAAGCTTGTTCAAATAATAGCCCTGTGGTCAAAATTGGCCCAGTCAGGGGGATCATAGGTTTTCCTTGTATACATATATAATATAATCATATTCTATGAAAATATAAAGGCTGGAGCTTAGATAATTAGCATGAAACATGTAGTGGACCTCTATCAAGCTTGTTCAAATAACAGCCCTGCCCTTGGGTTCATGGATTTATATATATTTTTTGTTGTCCATGCTTTAAACACATTCTTACTTATATGCCCCTTCCCTCAACACCTTCCTCACATCCTAAATACCCTCCAAGCATTGTTTCAAACAGTATCCTTATAATTTCTAGTTGCCATAAAAAGGGAATGCTTGAAATAATTTGTACAAGAATGAAAATGGAACATAACTCAGGGTTCCCACTCTTAGATATTTTGAAAATTTAAGGACTTTTCCAGGACTTATCAAGGACCTTTTTTGATTTTTTAAGGACTTTTTAGAAGATTAAATTTCAAGCTACATGTATTTGATTTTTTGTCCTATGAATATGTTCATGGTAATGTTTAGAACAACATTTAATAACACAAATATAATACATGTAGTTCATGACATAAATCTAATTCTTTCTAAGAAATACATTCAGTGTCTATAAATAATGAAATGTACTTTGTGACAGCAACTGTTTTTGCAGGTTGTCTGCAATTTTCATGTAATTTTGCCGTTTTTAATGCTTCCAAGGGATCACTTTTTATACCAGATATTCATAGTACTTTAATTAGTAACCTCACATTTGACCTCAGTCCACTAAGGCTTCATAGAATGGCAAAAGCATGTCACACTGAAGGGTATATGAAAACTGCCTGCAGGTGTTTCTACATTCAAAATTTCACGACTTTCATGTTAAAATATTGTATTCTGCTTAAGCCAGTGCTACGGGGTGCACTTCCAGTACCATATATCAAGCCCTAGTCTACAACATTTTCCAATTTTGCCATTTTGGATTGTTATTTAGGGATTCTTTTTTGTATTTCAATGACATATCTTTTTGATTTGATCTTACAATTTTTTAAACCATCTACAAAATATGGCGGCAGCATGAAAATACCCAAAAAATACCCAAACACACTAAATTATAGCAATGTTCATTTTGGTTTGTATACAATGTTGATTTAATGAGGAAAAATGAATTGATATTTACAAAATAATATGACTTAGCCAACTATAACTTTCGATCATTCCATTGAAATTGGCAGTTCAGATGTTGTAAGAAAAAGAGTGACATTTGCTTATTTATCTAACTGTTAGGTTCATTAATGAATAGGCAAATGTACTTGCAAGATATGATAATATTTGTTGTCTACATTTAAATTTGTAGGGTATAATTTTGTTGAAATTTCATACAAGTTCATTCGTATTATTTTTTTAATTTAATAGCTTTAATGGAGTTATACTGTATTTGGGTATATTTTGGTTCAAAAATGTATATTGAGGGTATGTTTCATTACATCTTGTAGTGAAGTGTATATTGTATTCATGATTAAAACAGCACTTTTTTAGTAAAACACATTTATTTTTAGTATATTTTTGTTATATTTGGGTATTTTGTGCTACCCAGATATGGTGTGGCCAATTGGCTGTGCTCTGCCTTGACAATAGTTCATGCATGTAATACTATTTTTTTATTTTATGTCGCAGTCCAAAAGATAAGGGGGTTTCTGATGGACGCTGTGGGTTAAAGTACTTGGGACCTGGACAGAGGGTCAGTTTACCTGTAAATACACAAATTATGCGCTTTCAAATAATTTTATTAGCATTCGAAAATCGCGGCTCTCGCCGTCAAAATCTTACAAAATAGTGCAAAATACAAAATATCAATGAAAATGATGAATGACAAAATGGAAAGAATGAATCAGAGCATCAAAACAATCTACCAGTTTACCTGTAAATACACAAATTATGCGCTTTCAAATAATTTTATTAGCATTCGAAAATCGCGGCTCTCGCCGTCAAAATCTTACAAAATAGTGCGCATGCGTAGTGTAGTGAATCAATGAAGTAGAAAGTTAGATAGAGAGGCCCGTAATGGTGGTTAGTATATGATCAATATGGGGATGAATGAAAAGTATGATGAAAATTAAAGCTATAGGACATTTAATAGGACAAACAATAACACATATAAACATGTACCGTACTACGTATATGAACCTGTGACATTTATATTGATTTACCTTTGGCTTTTAGCATGGTAGTGAGCAATTAGGATACAAAAATTTGCCAAAGGAAACAACCAGGCCAATCAAGCAAACTTGAGGTTGATTTGTGAAGGTCTTCCTAGATTTTCCAAACAAAACCGCCATAGTAACCAGAAAATAAATGATAAATCTCATAAATGTCAAACTTGGCCTCCCAAAACAGTTGTAAATCGAAAATCATCAACATTCAAGATGCGGAAGTCAATATACTGTGCAAAGACCGCCATTTTGGTTTTTTGATTTACCTCCCCTTTTCCAGACTAATTCCCGTACCTTCCCGGACTTTTTTATGTATCAACACTAATTCCCGGACTTTTCAAGGCCGGGAGCTCCTGTGTTCAAATTCACGGACATTTCCCGTTTTCCCGGACAGCGTGGGAACCCTGATAACTGGATGCTCCAGAGTCCAGACACAGTATAAAGATGTATGGTTCAAATAAGTAAACAAACCTAGGTTTGGCTATTTGTGTTTGGGCCATTGGCATGATAGTCTATACACTCAGAAATGTCTACCATTCAATTTGAAAAAAAATCCAACATAAACAAATATATAAGAACTTCTAATTTAGAGGAGTATTTTTTTTTTTTTAATTTTCAGCAGCAAATAATTAACAAATCATATATAAACAGTGTTATTTAAAATCATAATATTATATATAAATAATATTTTCTTCACTGTTGTTGAAACAAATTCCATTAGTAAACACAGCATATCAATCTTGGGTATTGAACTCTTAACCTGCTGGCAGCAAATGATTCTGCCCATGTGACAAATACAAACCAAGATCAGCCAGCACATCTATGCCATCTTGTCATGGTTTACACTGTTGGCTATACACTCTGTACATATTTGGAAATATTCCCTAAAAATGACAAATGGTTATGTCCAGATTGAATGATAGGACAAGTTCATTTAACATGGCAAAGGTATATGTTTCTATAAAGAACAACACGTTAGTCCTCGTCAGAATCCTGGGCTAATACTCGCGACGTTGACAGATTCGTGGATTGATACTGTGTCTGTGATTGACTTGCTTGTGAACTTCCGAAAAATAATGACCGGAACTAAAATGAACAATATTAACATGATTTAATCGACAGAAGTACTAATAAATAAATTATATGATGATACAAAAATATTTCTGTGCTAAATGGCGTATATGTTGTATTTATAAGAGAAAGTGAGCTTTCATTCCAAAATTGCAATTGCCAATATCATTATAAAACACTATATTAAATGGTAAAGTACATTTTTTATATCACTAAAAAAAAATCATAAAAAGTTGTTGTTGTTTTTTTTTAAAGGGGAATTGTTAATCAACCAAAAACCAAAATACCTCTATTGTAAAAATAAACTAAAAGAGAGAACAATCTTGACCAATGTATCAAAACTAAGATCATATTCAGTCTAAAACATTCACTATGGTGACAAAAAGGGGAGATAATTACAGCTTTTATTATGTCAGGATTCAGGAACTGATTATAGTGGAAGTTTTTAGACAAGTTTATTTTACTCGAAAATAGACCATGAAAGGGCCATATCCGTGCCAAAAAAAAAATGCCCATCTAGGCATGGTGACAAACAATCCTGTAAAGTTTCACTGAAATCCACCCTAATGGTTTTGGTGATGAATTGCAGACAAGCTTATTTTACTTGAAAATTAACCATTAAGGGGCCATAACTGTGCCAAAATAAAAATTCAAGCAGGAAATCAAGATACTATGCAAAACTACGCAAGGTGACACAATCCTGGTGAAGTTTCACTGAAATGCCCCCCCCCCCCCCCCCCCCAAAGCTGTTTTGGAGATTAAGCGCGGTCAAGCTTACCGGTCGGACTGTGATTACAATATGCTGCCCTTGGGGGGGGGGGGGGGGGGGGGGGGGGGGGGGAGCATAAAGAAGTTTAGCATAAAATCTACACTACCAGTACTTGATTTTAAATTTTTTTAGTGAGTGACATACATGTATGATCCTAAAGATGAATTAGTTTCAGTGAATACCTTCTTTGGTTAATGTGACTTCATTTCTTCACATGACCAGGCGTTACAGCGCTTAGAAAATGTCAAGTACAGTCCAACCTGTTCTTAGAGTATTTGACCTTAATTCAGTGTTCGTACATATATCCAATGCCAAAATTAAAGCACTTTTTAAGTAAGTTTTCCCATTTTTTCAAGAACAAATTGTTGCACATTTGTAATTTTTAATTAATGATATAAGGAACTTTTCTTCAACCCATAGATAGTTTTTTTTTGTTAACTGTCAATTTTTACAGATACTATGATATTCAACAATTTCTAAGCACATCTGCAGCAAATTTAAGTACTTTTTAAGCACTTTTCATGATAGTAATCAAATTAAAGAACTTTTTTAAGCACTTTTCATTTTTACCTACTTTTAAAGAAAAGGACACAAATTTAAGCCCTTTTTAAGACTGAACCAACCCTGTAAATAATGCCTGTCTTTATTGGTAGTTTTCTATATAAGATTGGACTCAAAAGACCGACCTAAGAACAAATTTTGACAGGATATGTAAAGATTCATAAACTTACTCTTTTAGCAGGTGGTGTGCCAGGAACCGGCTCATCTTCGTCTTCCTGGTTCTCATCGTCTCCTATAGCAACGTCTGTGACAGAGGTATCACAAATCTGTGAAGAGAGAGTATCATATACTTGTATTATTTCAAACATAAAGCTATAGTATTTTCAACCTAACACATAAAATTAAAATGAATAAATATAGATGCCTCTTACAATACATTTTACAAAATTTATGTTGATTTTAAAAGAGAAAGAAAGTATTAACAACAATTACCGAGGGTGTAAAGCAAGCTTAGAAAAATTTGTCAATTTTCAACCTAGGAATATAAGGAGTGCTCAAGCCTTTTTTTCCCTCTTCAAAATCATGGCTACCATACTAGAAAGTGACAAATGCTATAATGTTTTTATATATCCCAGAGAATCGGTCACGATAGCTATAATTATTATTTTACAGTTCACTTTCTATATTAATTATTAATAAAAAAGAATTGCTTTCTCAAACCAAGTTTAAATTTGAAGGCTATCTAAGTCACCTTACCTTTACTTTGGAGCCTAGAACTGGTATAACTGGACTTTCTTCACTTGATTTCGAGCATCCAGCAACTGGGGAGTCACTCCGGACATGTTTCACTATGTTGTCTCCCTTAGAACTTACAGTTTGTACAGAATAAACACCACTGATATGTTGTCTTTTATTTTGTTGGTCAATTTGTTTAGTTCTATCACTATTTTGCACTGTAACAGTTGTGTCATTTTGTATTATCATTTCATCGAAGTCATCATCATCATTCATCAGTTCATCATACGCTGATTCCAGTCTCTGTGATCTATCAAGGTCAGTGCTACTTCTGTAATATATCATTAGTTATATACTTTGCTGGTGTGACATATGGATAGCCAGAATGATATTAGTAAAGCAGTAGAAATATAGAGATTAATACTACAAAATTAGACATAAATTGCACACAGCATGTGAATTATTACTCGATTCTTTTCTTAAAATCTTAGTACATTTTTCTGAGGTTGATTTTTCTTGAAATGTTTTTGCTTATCTGTGGGCATGCTGCTTTAATGTTTATTTGGCAGCTAATTATTTGTTGCCAATTATAACTTTTCCTTGCGAACTACATGTAACATGGACGAAAGAGATGTCAGGTATGGATTGCATAGCAAGTTTTAACTCTTTGTTTTACATTCATTTTTTACAATATCACCTTATTACTTAGACCCTACCCATGTGTGAATGTTGTACATGGCATAAACTTTTTGTCATTTTATTTTCATTGGAATATGTTGTAAACATCTTTTAACTTAAAATTCCTGTAGATTATGTACCTACCCAGTTTTCCTTGCAGATTGTATACTATCACCATTATTACCAGGGTTGGTATGAGACATTGATGATGATCTTTGTCTATTTCCTACTGCCTTGGATGATCGTGATTGTGCTCTGTAAAATGGAAGAAAAGGCAAATATCTATAATATATTCCTTGCTATGTGTAAATTATATTATGCAAAGTGCCTACATGGGACTTGTCTAAATATGAAAATAATGCCATCTTATGCCATGTCTAATTTTGCAAGGAATGTCGAATAATGCTATGCCTATATATGCAGAGTATTTTCCATGACTACATAGATGCCATGTCTTATATTGCAAGAGATGAATATGTCTTAATATGCAGATTCTACATATGAGCCGTGTCACAACAAAACCAACATAATGGGTTTGCGACCAGCATGGATCCAGACCAGCCTGCGCTTCCGCGCAGTCTGACCAGGATCCATGCTGTTTGCTTACAAACTCTATAACAAGTAGAGAAACTGATAGCGAACAGCATGGATCCTGATCAGATTGCGCGGATCCATGCTGGTCGCAAAACCCATTATGTTGGTTTTGTCATACGCTCATACATGGCTCATATGCTAAATCTTAATATGCAAAAGGTTGTTATTTTTATTTGCATTACACTAGATTTCCCTATTTCAGGTTATGTATAAAAAAACAAAGTCCAAATGACAAATTTAAACAAGCACTTTAATTTTAAACTGCTGCTATAAGCAGTAATTCCAGTGAAATCTTTATTGAAGCATTGTCACCAAAGAATGTGGACAGTCTACGAACATGTTTTTCCCCTCACAATTTAGGGAGTGTGATCTGAACCCCAGAATTTGGAAATTACATTCATATGAAGCAAAATTGGGGCATAAAAATCCATGATTCAAACCTTTTCTGTGTACTTGGTGCCCTGGAATGTGTTGGAGCCTGGCTTTGACTTTGTTGATCAGCTAGTGTGGCTAGAACAAAATTACCTTCAAATGTGCTGTCACTATCAATTGTAAACACTATTGGTCTGAAATTGTACAATTAATTTTCTAATTCAATTTAAATTACTTTTTAAAATTAAAATCAACAATGCCATAGTAATATGGCTACATTCCAGCTTAAATGCTGAAAGAAGTTCCAAAAAGCCCAAGTGTATTCTTTTCACAAATAGACAACTTCTATTTATTTCCTCATTACAGAACATTCCTATTTATATTCCTATTGGGATTCAGACCATAGATGAAGTACACATATTTCATTGCCAAATTTCTATCTTATTAGTTTCACACAAGTAAAATGTCATGTATCGTTCTTAAATATAGTACTGCACAGAAGAACTATCAATGAATAATATGTCTGTTATAATGATTTCATTATTTGACATGATAGGATTGAAATTTTTTTTTGAGATTTACACAGCCAATACAAATTTTATACACAATCAATACAAATTTTCAAACTCTGCAGGCAAAGCAGAAACATTTTTGACTCAAATCCATCTCCAATCTTATTCAATGTTAGAAGTGACATCTAAAGTACATAAACATCAATAAATAAAAATGTTGTCAGAAATGTTAAGTGTGAAAAAAAGATCTAAAGGTAGGATAAACTGGGATCTTTACACTAACCTTCCAGCAGTTTCAAATTGCAGGGTGAGTGGCAGGGTAGTTGCTTCTGAAAATGCTAAGATTGCCTGTAAACAATAAATTATATTATAAAAGGTCTACTACTACTTCCATATTAAACCCAAAATAAGGCTAAATTTATATAATGAACTTGAATTGAAGGAAGGACAATTAATTTGTAGTTTAAGACATACCTAGTATCTTTGCAAGAATTCACATATATATTAAATAAGTCTATGTTACTTTAAAGTATGCGCCAGAAATGAATAAATTTCCGTCCTTTAAAAAAGGCAAACCCGAGTCTTATAATGTTTAAATAATGCTTTTTAGAACATTTTAGATGCTGATTGCTTGTTGAATGTAGCGCTGGATGTAAATTAATCTGTCATAAAAGTAGCAGAATATAAACAAACTACTATAATTATGGCCTATGAGTAACTGAGTAACTTATTGGAAACTATAACATAACACAAAAAAGAGCACCGCTAGGCGGAGCATTATATGCCCGAAAGTGTTTTTTTTTTCAGTAAGGATGAAGCATTTGTAAAGACAAGCGAATTAAATAAAGTATTACCTCCTTCAAATAGCAATCCTCCTATGAAGTTTGAATATTGTGGACCAAATGGAACTTAAGTTATGCGTCGGAAACTGTTTTCAGTTTTAAGGTAATAGTGACCTTGACCTTTGACCTTGTGACACCAAAATCAATAGGGGTCTTTTATCCAATATGGACAATCATCCTATGAAGTTTGAACACTGTGAGCCAAATGGAACTTCAAGTTATGTTCCTGAAACTGTGTTCACTTTTAAGGTAAAAGTGACCTTGACCTTTAACCTCAAAATCAACAGGGGTCTTCTACCCAATATGCACAATCATCCTATGAAGTTTGAACACTGTGGGCCAACTGGAACTTAAGTTATGCTCTGGAAACTTTTCTTCAGTTTCAAGGTAATAGTGACCTTGACCTTTGACCTTGTGACCCCAAAATCAAAAGGGGTCTTCTACCCAATATGGAAAGTCATCCTATGAAGTTTTAACACTGTGGGCTAAATGACACTTAAGTTATGCTCCGGAAACTATTTTCAGTTTTAAGGTAATAGTGACCTTGACCTTGTGACCCAAAATCAATAGGGGTCTTCTATCCAATATGGACAATCATCCTATGAAGCTTGAATACTGTGGGCCAACTGGAACTTAAGTTATGTGCCAACTGTTTACATGTTCATGGTAAAAGTGACCTTGACCTTTAACCTAAAATCAATAGGGGTCTTCTACTCAATATACACAATCATCCTATGACGTTTGAATACTGTGGGCAAAATGGAACTTAAGTTATGCTCTGGAAACTTTTTTCAGTTTCAAGGTAATAGTGACCTTGACCTTTGACCCCAAAATCAGTAGGGGTCTTTTACCCAATATGGACAATCTTCCTATGAAGTTTGAATACTGTGGGCCAAATGGAACTTAAGTTATGCTCTGGAAACTGTTTTCAGTTTTAAGGTTATACTGACCTTGACCTTTGACCTTGTGACCCCAAAATCAATAGGGGTCTTCTACCCAATTTGGACAATCACCCTATGAAGCTTGAATACTGTGGGCCAAATGGAACTTAAGTTATGCTCCGGAAACCAAATTGCTAACGGACAGACAGGGGTAATGGGCCTTTATAGAACTTGATAAACTATTTAACTTAAAGCATACCCTTAACTCCTTCAGACAGAACGTGACTTCAGTATCAACTCCTATCTGACAGTTATCAAATTCATCTGGCTCCAGGCTCAAATTTGTGTGCATCACTTTAGTGGGATCTAGAGTCAAACAACAAAATTAAGTTACATTATTGTTATTTTTTTAAGATTAAGATAGTGATTTTCCTACTTTACTGATGGAGCAGAACCCACAGATACTCCATGCAATATGTAAATCTTATCATCCTAAATATTTTAAATGGACTTGTCCATCTCTCAACATGGATTAAACCATTCATCATTTCAGGGATAATTTCAAAATATATACTGACTGATTAGCAATCAGTGCCAACTATGATCAGCATGTACATCTTGTTCTACTCTGATTGTATGGGTAGCACCAGTTGCTGCCAGCAGGCCAAGGGTTGGACATTGGTTGGCCTCTTGGGTGAACTTTTTACCTTTTTCAAATCTGTAAGCCATCTGGATCACACACAATAATTGCATAAGAAATATAAGGCTACTTTTATTTTTTTTGTTCGGTTTCACCGTGGACCAACACAGTTTAGGTCATATGGTGACTTCTAAGCTCTACTAGTGGAGGAAGACTTGAGGGGTGCCCTTCATGCATTATTTCAAGCACAAACAGGCATCTGAGTAGAACTACCAATGTTCTGTAAGCTTGCTGGATAGTTTCCTCACATGAAAAATCCAGAGTCCATGTTGGTATTTGAACGCACAGCAGTGAGGGGCAATTGATTTGAAGTCAAAGACCTTGACCACTTGGTCATGGATGACCTTATAAATATTAATTATGGATTTTTTAGAATTTACTTTTCTTTAGGTTTGATTATTTATGTCACATTGGCACCATTATGTTATATGGCAACATCAATAAAGCTTGTTGATAAAGATCTCAAGTGCCTCTTTCTGCACTTTTTCAGGCATGAGTGGGTATACAAGTAGAACCACAAACCCGAAATCCCTGACTTGATTTGCACTCACAGCAGTGAGATGCATGTGGTTTGAAGTCTGGTATCGTAACCAATCAGCCTTTGAGACCAAAATTTGGTATATAATAAGAAGAGAAAAAAGTTGGCCAAAAATATTAAAGCTATTTATAAATGGAATACTACAAAAAATAAAATTTAATAGAAGTAACAAAAAGCAGTCAAAATACCTGGCTCATCATCAACATAGTTCTTGAGGACTATTTTTTCTGGACTAACAATCAGAGTTACCTCCTCTTGATTGTTCTGAAAGTTCATCACAGCATCACATAGTAACCTGCGAAATAACAAATGGAATCAAAATTAAATTTTTTTAAAAGTACCAAAATCCACAATGTACTTATATCTGGAACACATATTTTTTTTCCCCGTTGATTTCTAAGGACCAAGGTCGCATGAGAAAATTAATTATGAAGCATGTACTGTAAGACAATGAACTTTGCTTGATCAAGTTTTTAAAAATTCTAAAACTAATAATAGTATATTTGTGACTTATCACAGAAATGTCATTAAGAGGTGGCTATTGACTGTCTTGAAAAACCTCCTATGTTGAATGTGATAAAACCAAAAAGGACCTCTTAAAACATAACTTTTTTATGACAACCCAGTTATCCTGAAAATTTTTGTTTTTGTTTTTGTAGGGCAATGAGATTTTTCACAAAGTTAACATTAAGGCTCTTGTTAATGTAATACAAGCTTTGGGTGCTAAAATTTAAAGCGTATTTTTCAACATTGGAGTACTCAAATTAACTACACTATCTGGTGCAGCTAAATAGCTTTAAACTGGTAGAACCAGCTGTTTAGGCTAAAAAGCTGTTAATTACATCATATCTTAAGAACTTAATTTATTCAATATATATCATCACCTTAGTGCAATAATGGGTTAACTTCATGTAAGTTTAATAGCAGTTTACCCATTACTGCATTCTGGTGAGTTCAAGTAACTAATAAAAAGAACAAAGAAGAAGCTTACTTTGACGAGGCAGTTAAAGCATTAGGACACATATCCTTAGAGAAAACAGCCTGTAATGTCTCACATTCTATAAATGCCAAGTTATGTGTCTTCACTATACCTAAAATATATGATAATATTGCATTAGGATTAAAAAGGTGTAAAACTAAAAACCTGAAATTCTTTATTTGATATAAAAGTTTTATATACAAAAAGAAGGCTTTCAAAGGCCTCGACTTCACTGAAAATTTATTCCTTAAAACATTTATCCATGCATCTATCAAGATAGTAAATATAATTTCAATTACAAACAAAAATAATCTAATGGTAAACTTTGAAAGATGTGCTAGTAAACTGAAACCTCCTAGTTCACTGGCACTGACCCTGCATTATGTAACTTCTGGATAAATAGCTGGAAAAATTTAACATGAAAAAAAAATGACTTTATAAATCTTAATAGAAACATACCAGCAACTTTAATATTTACTTCATAATTCTTGGAGAAAAAAAATTAATTAAAAATGCTGAAGTAAAAATGATTACTATTGTTAAATATGTCACCTGTTTCATTTGTTGGCTTGAGACAAACTTAGTCAAGATTTCTATCTATAAATTCCTAGTCATCCACAAAGCATTGTTAAAATTCCCAATCCTGATTTTGTTTTGTTGTGTTTGAGGTCACACTGACACTAAAGGTCATATGGTGAATTTCCAGTTTTACTGGTACAGGAAGACTATTGATATCCCTTTAAGCATTATTTCAAGCATGAGCAGGCACCTAAATAAAGCCATTGAGGGGACGTAAGCTAGCTGGATAGCTTCCATGCATGAAAGAATCCAACGTCTTTCATTGGATTCAAACCAACAACATGTATATTAAAATGGCTACCTTTATCACCCAGCCTACTGTTTACCCACATCCTGAGAGCATCTGTGATTTTTCTCACTTAATTGGGAAGAGGCCTTAGCCTGTTGATTTTGGGAAAAACTATTGCTAAAATTGCTAATTTGGGAAGTAAAAAAGAAGGTTTATGTTAAGATTTTTTGGAAAACTGCACGATTTTAAAGAAAATTGCAATTGGGAAGAGGCTTTTTATCAGAGTCTGTGATATAAGCAGGAAAATCACTGAGCATGGATCCTGTTTCCACATATTAGGACAACACAGTACATACAAAACAAACTTACCATGTCTACAGTATAACTGAAATACTAGTCTGGAATCTTTCATATTAAGACGTATTTTACATCTTTCTACAGACTTCTCTAATGTAGACAAAGACCTGAACACCGTCAGAATAGACTGAAATATATTATATATTAAACATATTATATCTAAAACATATCGTATCTAAAACATATTATATCTAAAACATATCATATCTAAACCATAATATAATTATCTAAACCATAATATATCTAAAATAATGAGGTATATTTTTCATTAAAACATTTTCATAACTGTTTAATATACAAGAATTTTTTCTTTCAATTGACAACCAATGGGGAACAGGGATTTTTTCACAGATGCATTCCCATTATCAAAATGTATGTTTCTACCCAAATGATAGGCATAAAATTCCCAATTGTCAGTCTGCATTAATAATCTAATGCTGTTGCAGGGTTTTCATTTTTATGTGATGAAACAGATGTGCCAACAGAAATAACCAATTTTCACTAAGATGAGACAAACTTTTAAAAGTTTTGTTATGAATCCAACCAAAAGACAATTTATAATGTCAATCCTTCTCTGAAATTTATCCATTTTTACTATTAAATTATTAATTGTAGTCTTCTCACCTTCATAGCAATTTTACACCGAAGCGTGTCGTCACTATCCTGCGAGGATATATCACCTGATCCATCATCATAGTACTGAAAGAAGCTTGGAGCAAACAGAAAACAAGCATATGCTGACCTAGATGAATTCACTGTCCTCAAAGCAAGCTAAAAAGGATAAATAAAACAAAGAATTATCATTTGAAATTGATTATCACTATTACTAAGTATATAACTTATGCTGTTACACTCTAGCCCTTGTAACTCTTACTCACAACTTTATCTTTTAATTTTGTAACTCATGACTTTTTCTTTTAATTAATTTAAACTAGTTTTTTCCAGGTTATTTTTTTGGACATACAAAAATACTGTTATAAAGACTTCGATGACGTTCCAGCTTTAATGGTAGTGGTAAACCTCCAATAGAAAGTGGGCTGATAAAGGTAAACTGGCATACATTTATCATACTGCTAAAATCAAATATACATGGGTATCCACATGCCAGAGGACTTCTGCTCCTGTATCATAGACCTAATATTTTAATGACTGGGCATCATTAAATGTTACAAAATAATTTAGCAAATTATACATACAACATACTACTACTATTTAAATTCCGAGGATAATTACATCATTAAATGTATTATGCCAAAAATGGCAAATAAAAAAGTGATGAAAATGTTTAAACATTATTATACAATGCCCTTAAAGGCTATATTAAGATTTAATATGTACCTTGTTTTGAAATTAATTCAATTACAAAAACCTGCAACAGTCACTGAACTTATTCTTGGGACCATACATATTTCAACTTATACCTTTGTGAGGCTTTCTTGTAAAGAGTGTTTTTTTTCCATATATAACTGATACTGGAAAACGGCACCGTTCCCAATAGAAAATAGACAGTAAGTTTCCCAATTAATGACATATAAATTCCAAAATATCATGGAAAATTTTCTAAAAAATCAGCAAATTTAAAGGAAAACAAAATAGTAATGGATGCTTCCATATTGATAAGTGACATACGATAATCAAAGCACAGAAGGCGCTGAATTTGTTTGGGTCTCAGAATGTCAGAAAGGTGAAGGTTGTGAGATTATAAAACAATTTGTTTTTGTATAGTGCCACCAATGCTTTCCAGCGTTTTAATTGTAGTAGATTGGCTATAAGACTAATTGCAACACTGATATTCAATCCAATGTTTATTTGACTTAAACAATTTGAAAAAAAAATGAGTTGCCTTAACTGGGATTTGAACTCCAGACCTCTCGCTTCCTAAGCGAGCGCGCAAACCCCTCGGCCACGGTGAATTTATATGTTAACGGCCTGAAGAAAACCATATTATTCTAAATTAGGGTTTGTAACGACGCTAACTGTTGTTTAACACTTGTGTAAATAATCATGGCGCTTACTATAAGCATGTATATCTATAAAGAATAAAACAATATTAGAAATCTTCGACCATTCGGGAATTATTTTGCTTGAAAATTAATGCGCCTGTCATGTGACCATATTTACGCAGTGATCTCCCCTGAATTTTTCGGCCTTAGTGTTACATATAAAGGGAAGTAACCGCTTCAAAAAAGCGGACCACTTTTGGCATCTGCAATTAACAGCATAAGAGTCTGAAATTTCGCTACCATTATTTGTTTGGTCTGACGACCCAAACAAATAAAAACCAAGTATAACCACATGAGTGATATTAGTACCCAGTTCATTACGTCTTTTGTGTTTCACACCTAAACATTATTTATGTACAATTGTTATGATTATCTTCTTTTTTTTCAACCTCAAGTAGCAAAAATAATCATTAAAGTTAATAATACATGGTTTTAAAGTGTATATTATCCATAATTTTTATGTCTTCCTGGATAAAAGAAATTCCCAATGTATATTTGTATCTTATGTAAAATTCCCTATCTTAGTCAAACCAATGGATTTTTCCCAATCTGTTCGGTACCAACACCATTCCCAAAGCAGGGGAAAAAACAATGCACTGTTGGATTAAAACCAGTACTTACACCATGCTCCAGTGGCTCAATGTAAAGTTCTTCTCCAATCTTTGACAAAGAATGAATTCCTCTTCCAAAAACTACAAAAAAAAAATAATAAAGAAATAAAATAAAAGTATTCCCATTTTCATTATATAACAAGAATTTGTAACAGAGTTACTAAGGTCCCCCGCCTCGGGAAGTTTTATATGAAGCATAAAATTGTGCTATTTCAAAAGATTGAGGTATGGATCTCAGGACATTTAGTCCAAAATTATGATCAATTTTTGATCTGCATATGCAACAATAAATCTGCAGAGCAACAGATAAGGTGCGTATTTGCGTAAATACGCAATTAATTTTATCAAATACCCAATTGATTTTTTAAGAACGCATATCAAAACCCATTAAAAAAAATAAAATACACAATTGTCATTTTCATCACCGCAAAATCTGTCGTACTCTCGTAGTTTTGGACAAATTATATCGATATGCATGCTATCCGAATCTTCCCGAATCAATGCTAACTAATCAAAGGTCTCCGGTCTTCGACGGTCCCCGGTCTCCAAAGACTGACTAAGCCATATCAATAAAGCATGAGTCTGATGATTTGTCTACTCAGGTCGACGGTCTTTACAGACCGGCAGAGACCGTTGATTTTGCGGAGACCGTCAATAAATAGGTCCCAGCTGTATCAAGAGACGCTTTGAAAGCAATATGGGGTCGCACAAAAGGGAAAATGATTTGAAACAAAACAGTCGTAAATAGATCTAATAAAAAAATCAGTCGGAAAACAAACTTGTTAAAAATATTATATTTATATAAAAAATAAATCAATTGTGAAAAGTTCTAGTAAATTGTTAATCTCCTATTTTCTTTTTAAAACAGTTTAAATTTTATTGATATTGAAACCATAAAATTCATATCTTCATAATTGAATACCCAATTGATCTTGAAATCATAGGGTATCGAGTTTTGGAATACCCAATTAAATGGAGCCAATACCCAATTCCAAAGGAAATGATGGAGTAATACCCAATTCACTTTAAAAGCTTATCTGTTGCTCTGAATCTGTTAAAAAATAAAATGAAACACGGAATTTAAAAACCTATCATGTTAAGCTTTGACCTCTAAGTGTGACCTTGACCTTAGAGGTAGGGGAGCAGGTGTTGTGGATGACATAACGTCTTATTATTGAGACTATTTCTTCGAAAAGGCGGGGGACAATTATTAAATATCACATAAAAATTACTAAAAAGTAGGGCTGGGAACGAATAAGGAATTCGATGTTCGAATATTCGTTTTCCATATTCGAATATATTCGAATATTCGTTTTTACAACATTTGTTCCAATATTTCTCTTTGACGTATACGTATCCGAAATTGATTGCGTCGAATAATATACTACTTTAAAATGCTTGGAATAATCGGCGATTAAAAAGACCTTTTTTGCTATGTCTAAGTTTTTTTAATTTTTATAGTGTAAATCGAGATATATGTTTACTTTTAAAATAAATTCATAATTTGATTACATTTTGTTCAGTAAACCTGACCGCTGTCTTATTAACGGGAGGTAACTCACGTGACTTGACTGACAGTAATATGAATCATCGTAGCCATTTATCCCCAAAGACACATAATGATATTGAAACTTAACTTGTATTAAATATTTTTTATTTATAATTTTAGATAAAGTTTAAAATATTCTTAAGATAAGTTAAGCTATAACGAGGTAAATATCACACGGAGTCTAATGTCTACGGAATAAATATATTCTGACAGAATTTAGACACTTCATATATGCTTTCATAACGCGCCGAATAATGCGTGCCAATTTATTCTTATTCACAAAATTTAAGACAATTATTGATTAATAGGAAAGATTTTAACACAGAAAACTATAAATTAGATAATTAAAATCGGAAAAATTTACATTATAAACTGTTCAACAGGTAAATTGCAAACTGTGAAACGGGTGCCCTTTTGATCAACTATACCCCAAAGTTTTCACAGTTAATTGGCGATAATTGTTGACACGCGTCATACAAACATTTGAACACCTGGTGAAGGAAAGGGCAAAGGTTTAATTTACGATCTGATTGAAATTAATGACAAAAAATGAAACCTTTCTCCTTTTTTTCGAATATTCGTATTCGTTTTTCAATGTTCGAATATTCGGTAGTGTTTCGAATATTCGAATATAATTCCCGGCCCTACTAAAAAGAAAAAATCTTGCACATAAAAATTAAAATAACGAACAATTTTTTTCAAATCTGTCTGATATTGTGCCTCAGAAGTGCATAAAATTTGCTGAAAGTATGCTAAATATGTTAACTCTAAAGTTGATGCTTCACACTTGTCAACAGTCATAAGCACATCAGGTTGCAAGTTTTTCCCAATAATCTAGTTGATCGCAGCAGAGGTCTTGTGTTGAGTTTTGTGTAATTGGCATATACATCAAAACACCACATTATTAATCACAGTTTCTTTTCTTAAAACTGGTGTTGATTTTATAAATGCCAATCTGGACTATTAAATAGATTATTAGAAGTAGTGATGTTCCGATTGTCGCAAGTCGCCGAAAATCAGTTACAGTTATGTAAAACGACAATAATCGATTCACAAAAATTTGTTCCACGACGTCGTCGAAAATGTTTAAAGTATCAAAGGGAATAAATTCTGACGGTAATTTTCTTTTAGGAACATCTCGCCGATCGCAAAAAAATCACTCAGAGACATCTTAGAGTTGAACAGGATCAATAAATGATGTAAACAATAGTAATATAATGTGATATGAATGGTATTATTTGACATCCATTGAAAAATAAAATCTATTTCGTAAAATTATGACTATATAAGGTTAAGGTGTTGAAAAGTGCTAAATGAAGTTCGTGTTACTAAATATAATCAAGTGCCTTGGTAAGAAATGTTACTTTCCTATTTCTTTTAACGCGACTTTATTCGAAAGTTAACGATTATGTCCCATCCGACTGAACCGATGATCGATTGGGACAAATTTCATCCGATTTCCATCACTAATTAGAAGGATAATTGTTGGAAACATTTGTACATGTTTATTGCAGATGCTTTCCATAAAATATTAATTCCTCTGATTTTAATTGCTTTTTACACAGAGCTAAATCTCTGCTGTCAATTACATTGTATGTCAATAATAGATATTATATATCATATTATATGTGAATAGTGATTACCGATAAAAATCAGCAGAAAATATCATATACATTATAATACAGTACCAAATTGCAGTGACATACCATGTTAATTGTATGAGGAACCCGTGTGATAATGTTTTTTGAGCAATTCATTTATGGAGATAACCAGCAGAAAATACAATGCATAGGCTATTTTGTCCAAATTTTTAATAGCTCATATTTTCAGCTTGCTAATCATTGAAATTTATTCTCTCAAGAAAATTCCAATTCTTAATTAATTTTGATGTTAGAACATATTCCAATTGTTTTCTGAATGGACTCCTGATGATACTCTGTGACAAAAACAGAAGTACTATTGACTTTAGGACAAATATATAGGTCACTCGACATACATGTATATATTTTAACTGACAATTTCTAATTTAAAGTGTTATAAAACATCTTATTACGGGGAAGTCAAAGGCTAAAAGACCACCCTGCGAAGGCTTGCCCGGCTATAGTCGTATATTTCAAAGGGAATAAAATAAAAATTAAAGTATCTTTGAGTGACCCGTTTTTACGCTGCCCTATTTCGACGCCATTTATATTGACGTAAGCGGCCGCTTACATCATTACTGTACTATGCTTTAGCAAAAGGGGATTCCTCTAGTTGGTTAGGTAACAATATGTAGTAAGTAAGACACCCAAAGGTAAGATTTAGCATGTTATACCTTATTCAAGACATTATTGTATGTTTTCACTAATGTAATTTTGACCCTCACTTTACTATGTCATGTTCCTTGCAAAAAAATGGGCTGGAAAATACCTCCCTGTCTGCTGACCTCATTTCCTTATTCTCAGGTCACATGGCAGTAAAATTACCCAACAGTTTTATTTTTGGCGCATTTTTAAACCCTAAAGCAACCTGTATGCGTTGCAGATTTTTTTTACAATTATTAATCGATGAATGAATGTTAATTGAAAATTAATTGGATATGTTTATCTTATTTGGATGGAATGAATTGCCATATTTTAATTAGTAGCTCCACTAAGTGTATTATCTTGTTTTTGCAGGTTCGACAAAGAAAGTAAAGGTGCTATTTTCCAACCTATATTTTTTCAGCAGTGGAGGTCAACTGACTAAGGCAACCACCCAAACCACTGTAAAAATACAACAATAGCGTTTACCACATATAATTATGCTTTATTTATGAAAAGAAATAAAGGATAAACTATTTTTCACTTGTTGATACTTTGCAGGTCTACGCTCTTGATATTGGTGAACAACGTAAGTAAAAGTATTATGGTATACAGTCTCCTGTAGTGTGTAGTTAAATTAGCCAATCAATGGCGTTGAAGCCAATCAATGGCGTTGATTTACAGCACTCTCAATAATATTCCAAATATTTAGACGTAACCGCGGATTTGAAGCTATTTTTTACATGGGTCAAATCCGCTTTAACGTCTAAATATATCTATTTAAAAGTCCATAGCAAAATGAAAAACAATAAACATGCACAATCATTCAAACTCCCTATGTAAAATGTTACAAATAATGCTTGGTATTCATAATCCTACCAAAAATGTGTATTTTCCTTCTCAAAAACAACTTATTCAAATTTTAAACAAATCCCGTGTAAAAATCGTGTAAACAGCCTCCATATTGGTGTCTACTACGCAATACGGTGATTACTGGAACCAAATTTTTTAGATGAAATTTTTACTGAGTGCACCTGTCAGCGTCTAAAATCACAACAGAATTTTTTTTCATTCAGACTAATTTGTACTATTGTTTTTTGAGTGACGTCACAGCATGACTGGGAAATTCCAATATGGGGGTCAACACAAAATGTGTCTTCTTAAATATATGGATAAATAAACTACTTATCATGAGTAATTTTTGCATATTTTTACAGTTTTAGGGAAAATATGCTTCCGTCATTTATGCAATATGCAATCAATTGCTTTTTGTGATAAATAGCATTTAATTTGTAATTTACCGGTAAATTCAAATCGACACAAGAAGCGTGTCGATTTGTGCTATGGGAAATTAGCCACTTATGGAAAGACTTCGCATTTTCTGATAAACCTCAAACTGTAAAAAAAGAAAATGCAATATCTTTCAATGAAGGACTATCTCAATAAAAATGGCCGCTCCTGGATGAAGTGAAAGTAGGATTGTTCATGAAAAGGAATAGCTCGAAAAACAGCTTAAATTTACCCATTTTATAAAGGTTACAGATTTTTAAAAAAGTTAAAACATTTTATACAATACAATCACATAGTTTTTATAGACGTATACAAAACAATCCTTAAGGGCGTCGAAACTGGTCACTCGAGGATTTATAGAATTCAATTTCTAAACCAATCAGTATAGAATTCTAAACAAATTAGTGGAATTTTCAGTGTCAATTCTAATGTGGTGCTGCCATTTTTAATGTTACTCTGATAATAGCTAGGGTATTCAGATAACAGAACAATCGCAACTTTTCTGCTTAAGAATAATCATCGAGGTGTTGCGATTGAAAATGGAAGTGGTGCATGAAATCACCGATTTATATTACAAGGATCGGACACTTCCGTTTAGCTTAAAGTCTCGTCGCGCGCATGCGCGGAATCGCACGTAGGATAAAGGTGGACAGAATGTGAGATGGCGGAACGCGCCGAGTGCGAAATATGACTGATTTTCACAAGAGTATGTGGTGTTATTGTAGCTTTGTGAAAAATTATATACATATGAATGTATCGATACAGTATTATTTTGTGTCGCTAAAGTATTTATATATTAAAATATGCCGATAGAACGATGCTACGCTTAGTTAAAAAAGTACCTAATTTAAAAAATATTTGCCTATTGTTTAGGCATACTCTCTACACTTTGACCCCCTTTAACTTCAAGCACAAATTATAACCGCGATTCAGATAATTCTTTTTTACATGGTTTAATGGGTGCATTGCAAAAAAAATTTTCTTGATTGCTTAAAAACTTTTGAAGAAATTTATATTTGAAATTTGTCTTTATTTCTGTGAATTATTTCCAAATGATTTGTACATTTTTTATTTGATTACCTGTATATTTAATTAGTATAAATATAGTAAATATTCTACTATTAAGTGTATTAAATATATTTTCAGATCATTCTAGACAAGCGTTCATATATAGATTAATTCATTAGATTGGCAAGGAAGAAACTTTTATTTGCATACGGAACAGCTGTTTTATAATATTTTTTTTTTATTTTGAAACAGATTTTTTTCATAGTTATCCTTCACAATTCACGTTAAATGATTTATTTGTCATATGTTTATACTAATTAGTTTTCAAAGAAAGGGCTATACAAATTTAGTTGTATATTTTCTATTTCATTTATAAATGTTAATAAAGAAAATAGATTTACATTGTATTGATATATATCCTCTTCAGAATCATTTTCTTACCACACATACCATGGACTGTAGTTAAAGACTGCGCACTTACAAAATATACATTCAAATACTATTTGTTTTTGAAGATTAAGTGTTGCAATTATCACATGTAACCTGGTAATGAAAGTTTGAAAATAAAGTTTTTCAATTATCACTTGTTACCTGGTAATTAACCCCCTTCAAAAGTAATTAAACTTCAAAGAAATTTAAGCGTTGTGTAAAAAATAATCAAAAGTTACTTTTATTTCGCATAATACTTACTCAAACTGTTAAGATTTTTTATTGTTTTTCTAGCGTTACATTAAAATATATCAATAATATCTTTCTACAGGCATTCAAATAAAAAGAATATTTAAAATATACGAGGCCGGAATCGAGACAGCCACACGAGAGTACTTTTAAAATTGTTTTGACGATTATCTTCTTCACTGCACCGACTTTTGAAAACAGATTTACAAAAAAATAATAATGATATAAATGATGAAGGAAATTTAAATATTCTATGAATATGGCAATATTAAAATCTCGGCAATATTTTGTACTAAAAAATAAATAAATTTTCTTCACGTGTTGAGCGAATTGTAAAGCCCGCAATACTTTCCCGTAAAACAATTGTGCGTTAATAAATTTGACTACATTACCCAATTAATCTTAAATATTGCATCTTTGATCATCTGTGAATAACTTACATCGGCTTATTTTTTATTTTGAAATTGAATTTATTATGTTACCATAATAATAAATTTCAAATACCTACTTTTTATATAAAAATGTAAATTTACCCCGGATTTTTTTCAAGTTAACTTTTTAATCGTCGTTGCGGTCAGATAAACTGTACCTTTAAAAAATAAATTAGATATTTGAATTTAACAAGTATTTTTCTTCAAAATAAACTTTAAATTTCCAAAATCGGATAATAAATGGAAAAGCTATATGGTATTTTGTAAAGTAGGTATCCGTTGCAAACGGGCATTTACGCTTAGCGCCGGTAAATTATCGATCGATGTACCTTTATCGGATGCACGACAAGATATTTAAGCATTTATATAGGGTTATTTGGGAGTGTCTGATCCCTGTAATATAAATCCGTGATGAAATACTGTTGATTTTAGGACATCGTCACTACTCCAGTAATATATGCCCAATTTACCAATGCAGACTTTGTCAAGAGCCGAAAAGTTCTTGGTCCCTGATTAGTTTTAGGGCCTAGCTGACTAAAATTGGAAATAAAAGAATTACAAATAAGGGCATCGCGAAAACATATTTCATCACTGCCTGTACCTTTGATATTATTCCCTGGAATAATACACTTCATTTTCGTTACATTTCGAATAGGTTGACAACTAAAGACATCATTCAGTAATTAATATGAACCACTGTCAATTAGATCTAGTAAGGTCTTCAGATTTTAAACAAAACAAAACTTTTCTTGCAGCCGCGCCATTCTACATCACAAACTCGCATTTCTGATCACTCTTGTGATTAGTCAATTTTTGGTTGAACTACCAATGAAAACCAATTTCACAAACGAGTGTTTGGCAAGACCGGAAGCGGAAGTGTCAAATCCAGAATTTTGTCACAATGGTAATTTTTCACTTTTTTAGATTTATTTACAATTTACGTTTACATTAGCAACAAAGGCTAGACATGTGATATTGTGACATAGGCTTGTCTTTTCACTGTTCATCAAAAGATTTAGAGTTGTCACTGCCGACGTTAATAACGATTTTAAATAATTTTGTGAGGGTCCTAGGGGGTGTGTCAACCTAACATGATAAATTATAAAAATACTCATATGACACAGAGACAAAGATAAAATATAAGACTATATATGACATCTGTTTTCAGTCATATCTCTATATAACATGTTTTTTCAGTCATGAAACTGAACATGGCATAGGATATTTTTGTACCAGTTTAACTGCCATCTCCCACAGGCATTCGTTGTATTGCAAATAATAGTCAAATTATCATTAAATAATTTCCCCTTGATCATCAAGAATAAAGTAACTATCTAGCACTCTATTACAAGTCATAAAACTCGCCATAGCATATTTCCCGTCACAGTCAACATTTCGCTCTCGCATTTTTTGAAATGAGACATATTTTCATACCTGTAAATGCAAACATAGCACAATAGATATATCTTTCTTTGTCCGTTAAAAATACTCTATTGAGCATGAGATAAATAAAGTAAAAAGTCTATCCTTAACCATCAAAAGTATTATATATGGTTCATACTTTTTTGTTTTTAATAAGAATTTTAATGAATAAATAGTAAGTGTTTTAATCAAAAAATAAATATACTATTCATATAGCTCTAGTTTTAGTATAATATTGTCATTGTCTTAAATTGTGAATTTTCTTTTATTCCACAGTTGGTTTTAGTGTTAGGAGATCTTCACATTCCACATAGAGGTGCTGGAGTACCAGCCAAGTTCAAGAAGTTGCTGGTTCCTGGCAAGATACAACACATCTTATGTACTGGAAACTTGTGCACTAAAGAATCATTTGACTATCTAAAAACACTGGCGAGTGATGTACATGTTGTAAGGGGCGACTTTGAGGAGGTGTGTATAACATAATAATACATATTATGATGTGAAATTATAGATGACTTGTAGATATATCTTTTGTCATGTTTTCTGTAAAATATGTAAGCCTTTTTCAAAGATTGCATGTAATTTTTTTAGAGGGTAATGGCAATATACATGTATAACTTTTTTGATTTTAAAAAAAAATTAACAATTTAATTGACTTTTCATAGGAGAATTCAAATGTTAAGCTTGATTTAACATAATAATGTAAAATGAAATAGTCATCTTGGTGCTTGAAGGAGCAATTGCCTCAATATTTGGTGGTCTTGATGAAAATTTAATAACTACATGTATTCTCATCAATAAAAGAAATGTTAATTGTTAAGTGTAAAAGTGATTAAACTTATCTTAAAGTACAAGAGTTTGCCACACAAATGTATACAGAAAATATTACTTACTCAGTAACAGGGTAAAATGATGGTGTTAAAGTTACCCCTGTCTTGTGAATATTTGGACATTTTTTATACTTTAAATATTTTTTTCCTGAAGTAGCAATTGCGAGGATATACTTCACTCATTTTGGCGTGTCATTTCAAAGCATTCAGACAACATCACTTTGAAGTTTAATGACCCAGGTTATAAAAAAAACTTAAAAACATTCTTGTTTTTTTTCCCTATCATTTGTAGAACTTGAATTATCCTGAACAAAAAGTTGTTACAGTAGGACAGTTTAGAATTGGTATGTGTCATGGGCATCAGGTGGTACCCTGGGGAGATAACGAGAGCCTCGCTATGGTACAGCGCCAGCTCGATGTCGATATACTCATCTCTGGTCACACACATAAATTTGAAGCATATGAGCATGAGAACAAATTTTACATAAATCCTGGGTCGGCAACTGGAGCCTACAGCCCAACGGAGAGGTAATAAAAAGAACTTGAAATAAATTTACATTCAGTTAGCTATTGTTAAAAAGAGGGCTTAAGTAGTTTATATAATGTGATTGTTAAATTGTGTGCTAGGAAAGACATGTGTAATGATTTTGTTGATATGATTTGACTATTGTCATGTTATTCACTATTTTTTGCCACTGTAGAAAAACTTGCCCTCTATCACTGTGTGTGTGTTAGAATCCACAAGGAACTTTGATTAGACAAGGGGATAAATATTCTCGATTAAAGATTATGTCTTCTTTCATGTGAAGGAGCTGTCCAGTTAGTTTAAGGGTAGTAGTGGTTCTACTCAAGTTCCCATTTGTGACAGAAATAATGCCCATGAATGGCACTTCGGGTCATGTTTCGAAAGATTTAGAATTGTTTCAGTTTTTATGTGGAAGAATATTTGCAGTGTTCGAAATTAGCAGTAGTCCGATAGCCCCTGACTACTAGATTTTTCCTCGGGCTACCAACTTTTCACAGTAACAAGCCCGACCAGGCTACTGTATTTTCAGAGGCAATATAAACAACTGTTTTGAACAAATGAATTGTGCTAGTGAAATATCTTTTGGGCTACTGAATATTCCAATTTGGTAGTCCGACGAGCCTAGTCGATTCAAAACCTAATTTCTTACACTGTATTTGTGTGCCAATATTGGGTTTTGTAATCTAATTCTATATTTTCTTTGCAAGGTATTTGCTAATTATTTTTTTACAATGAAAATTTGGAAGCAGTTTTTCCTAGGCTTAGTTATAAAGTTGTTATACCTCTCAATCTTGGAATTATGAGTTCAAGTCATATAGATGTTCATAGGATACTAACACTGGATAGTTTTGGAAAAGATGACTTAAAACGGATCAATTTCAAAGCTTTTTCACTGTCAAACTTTACTCTTATTATTGTTTATTTTATTTCAGTAATGTTGTCCCATCATTTGTGATCTTAGATATACAACAGTCCACAGTTGTTGCTTATGTTTACAAACTGATTAATGATGATGTCAAAGTTGAAAGAATAGAGTACAAGAAAAACTGAAAAAACTGCAACCAGAGCAAATCACAGGCATAAAATTGAGACATTAACTTGTGGCGTATTCAACTAAAGTGAAACTTTAAACGGGATCAATGTTATAAGAAGTGTTTAAAAATTGTGTCACATTTTCATTAGCTTATTCTTGAGGTTATTAACGATGAATCCAATTTTGCAGGAAATATCTGCCTGTTACATTTTTTTCTAATTTGTTAAATTTATTTTTTTGTCTACTTATTTTATGAAGTGAGATTTTCCAACATACATTTAAATCCTTGACCTGCTGAAAATTGTGTAATGGATTTGCCCTTCTTTGAATTTGGAAAAGTCCATTCTAAGCTTAAGGGATTTCTAGATGAAATTATAAGAATTGAGCTACCAGCAATATAGAGCCTGGTGAGATTGCACAGACGTGCAGACTGGCCTCGCTTTATACTGGTGGTAATGGCTTAACACGTCTGGGCTCCAGCAGGTTAAGGGTTCGAGTGAGTACCGTAACCTATACAGTTGCACATTCTGTACAATATGAATGTCAACTGGTAGTCTTTTTTCAGTAATAGCTTTATAGCAATAAATCATAAAATTAATTTACATGTAACAATATTGTAACTTCATTCAATGTTCGAAAGGTTACAAAAGTCAACATTTTTACTTACGTACATTTTTATTAAGTTTCCACTTCTATTTAAGTTTCTTAGCTTGTAAACGATAAATATGTCTTTATCAGATTGTAAGGAATTTCACAATTATGTTGACAAAAAAAATGTCTTGATATTCATTACGTAACAAAAAGATCCAGTGGGAGAAGTGTGCAATAGTTTGTGTTGTAAAATAACATTAATCAATTCAGAATTTTAAGAGTATTTTGTTAATACTCTGTATATTAAAATTAACTTGTTTCAAAATCAACTTGAAAATTCACATCAGTATAAATAAATGTATTTATATGTGTTTAAGTGATCCTGTTGCTTTGGTAATGGACCTTTCCAGTTTTTAGCAGTGAAAAGTTTAGCCCGGCCTTTTTTATTCACTGCCTGGTCAATTGTTCACTTGTTCACAAACAGTATCACAAAAAAATTAAGCGTTTTTTTGTGTAAACCAGTTCAACCAGTGATTACACCACCTAAATATTATCCCAGTGTAGCAATTGGATAGTCGGCTAACCAATGAACATAAAATTTGTTAAAACTAGGAAGATCCAATTTTAAGCTCTCCAATATTTTTGATGTCAAAAATGATAGTCCAATTATTTAAATGTTTATCTTCTAAATGAGTTTTATATGATATGTATATTTTGTCTTGTTAAAGAGTACAAAGTGAAAAATAATAAATACATGTATGTAAAATTATTCATTTTTGTTGTAATAGATTTATATTGATCCTTATCATGCAAAATATCTTGAATGATAATGTGCATCTTTGAACCTGGACAAAACCATTTATCATTTTAAGGAAAATTTCAAAATTATTCTGACTACCGTAGCTAACAATGCAGACTGTGACCAAACTGGTTGCATTGACAAGACAGGTTGTATTGGCAGATTCAATTAACACCATTGCATCCTCTTTATTCATAGAAATATTATATTTTCTCTACAAAAATTATAATAAAAAACATTCTGAGATTTTTTCAGGCTAAAAATGAATGTGCATGTATTTCTAGTACATACTAGTCACTAGTCTTGAAAAAAAAATGGATAGATTGTTTTTAATTAACTTTACCAGCAAAAGTTACCAAAGTCTGTCCATAAGAAATTAGTTGCATTTTGAAGTGAGTCATTCGGAATAAGTTTTTTAAGCAATGATTAGTTTTGTACTAATTATTTACTCATTGATCTCATTTTGATAGTCATTTGAAAGAGGAAAATTTATTTTGAGCTGTATTCTGTGAAATCAATGAAAATGATCATATTTGGATCACCGATGCAAATAAAACTTGTTCCTGGAAATATTTTGAGGTTAACCGTCACACCCAGGCTACATCCAGTCTTTGTATTTTACTATTTAGGGAGATTATATACCAACAATTTTGAAAAACCTGTCTGGTTTATCCAGCTTAATAAATGTAGCTTACCTGATGGTTCTACTCCGGTGCATGTTTATACCTTAAATAATGAAGCATAGAAGTTACACGTAGAACTGGAGGACTTCATACACCATTAAAGCTGGAAAGTCACCATATGTCCTATACAGTGACTGGATCACAGTGGAATTCTTCACATAATGCAGAAATAACTAATTGAAAAGAGATTTGGGTTTTATAATTAAATCTGTATGCCATTTTTTGGTAAAATGTTTCAATGTAAGCATAATTTCAAACCTTTTTCCAAATTTTCCTGCTTATCCAGAAGTGGATAAAATTTAAATAGATACCGGTACATGTAGCTTGATTCTTTATTAAATTATTATGTCAGATAAAGGTAAATGATCATCTAGTTGAGAGGTTGGTTTAGGTTGTGAGTTCAGATCATTTGCTGTGACCTTGACCAAGCTTGATTGTCATGTTCCAAGTTAATGAATTTTGCTGAAAGTGCCATAACTTTGTTATTAATAGGCAGATTTGATACATACAAACAACCTCAATGATTACATAGACATATATGACCTTTATCTGTAAATGACCTTAACTGTCAAGTGTCAAGGACAAATATGAAATTTTGATTCAATTCTGTACACAAGACCATTCACTGCAATGTCCTTCTGGTGTGTTTGCCTTTGGATATAAGAAAAAATATTCAAGCATGGCCCTCTCTGTGTGCAGTAGTTCTTGTTGTATTTTGAAATTGAACTCTTTTAGCCTTGAATGGAGTTCCAAATGCAACACCGGGGGAAACCATTACAAAAATACCACAGATTAAAAAAGTGTTTCGCCTTTCACTAACATCTGAATACAAAAGTTAATCTATAATAGGTTCCTTAAAATAATAATTTTAAATATTATGAAATAAAACCACATAAGTATATTTGAGATAGTTTATTTCAAAAGTTCTAGCAAATAATTTACAAGTATAAAGTTATCTTACAAATACTATATCTTATATGAGCCGCGTCACGACAAAACCAACATAGTGGGTTTGTGACCAGCATGGATCCAGACCAGCCTGCACATCTGCGCAGTCTGATCAGGATCCATGCTGTTCGCTATCAGTTTCTCTATTTTTAATAGAGTTGGTAAGCGAACAGCATGGATCCTGATCAGACTGCGCGGATGCGCAGGCTGGTCTGGATCCATGCTGGTCGCAAACGCACTATGTTGGTTTTGTCGTGACGCAGCTCATATCAATACATAAAAGTTAAAAATGCAAATAACAGTCAATCTGACAGTATATATCAAATACTACATAGAAAACAAATAAAATATGAACATTTTTTTCTAGTTTCAGTCACAAATATTTACTTGTTGTAAAGATTATTATGTAAAGTTACATATCAACAAATTGGCAAAAAAAAACTACAACAAATGATAAAAAGTTACCATAGAATACAAATTTTTTTTATGTTTGCTGCCCCAATCTTTAACCTAAAGTTGCTTGAACAAAAGGTTTACAGCTTTCATCACCAGTTTAGAGCATGTACATATGTACAGAATATGTATATATGCACAGAGCATTTACATATACATATATGTACGTACATATGTACATGCACCTTCTTGACAAGGCGCTTTACCATTGGCTAATTTACTTTATACTTTAAAATTTCATCTTGATATCCCCTAAAATTGATAATGGACCTTTCCAAATAAATGACTTGTGAACAAGGCAGTATTATAGATACAGAAGAATAAAAGGGGTAAATTAATTTTGTTTCAAGCTAAAAATGGTGCTAAAAGGGCACTTTGTGAATATACAATTTACATATATCTTAAATAGTAATAAAAAATGCCCACAGGAAAATAGCATTCTAATAGCATTCTTAAATCAAAATTTTAAAGTAAGAACAATTTTAGCCAACATCATTGATGCTTATAAGATGGAAAATACACTTTTTGTCTTCAAAATGGAAGAAAAAATTCCCGCCTTATAATGGAGGAAATAAGGTATATAAAAGTAAATATTTCCTGTGTAAATAAAAAATAATATATTTATCTATGGCTATACATAAACAGTACAAATGTACTATATTTTATGAAAATACTGTAAACTTGACTTTGTTTGATTTAATAAAAAAAGTTGAAAATATACACATGTACACATTTAAGTAAATCACAGCTGAAGCTTTGATGATATCTAACATTTCCATCAAAAAAATTCATTGGTTATTATAATTATGCATGTTTGTAACAGCAATTTTCCGTGGAAAGTCATGGTGTGTATATAATTACATACACCGCTGTAAATTTATAACAAAATTTCAATTTCAATAAAAAAAAAGGAAAAATTAAGATAAAGTAATTATACAAAATTATAACTGTTGTTGAAAAAAACAATTCTAACAGGTTATATGGCCTTATTTTTAAATACATGTAGTATTTTGTTAAATATCTCTGGCCTAGGGCTATAAATAACCATGCATCTGTTTCTATTATAAGTGTGCCATATAACTGTCATAAATATTTATAACCAACACTACCAATATAATGCAAACTGATTCCTTCTTGAAATTTAAATAGCGTCTTTGGTTTTAAGCCGTCTTCAAAATAAAAAATAACATTTTTTGCCATATCTCAAAATAAGGGTGACAACACATACACTAAAAATAACAGTGAAATAAAAAAAAAACAATTAATCCAAAACATTCAGAACTTAATGAAAAAGGTTGTTGCATTGTAAACCCTTACCCTGCCACAAATGTGCAATCTAACCAGTTTCTATTTTTTTCCATTAGGTTTACGTTGCACCAATACAGTAATGGTCATATGGCGACTTACCAGCCCTACTGGCTGAGAAATACCTCAGGGGCCCCTCCATACATTATTGCAGTCATGGGCATAGTAGATAGATAGCTTCCTCAAATGAAAAAATCCAATGTCCAGGTTGTATTCAAATCTAAAGCAGAGAGGGGCAAGTGGTTTGAAACTACTTGACCATTAACTGTCATATTCAGCTGATTAAGGGTTTAATAATACATGTATATCTAACTGTTCAGAGTAGATTATAAAATCATATTTTGCAATTTCTCAATTAAAACTAAAAATATTCAAAATATCAAGGCTTCATCTGTAAACAAGAAAGCTAAGCATATACATTTAGATATTTTGTTATCTTTCAGCAGTCACACACACATTATAGACAAAAAATACCTTTTAAGGCACATAAGAAAAATGCAGAATGATAAAATTAAAAATGTCCTAAATGAAATGTAACAGTAATATCTCTAAAATGCTAGTTTAGCTAAAGGAGAAAATAAGAAATAATGATAAAACATAAAGAAATTTTCGCTATGATCAAAAAATATAAAAATTTAACAATAATTTACCATCAGAGAGTTGTAGTAAAAAATCAATATCCCAAGCTCAGGATAGATAAAAAATATGGAATAACCTGATAGTGATAACAGATTAAAGCCTTTTCATGAAATCTATGACAAGAATATCTTTTCTTTAAGTATTCGTATATAAAAAAAATATGTAAATCTGACCAACCTGTTACGCAACTTGAGCCTGCAACATTTTAGTTTTTGCTATGCTTTGCATTTCTTTTACAGTTCTCATATCACTAAAGGATTCCTTAAGGACCAAAAGTATACATAGAAAAACAAATGTATAAAAAACAGAACAACTAATGAAATGCATCAACAAGCAATGGGAAAATTAGCACACAACTTATTTAACTGAGCCCACCTCAAGACAAAACAGACAATTATTATGTTGAAAAAAGGATTAAAGATATAAAATAAAAAAACTATAGCAATTCAACCATCTAATTCCATCAATATAAATAATAAATCATCTGAAGTGAAGCAATGTTTGTTTTACATTTAAATCATAATGATCTCCCTTGATGAAATGTGAACAGCTTATACTAGAACTCTATTAATTTTATAACATTCAAGCAAAAAAAAATCTGGAACATATCTTGATTTCTATAATTCTACATCCATTTGCTTATTAAATAAAAGCAGCAATATAGTTAGTTTTCTAATATTCAATTTTGTCTAGATCTTTGTTCACTTTTCTGTCTTCATCCTCTTCTTCAAATGAATCTTGTTTGCTAAGTCTATTTTTTTCTTTATCAGTTGCCTCATCTATGGCCTTTTCTTGCTCTGTTTCTTGTGTTCCATGGATTTTTTCTTGCGTGTCATTTACTTTTTCTTGCGTTTCATTATTTTTTTCTTGGGTTTCAGTGTTTTCCACCTTTGCTTCAGATTTTTCTTCAACTTTAATGGTTATATCAGTGTCAGGTTTATCATTATCCAATTGGTCTTCTCCAGCCTTTGTTTCCCTTGCATCAATCTTATCATCTTCTTTTTTATTAATATTTTTGTCAGTGTCAGTGTCTCCTTTATCATTTACATTATCCTTGATTTCCTCTTGTTCTTCAATTTTTTTATCTTCTGATTTTTCTTCTTTTACAACAGGATGTTCTTCTGCCTTAACTTCAGTATCATTTTTACTATTGTCAGATTGGTCAGGTTGAACTGTATCATCTTTTTTGTTTTCTTCTTCATTTATAGTGGCTTGTTTAGAGTTTTTCATTTCTGCATCTGATTTTTCTTTTTCTTTCTTCTGTTCTGTCACTTTTTCGTCATCAGTTTTATATGCTGTTTTTTCATCATTAACTGTACCTTCTTCAGCAAAAGAGGCACTTGGAATTTTATGAATCTTGGCATCTTTCCCTGCAGATTCAACTTTCACATCTTTCCCTATTTTATCTTTGTTATCAACCTTTTCACTACTTTTATGTCCTTTATTTTGATTTTCATTTCTTTTATTATCCGTGTCATTTTTCGCTGACGACTTACTGCTTACGCTCGATCTGCTTCCCATTATCCGATTTGGTCTGGATTGTACAGATGGTTGTTCGGTCTTACGTCTTCGATCCTGATTATTTCTCCTATTTTCTAATGAACTAATACTGCTGCTATCGGATGATTGATTTCTTTTCTTTTCTTTTCTACCATTTTCTACACCACTATCATGACTATAACTGCTGGTGTCAGATTTAATACTAAGTGTGGATGAGTGAAGGGAGTCTGAAAACATACAAAGAGAAAAGTATTTGAATATTTTATAATAATGGGCTTACTGTTTGGTTCATGAAATCTGTAACATTTAACTTTGTATATCTAGTCATACAATAAATCTTTGTCAAAGAAAGTTACAATATTCTTATCTGGAAACAGTTGCGCCTAATTTTTTTTTTCAATACCTGTCAGATTCTATTTTATGATGGGTGATTTTGTATGATCGTAATTATGTCTTTATCATGTGCAAGACTCTAAAATTATGTAAACCACATGTATATCTTTACAATCAATGTAATAAATAATAACAATATAAACTAATGCTGATGCAGAAACTAAACAGGCTTTGAAATTACATGTAGTAGTGTCAGGCCTGTCTGCAAAGCCATGCAGTGCTATCAGGATGTATATTGTTGGCTGAACAATGTTTATTATTGTTTGGTTGGTTTTTAGTCACACCAACACTGTAAAAGTCATATGGTGACTTTCCAGCTTTACTGATGGAAGAGGTACCACATGTGCCCCAATGTGCATTATTTCAGACAGGAGCTGCCACCTGAATAAATACCACAGACTTATGTAAAGCTTACTTTCATATTTTCAAAATTGACCCTTAAATTGATAATAAACTTTCAAACATAAAATAATGGAAGTTAGAGAAAATTCAGCAGATTTAGGATTACAATAATTTCATAACAGAAGCATTTTTTTTCTTCAAAATTTTTCATACCAAATACTGTAAGTACTATGTAAATCCGTTTCAAGTAAGGATTCATATCACTGTTTATCAGTATTAATAGTTTTCTTAAAAATTTTGTCACCTAAGCATAATGAAGTATGTGAAACAGACATTGACATAGATATAATTACAAAATATTTACTTGTTGCCACAGTAACTAATATCTTGACATGTCTAAAGATCATCAATAATTAGTGATGATGAAAACAATACCCTTATGATCCTTATAGCTTATGTTTATCTTTACATAGATATCCTATTTCTTAAAACTATACCTTATTCTGAACAGCCATTTTGTTTTCCATCAAAGTTTAAAATTTTTACTTTCAAACATTTACCATTTGACACAAAATGGCATTTTTTAAATACATTTAAGCTTGCAGACGTAAAAGTTGACTAAATGTAATTTAAATACTTAAAGGCCTTTTTCCTTCTGAATCAAAAGAAGGTCCATTTAACATGTGTTTACCTCCCAGGAAAATTGTATAAAACCGTGCAATTCATTTCACATCAAGTTCTTTCTTTTCATTTTGCAAAAATATTGTGTAAAATATTCCTTACTCAATTATACCTGTGAAAAAAAGCTCTGTAACATATATTGCAATTTCTGTGCATTGCAGTGTTAGAAAGTTCAACTTAAACATTCACCATTTAATAGACATTGCATTTTACAGTGCACATGCAGTTCTCAGAGTTTAGAGCTTTAAAGTAAATATTGACTATTTGAGCCGCATCATGACAAAACCAACATAGTGGGTTTGCGACACCAGCCTGCGCATCCGTGCAGTCTGATCAGGATCCATGCGGTTCCCTATTAGTTTCTCTACTTGCTATAGGGTTTGTAAGCGAACAGCATGAATCCTGATCAGACTGCGCGGATGCGCAGGCTGGTCTGGATCCATGCTGGTCGCAAACCCATTATGTTTGTTTTGTCATGTTGCGGCTCATTTAATAAAAACTGCAACGTGATCTGGGTATTCAAGCAATCATCTTTTATAAAATATGCATTCTACTTTGTAATTAAAAACATGCTTCAAAATAAAAGCAATTGTGAAATATTTGATGTCAGAAAGCCATACTAAATCATGCTATATTTAATGTAAACAAGTATTTTGCTACAATTTATCTACATATAATTATAAGAATAATTATGTCAGTTTACTATAAATTGCATTAGCAGAAAAATGTTGTTCACTAAATTTTGTGTCAGTAAAAAGGTACCTAAATTTTATAACACAGTGAGATGGTTTTGGGAAATTGTGAATGTGTCTTTATTAAGTTAGTGAAGTGGTTATTAAACTTATATTGGTAGGGTGTTAAGTGAAAGTGATTCACTCATACTGTTATTTCTTAAACAGAATTAACCTCATCATTTAAAGTTAAGTGTTTAATCCTTCTGGTGGTGACTGAATTTAAACATGCGACAAGTGCAGACCATGACTAACGGTGCCGTCTGATCATGGTCTGCACTGTTTGTTATTCCATCAGTACTAACATCTCAAAATTTTCTCTAAATATTTATAAAAAGTTTTGTGTTTAGATTGAAAAATGGACATTCAAGTCCTTTTAAGATAATTAGAATCGCAAGGGTTAAACATAAAACAAAAACTTGAATTATCACAGAGTCCATTACTATGTTTCAATATATTTTGTTGATTGTACTGGTATGTAAAAATTTTCTTTCCCTTTAACCAAAACATCCTTTGCATTAATTTGTCTGAACAGTTTAACATTGATTTTAATACAATTTTCTGGTCATATTTTAGCATTCAGTCCACCTAACCAGTTTACTAACCAGTTAAATACCAATATCTTCGCAACTAATCAATCCCACATAATTTTGAAACAGCGGCAAATTAAAGACAAACGATTGACATTCATTAGACTTAAAGAGAGCTCGTTGTAGTAAGTCTTTATAACATTTACTACATTTATAACATTGACTACAAGTCTTAATGAAATAAAAACTTATGTGATGATCCTTAATGACTGCATATATATATACTTGATAATCTAATAAAAAACACAAACTGACAAATATGACCAATTTATATGAAAAAAAAAACATCTTGAAGTTGAGTATCAAAATTTTGCCTTGCCTTTAAATCAAAATATATGTACTGTACAGACTTCAGCAAACATTTATTTCAAATGTTGAAATATTGACTGTTTCATAAAACTGTTTGATAGGCATCAATAATTGATAATCTTTCAAAATCAATTATTCCTCATGACTATATAACATGCATAGTATTACTAATATGATAATAAAAAATGTTACAATTACAAGATTCCATTTGTGAAAAAATGCTATGCCACCGCTTTAATTCAACACTGAATAATAGAAACATAAGGTTTTTTTTCTTTTGTTTCCATACAATTGAACTAAATTGCCACAATGAACTTTGCCATAAGGCAGGAGTGTCTTGGGGGTCAAGGTCATATTTCAGCATGTCAAATGAAAGATAAATGTGCAGATGTGTCTAATGTTCAGATGCATAGGCCATATTATATTAATTGATTCAAAATAAAGGTACTCTTACTTGATAAAAATTTAGATATTTAACAGTATTACATTGCTGTATTAAACTTAAACACATACACAGGTGAATCACAATATGCCACAGCATCGCAGATGCTGCGGTGGCATAAAAATAGTACATGTATTTCTGAAAGTTATCTGTAATTACACTATAATATCACATATCCTTCCATAAAACTGTTTATAATCCTGCTTCAGCAGTTTTAATTAACACACATACTGATTCAAAACTTCCAATCTTTCGAGTGTGTCTATATGTACATTGCATGCGTTTTTAAAATAATGACGTGAATTTGAGAGCAATCAATGGAACTATCTATGATGAAGCTGATATGTTAGCAATCAATTCTGAGATAATAGAAAAACCCTGTCATATGATACTTTTCTTTTAAATCGCTCATATGGAATACGATTTAAAAATTGATAAAGTGTTTCTGTATAAATAAGACTTACATTGTTTGAATTAATTTATTCTCGATCAATTGCCATAGGAGCATGTAGTTTATTCAAATACTTCTGTTTCAACTTGACTTCCTGATCATTCAGAAAAAATATATGCAAGTTCTAGACAAACGTCAATCACAGAAAATATAAATCTAAAGTTATACAGATTCAAGGCTATATTAATAGAGCTCACATAAATTCAATGCTCTATTCAAATACATTCTACACAAAAAATATAACCATACTGGAATGTCGAAACCAATTCTTAGTTTAAATAATGTGTCAATGAGCGAATTCTTTAATATTTCTGTTTTGGGTCAGAATCTCTCTTTTACATAGGTAAAGTTAGCCCCTACATTAGCCCAAAATAACACAGTATAATCTTGACTTATGAAAAAAAAGTCAGACTAAGTCTTTGAAATTTTTCATAGAATACTGAAATAAAAACAGCATTAAATTTTCATGTACCTGTGTTGTTTGTTTTTGTTGTTTTTTTTTATGTGATTTATTCCTGAATCACAAAACATTGTAATTTAGAAAAACTGTGGCAGACATATTAATAAAAGTAAATAATCTGCCATGTAAACACTTTACATAGACACTTTGTCATTTTATGTATGTTTAAAAACACAAGGCACGATCATCTGCAAAAACTATATTTTCTACTAAAATGTCTAACAATAAAGTTAACCCATTACTTCATGAGCATTTTGTGAAAAATGGCTGTTTTCATTGAAAAGTCTCCCGTTACAAGTTCAAATTGCTATAATACTATAAAAACTGCTTCAACACTAATCAAACTTGGCACAAATGTTGACTGGACCATTGCACTTGCAACAACATGCTCAGGCTTAAATTTTCTGTTACCATGGCAACGAGGGGACATCTCAAAATTGCCAAAAATCACTATTTTGCGTTGATTTTTTCCATCAAAATTGATTTCAAAGTGCTGCACTTTCTCAATGGATTGAGATAGAGTCAAATGCTTTTCAGCGTTGGTTACACGTTACCTTATGATCAATCTGGGGTCATTTACAGCCTCTCCCAAGTCCAAAATTTTTTCTTGGCAATGAGGGGGACTCCGCCCCCCTTCAAACCCCCCAAACAGAAGGGGCACATCCCCCTTCTGGCAACCCCCTGATGTATCTTTTGGTTGGGGGGCCGCGCCGAAAAAGAGGTCACTTTTTTTAACAACATTTCTCAAACAAAAACAAGTGTTTGGGGCCTAAATAAGGCATTTTTTCATCATTTGAGACAACAAAAAGGGGGGGTGAAAAAGGCGTTAAAAGGCGTGTATATGAAGTAATGGGTTAACTGACCGAATTAATGCAGACTTGGTTTCATTAATGACTTGCACAATTTCCCCAAATTTCAAAACTTTTTGTGACTGTCACAGACAATTTTTCAATTCCACGCTATTACAGTAGTAACAGAAATCTACATTTCATCATGGCTTTAATTACAAAGCTGTGGTTTCAATTAAAATATTATTATATAGTAACTGAATGTGAAATATGTATTTGTACTACAAGCTAAAACAGTCAGATAGTTAAAGGGAGGTAATAATTGTTTAATAATAGTAAATAATAGTTTTAATATCAGTTGATTTAGTAAAGTTATAACCTTAGTTTGTGTGCTATCTCAAACTTTGTCCTGCTCATTTTTAATACAAAATATGCAAAAATTGTCTTTAAAAGAAATTGAGGTACTTTATATAAATAAGTTTTATCTTTTCATTTTCTAGTAAAATAATTGCGGGTCTATAAAGATTTTTATAAAAATGAGTGCAACTCTATTTTCATTGCAACAATTTAAGGCAATTAACATATTCTAGGTATAAGTTTTCCTTTATTCAAAACTATTTTATAGTAGGAAATTTTATTTTTCTAATTAAACAGCTAGAAACAATTATTTTCAGTGAATTATGGTAAAAGTGAACTATTAAAAAAAAAATCAAAACCCAAGACCAATTGTGCAAAAGTGACTATCTCACTAATTGATAGTACTATAACAGTGATGTGACTTACCTAAAGTTCTAAAATAATGGTAGTAAAGATTATTTATAATTCATGCTATATCTGTGTGATATATTACCATATTTTTATTGTGAAATATATGTACACAATATTTATTCCATATATTACTGTAAAATCATTTTTATTCGTGGGGAGCAAATATTCGCAGTTTTTGTGAATATGTTTGAAATTAAGATCCAACAAAATTTTATTTTGTCTGATGTAAGGTTACTTTGTATCCCATTATTTACTTTTAACCTTTAAGAGAGAAAAAAACCAGTCCACAAATTCAAGAATCCTTAAAAATGATCTTTATGACAAAACCACGAAATTGCATTCCCACAAAATTAAGTGAATTTACAGTATTAGTTATAAAGATGCCTGACTGGTTTGTAATATGGCCCAGTATAAATGATTGTAAGTTTATATAACCCAAGCTGTTAGGTGCTAGGTTATATTGCAAACAACCATTTATACACCATCATGTAACATGCCAGACATTTAAATAATAAATTTTACAATATTTTTCGGCAGAATTAGATTGTTTGATGGAAAAAAAAATTACTTAATAAAAATGATAGAAGCCGGAATATTGATGATATAAACATCATGATTATCCAATGAAAAGTGATGTTACAAACATGCAGTATTATAAATTGACTTTTACCAGACATTCTGAGAACATATAGCTATACACCTTCATATTAGTTTAATTTTATTAGTTAACAAATGTTTCAAAAATCAAACTTATAAAAGATATTTGAAGAGTTTAAAAATGTATTAAAATTATATTCATTATGTGATAACATTTATGCATTGTTAAAATGTGACCAAATTCACTTTTTTTAACAATATCCTCTAAAATAGTGTAACCAATAGTGCTATATGCATATTTTGTAAATATTTACATTATTATAATAATGTAAAGTTGCACTTCAGTGAACTCAAAATCTATTTATTTGTTTACCTTTAAACAGTGTGAGGGTTTCTTATTGATAAATCCTAAATTAGTATCTATAGAGGAGCGAAATATTTTAACAACTATTTGCCATTCACAGTAACTTGATACTGTCTTACAGACCTTTGAACTGCCTGTATGTTTGAAGATTTTAAAATATTCATGATACACATATTTTCAGGTAGGTGTCAAGGTTACGAGAACTAAACATTGAAATAGTCTTGAATTACTTTGAATTTATAACTGTCCTAGTCTAATATGAGAAATGTCTGCCTGAGAAATGTGTATATGGAATAAATATGGTGCTGTGTACACATTATAAAGATAATAATAAAACTAAATATACATAAATATGTGACAGTTATGATTTTGCAAATATTTTTTTACATAAATATGTCTTCAGAAACTTTACATATACATATACACCAGCATCTGATTCATCTTTCTACCATTCTTTGTGTCTTTTGTTCGATTTTAAAATCTTTTGTTCACAATAACCAACAAAAGAATTTATTTGGATGAAAGTTACCTCCAGATTAAAGAGTATTATTTAAATTGACCAATCAGATGATGAGTTCTGCTGAATGTGTAATCAATTGACTGGCAAAAAATGGCTTATCTTAACCTTTAACCTGCTGGAAAAGATTACCGGTAGCCAGAAAAGAGCCAGGCCAAACACTGGCTCTATACTTTTGCCTGACAAAATATTCATCTGGACATCCCCAAAATTGAAAATGGACAGCTCCAGGAACAGAAGCAGGACAAGTCCATTTAATATATTCAGGAGGTAAAGGATTAATGAGCCAGCTGCAATGACTTTGAACCTATAAAATCAGTATAAAGTCATGCAAGGCGTAAATGGACTACAATCATGTACATCCTTGAAGTCTGACCAAATGCAATGAAGTCTGACAAGATGCAATTTGATTGTGACAGACGCAATTCGGTAGTGTGTTTAAATGTATGTAAGCATTTTGATACTGAAATCCCTAACCACGCTAAATATCTTAAATGGACTTGTCCATCTTTCATTCTGGACAAAACCATTCATCATTTTTAGGGGAAATTTCAAAATATTTACTTAAACTTACTAAATAATGAACAGTGAAGACTATTATCAGACGGCACATATGTGCCAGCTGATATTGGTCTGCACTGTTCCCATGGGTAGAATCAGTTGCCACCAGCAGGTTAAGTGTTAAAATACTAATCGATCAACTTAATTTTAAAAAAGAAATCCCTATTATCTTATAGGACAATTGAAATCTTCATCACAGTCTGAAATAAATAAATTTTAAATGAATGAAATAAGGAAGCAAAACATATCAGATAATAAATTCATAGATTAACCTAAAGGACTTGAAAAAGACAGAAAGAGAGACACACAGACTCTATATGCAGGAGAAATAATGAAGTTAAATATGGCAACATAGAAAATACAACTAAATGCTATACCTCTATCTGTATTTTGGCCGTTTGGATGACCTAGTCGTGATTTTGGCCTGTCTACACCCTCAAAATGTATAACCTCTCCTTTTCCCCCTTTTGGAAGCTCTAATTCCTTATCTGTATCACTCTGATTTGAGCTGTCTGCTTTTGGGTGGCCCAATCTTGATTTCGGTCTATCTTTTCCTTCTGTGTGTAGTTGAGGCTTACCACTATCAAGGTTTGATAATGAAGAATCAGACTGGTCACCATTTGTTTTTCCAACACTCTTTGCAGAATATGCACTTGATGCCCTACTCTCTGACCTTGACCTTAATGACCTTTGTGAATTTGACCTTGCAGATTTAGCAGAACTTTTACGACTAGAAGAAGGAGATTTCTGTAGACTTTTTTGGCTACCATATGGAGACTTACGGCTATCTGCGGAAGATATTCTATTTTTAGTATCACCAGCAGGTGGTTTGCTGTCATTCAAAGGTTCCTGTCTAGAATGGCCTAAAGATGTTTTTGGTCTCTCTTGTTTGTTTTCTTTTTCTTGATGATCTTCTTCAGACCTAAAACATTGTCATATAAATAAAGTAAAACTAGAAATGTGTCCATAGGACACGGGTGCCCCCACCGCGCTACTGTTCTATCAATCTTTTTACTAAGTCAAGGTAAATAACTCTACAAATACTGGATAAATCCACAAGCTAAACCCCAGGTGCAAATCTAAATATGCTGAGCAACCTGCCCATAAGGTTTAATGACTCTATGTCAAATCCTTTTTGAGTAACTTGCGACAAGTCAAGGGCAATAACTCTAAAAATACTAAATAAATCCAGACGAAAATACCTGGTGCACAACAACACATGCTGATCAATATTCCTGTGAAGTTTCATGACTCTAGGTCAAATACATTTTGAGTTACATGCGACACAAGTTTAAAATTGCAAAATTTTACTAAGTCAAGGGCAATAAGTCTGAAAATACTAAAAATATCCAGACGAAGATACCCAGGTGCACAACAACACATGCTGATCAACATTCCTGTAAAGTTTCATGACTCTAGGTCAAATACTTTTTGAGTTATGTGCGACACAAGTTGAAAATTGCAAAATTTTACTAAGTCAAGGGCAATTACCCTAAAAATACTAAAAATATCCAGACAAAAATACCCAGGTGCACAACTACACATGCTGATCAACATACCTGTAAAGTTTCATGACTCTAGGTCAAATACTTTTTGAGTTACATGCGACACAAGTTGAAAATTGCAAAATTTTACTAAGTCAAGGGCAATAACTCTGAAAATACTAAAAATATCCAGACAAAAATACCCAGGTGCACAACTACACATGCTGATCAACATTCCTGTAAAGTTTCATGACCATAGGTCAAATACTTTTTGAGTTACGTGCGACACAAAAGTGAACGGACGGACAGACAAGGGTAAATCTAAATGCCCGCCACTAAAGTGGGGGCACAAAAAAGTAAACATTTTTTTTAAACTATCCTCAAAATATGTCTGAATATACAATTACACATGCCCAACTTTATATGAGTGCAAAGTTGGCAAATAGGTAACATAGGTATGCATTAATTTCTGAACAGATTATGAACAAATTGGAAAATAGATACGCAGTACACTCTGAGAAAACAATCTGGGGTCCAAGGATAGTGTATTGATGTTATCATGAAACTGAAACTGTCTATAATTGAATGCTTTTCCTTTGAAGATCACAAGGATACACATATATCATATCATAGAGCTCCCTGATACAATGTTAGATACATGTATATCATGATTATTCAGGACATGATAAAGTTTAAGCCAACACCTGAAATAATCAAGTTCAAATACATATCTGTAACTATGCTGTTATTCTGTATTAAGTGTTATTCCGAGTTTTGATGTAGTTTTAAAAATACATATAGTTATGTAAAAAAGCAAGGGTTTCGGGGCAGCAGCCCCCAAAATAAGCAAGTATGCTGATATTGTTTATCTTCTGGGGTTGGCTAAACTAGATATGTTCCAATATTCATACATTAGAATTCTTATCTCCAAGTATTGTACACATAACAAATCATGTTACACCTGTCCAAAAACTTTATATTTCACTTTTTTTTTAAATTATTTTACAAACAGTAAAGTACTCTCTATATCAAAATCCAAATTTCAGGTAAACTTTCAAGGTCAAATGTTTTATATTATTTGTAATATAATCTGGAATGATACAGAATCCGGGAGTTGAAAGTAACTTGCAGAAAATCTCAAAAATAATCCCCATGTTACATAAAAATTTCATCTTATTAATAAAAGATACCTTTCAGTTTTTGTAGGACTTGTCCGACTAGTGGCACTCTTTGACCTTTGTGACCTTGGTGAACAAGCTGACCTTGACCTTTTGTCTGACGGTGTCCCAGTTCCATAGCTGCGATCTTTAGCACTATTTATGTATCGCATATATTTGGAATATTCTTTGTAACCGTGGTAACCTAGAATTTTGTGGGAAAAAACAACAACAGTTTAGTAAGAAATGTATGCAACAAATAGTAATCATCAATCAGTATGTTTGAAAAAAGAATATTATTTCATTAAAATCTAATCATTGAATTGTATAATAGGCAATAGTCAGTTCCAGTATCAAAGCAGAGCAATGGTAAAAGGTTAATTACATGTATATTCATTTTTGGATTGCATATTAAGGCAATTTATTATATCATCAAGTTGCACATTACAGAAATGTCGTATGTTGGGTCTATGCCATTACAAGTGTTTTTACAAATTGAAAACTGAACTTCTTTAACTATGTTTTTTTCATAGATTTGATAATAATCGGAAGTGTAAATAAAGGGAGATAACTTAATTTCCAGTCAATAATATTCATATATTATATACAGCCCCTTGAATTAACTTGCAGTATACAGCCAGGTCAGCCTGGACAGTAATTTGTACAGTCTGGCCACAATGTTATATGGTTGACTGCTGGACAAAAGACAGTGCCAAAATCAAAACAGAGTATACAAACTTGAGTCAATAAAAGGCATAATCAATTAAGACAAAACAAGGCATACCGGGCCATTAAAAACAAAACAGGGCATACTTGTTATGGCATAAATGGTAATATACAAATCAAAGTCAGTAAATTTGATTTAAATTCTGCTTTTGAACTATAATATTTGCAGTAAAAGTTAGCTCAAATAATTCACTTTTAAGATGTAGATGTTGTATTACTGCAATGTTTCTAGATGCTAACTAAACTGTGTAAACTTGTCATTCATTTGACTTGAAATTGCAGTTTTTACCAGTATAGGTGTCAGCCAGACTTCACTGACCAGGTTCTAGTGGTACAGCTGACTTTCTAACTTTCAATTTTCATCTTGAAATTTCCAAAATTGATAATGGGCTAGTCATAAAATAAGAAAGCTGAACAAGTCCACTCAAGAAATTCAGGGTTATAAAAAATATTGTTATAAATGAACACACCTTTCTTGGCCTCCATATCTAGTAGTTTTTTATATTGTTCTTGCTTTAACTGCTTCATCTTGTCCATGTTGTAGATTTTCTCTATACTCCACAGGTAAATCTTCTCACCTATACTCATGTCAGAGAACTCACTGTACATAGTAGAAAAAAGCAGTGATTTAAATTTTTTATATTAAAGTGGCTTGACTCCAGAGTGATACAAAATTTTATGAAAAACTAGAACTCCGGGAGTCTGATGTGTAGCCTTGTGAACAATACAGTTTAGGAGAAATGGCCAGGACAAAAATGAAATATGAAAATAAACAAAGGGCAATAACTCAAACAAGAGCACCGTTAGGCGGAGCATTATATGCCTGAAAGTGATTTTTTTTTTTAGTAAAGATGAAGCATTTGTAAGACATGGGAATTAAATAATGTATTACCTCCTTCACAAAACAATCCTCCTTTGAAGTTTCAATATTGTGGTCCAAATGAAACTTAAGTTTTGCCCCGGAAACTGTTTTCAGTTCTAAGGTAATAGTGACCTTGACCTTTGACCTTGTGACCCCAAAATCAATAGGGGTCTTCTACTCAATATGGACAATCATACTATGAAGTTTAAACACAGTGGGCAAAATGAAACTTAAGTTATGTTCCGACAACTGTTTTCAGTTTTAAGGTCATAGTGATCTTTACCTTTGACCTTGTGACCCCAAAATCAATAGGGGTCTTCTACCCATTATGGACAATCAATCTATGAAATTTGAATATTGTGGGCCAAATTGAACTTAAGTTATATTCTAGAAACTGTTTTAAGCAATAGTGACCTTGACCTTTGATCGTATGACCCCAAAATCAATAGGGGTCTTCAACCTAATATGGACAATCATACTATGAAGTTTGAACAATGCGGGCCAAATCGAACTTAAGTTATGCTCCGGAAACTGTTTTCAGTTTTAAGGTCATAGTGACCTTGACCTTTGACCTTGTGACCCCAAAATCAATAGGGATCTTCTACCCAATATGGACAATCATCCTATGAAGTTTGAACACTGTGGGCCAAATGAAACTAAAGTTATGCTCCGGAAACCAAATTGCTAACGGACGGACGGGCGTACATCTCTGTAAAGTCGGACGGACTGACGGACGGACGGACGGACACCAGGGGGTATAACATAATATGCCCGAAATTTTTTCGGGCATATAAAAATAATAAGTGCAGAGCAGCAGTTTCTATGCACTGCACTTCTCATCAATAAGATCTATCATTCTATGAAGTTTCAAGTCCATATCTTTTATAATTTATGAGAAATTGCCTGCACAAAAATAAAGTATGAAAATTAATAAAGAGTAATAACTCAAAAATAAGAAATTCAGAGTACCGGTTCTTGTACACTGCACATTTTCTTAATGAGGTCTATCATTCTATGAAGTTTCATGTCCAAAGCTGACATTTTATTAGTTTTCGAGAGCACAGTTGGTAATAAGATTTGCCATGATTTTTACCAAAAAACATAGATTGATACCTAAATCTCAGAGGGATTCAAGGAAAACTGGGAGATGGGAGGGGTGGTCAAACTCCTAATCCCCTCCCCTTCTTAGCATTGAGATTTTTAAAACTATTTTCTTCATGTGGAGATGGGCAGCTTTAAAGTAATTTATTTTTTAAAATAATGCATTTCATAGGTTTAAGTCTTATCTCTTCAAGAATCCCACATCTATTAGAAAATACATTCATCAAACTAAAATCGATATGCACTTATATCTGCATTCTTATGAAAAACATCGCAATTTAGAGCCGTCTATCTATCCTTAAAGATATTGCCGGATCTTTGTCGGCTTAATAGAAAATAGATCAATTTCTATCTGCAAGCAGACATAAGCTCAATTTCAGTCAAACAATACATAACAAATCACTTATAAACAGAGAAAAAAACTGACTGAAATATTGAGATAAATTATCATTGTCTGAAATAAACTGCTCTGTTCAAGGCCAGGCTGATAAAACACTTGCAAAAGTGTTAAATTTGAAAGTTTTATGGATATACAAATATTGCAAAATAAATTTTGAACGCTTATAAACTGCCTCACCTTTCCATATGAGTAAAATATTTTCAGAATATCAATCTTTATGAGCAATAAAAATGCATTAAGAGCTTAAGAAATGTATCAGAATTTAATCATGAACAATATACTTAAAGGCTTTACATGTTACATTTAGAATATGACTTGACTGACTCTGTAATCATCTTATTTCTACCTCATTTCTACAGACGGAAGACATATCTTTGCCTATTTTGACATATATGAATACGACATAAAAAATTCCATTTTATTAAAAAAAAAATTTGTATGAGCAATTGGCTGAGTAGTAAATGCTTCCAACCAGTAATCTAAATAATGCTCGCAAGTCATGCGGGTTCAAGCCCCGTCAGGTGCAAGCCATTGTTTCTTTGACACTCATTGCTCAAATAACACTGGTTGGTTCCAGGAAAAGTTTTGACAGTGTTTCAATAATCTTATAGCTTCCAACACAATCAAACTTAAATAAGTTGGTATAAACTAAAACAAAAGCCTGTTGATATAATGACTTACATAATTATGCCACCTGACTCTCAATCTTATTCCTTTTATTATTAAAATTGCTTAAAATAATGGTGGACCATTCATAAATTAAAAAACGGGCAAGTCCATTATAAATATAATGGGGGAAAAAGTGAAAAATAATCATACCTATTAGTGAAGTATCTGTTTGGCGGCAATGACATACGACTCCTAGATCTTATATCTTCGTATGGCAAGTCGGGGGTTGCCATGCATGATGCATGACGTCTTGGATTCACAGAATGACGAGCTGAACAAAAAAAGAGAATACAATGAGACGTAGATTAATTAACATAATCTTACTATGCATGTAGAATACCACTGGATTACTGTAATGCTATGATTATAAGTACAAGCCATTTTTGTCCCTTTATTTGAATAGATTTGTCAATAGATGTTCAAAGAAAAAATGCAAAACTGAAATACGTAACATGTATGAAGAAAGCACAGGACTTTAAAATTCAAAGTAAACAGTTACTGCAAAGTCAAGAAAATGTCTTGCAAACAAAAATAAATATTTTGCAATTTGATTTTTTTTTAAATCATTCTGAAAAAAACAAAAAAAACCATTTGAATTCATGACTTTGAAATTCATTGCAGATTTCTAATTTTTTTCACAACTTCCAGATTCATCTTTCTTATTTTCAATTTTGAATTTCTTTTTCCAGGAACTGACAAAATAGCACTTTTTGGCGTCCTTTTTTTAAAAATTATTTTGTCTCAAAATCTTTCATTGGCTAATCCATTGGTATTCTATCTTTAGTAGTTAAATGGTTGTACATATTAAAAACAGTATATAGTGATGCAATGTGTAATGAAGAGTGTGGAATTAGAAAAAATGTAAAGTGAATGTTTAGAAATGATCTCTATAACCAATGAAATTACACTATTATTTTTAATTTTTAGTAACCAAAGATTTAGTTAAATTTTATTTACAGTATTGAATTATACGTCATTAAATAATGATATGTGCATAAAGATGATAAAAAATGGTGCAATTAGTCATACACAGAGTTATAAAAGCAACACAGTTAAACTTCTAAAATAAAGTCAAGCAGACGGAAAAAAAAGACAGTAAAAATCTGTTCTATATGGTGATACATGAATCATTGATCATGCATTTAGAAGAAAAATATATTTTGATTATTATAGATAAGTTTTCCAAAAGGCACACATACAGATTTGTTCAGCATGCAATTTTCAAAAATACCCTGACTAAATACAACTAAATAATTTACCAGCAAAACAAACACATGAACAAATGTATATAACATTATTGTACAATATTGTTCCCGTTTGATGAAACTTAGTCTTTAACATTAATTGATTCCGAAAAAACTTGCCAAACTTAAGTGACCACTGTTATTTTCACATTGTTATCTTTTGTACGATTAGATTCACTTTTATTCTATTTCTTCTACTTTTGTTACATTTCAAGTACATGAAAAGAAAAAAATTACAAAGGGAGACAATTACAGTCATATAACAGAGATGACTTTTGTTTTCTTTATGATATTCTCTTAGGCTAAAAAATATTGATAGATATAAGCTTGATCAAAAATTCTTTAGACAAATTAAATTATCTTACAAAAATTACAAACTACAATGAAATACACGTTTATCACATGACTTCCTTTGTTTCCTATGCAATTATTATGTATGCCTTTATATATCACATAATTATGAACTGTGACAGTCGCGTCACTAAATAAAAATGAACGGATAGTTTTGGTAAAATAGAGTCATGTGATAAAAAGAATCAAACATGAGTTAATTGTCATGAGATATAAACTTTTACGAAACTCGCCCGTCAGAAAAATTCTATTTAAAGCTCACCCTTATAACTCAGACTGGATTTATAACATTTCCCCTAAAACTTGTTCCATAAAAGTTTATATCAAATGACAATCTAGTCGTCATATTCTTGATATAAGAGAGATATAAGCAAACAGATTTTCAAAAAACTGGCATAATTTAAGGTGTGCTTGGAAAGCGACATCTATTAATCAATCAATCAATCAATCATCAAAGATGGTGAATCAAACGTTAAGAACTAATACATGTATTTTACAATGTAAAGGGAAAAGGCGAGATGTGTAAAAATTTCTAATAAAGTGACATCAAAGATGGAATCTACAACGTGTAAAATAAGAAATATAGCAAAATCACTAGAAGATGTTGCCTGAGTGCATATATTTGTACACTACATACAAGCTTAAAGTTTCTGTAAAATAATCCTAGAGTTGAATAAAACTTCAACATGCATATGAACTGTACTCACATTCATGTAAATATGCACCTTTTTTAAGAAACAAAGCTTTTATACAAGTATCCATTGAATTATTCATGATGAGCATTGAATTTGGTAAAATTTATTCATTATACAGAACATGTTCTTGATGCACCATTTAACTGTAGACACATCGTAAAAATATTCATAATTCTGTCTAATTTTATGGCTCCAGTGGATCAAATATTAGATATACATGAATGATAAAAGAAAAGCTATTAAGAGCCTATGTTGAAATTAAGGATGCTACATGTACATACAGTTAAGTGAAGTTTTATAATATTTGTATATAATTATTCTTCTAAAACAATTTCCAAACATCCAAGAATATGTTAAATATGTACAGCAAATGTTTATATACATGATAATTAAACGTTAAAATTAATGCATTCATTTTTTGTTGTTGAAAAAACCTGGCTAAAATAGACTTTATCAAAAATAAATTTCTAATTATCTCCCTTTATTTACAAGAACTGTTACATTCGGATATATCTTTACATATAATGCTTTTTGAAACTTGCAATATTGATAAATCTTCATTTAAGCAACATATTTATGATATAAAACATAAAAAAATGTGTTATAGGGTCTTTAACTATTCTTCAAGGCTTCCTCGAATGTATCATATCAAACTACTCAAAATAGAAACCATAAAGGTAGCCAACAAGGCAAAATTAAAAAATGTTTAAAGGCTGGGTTTGATCGAGCCTGTTCATAAGCATCAGTTTGTTGGTAACCCTTTGAATGTCAACAGTAATAACAACTTGACCACACATCAATGTAGTCTGACCAGGCTTGATACTGTCTTGACAGCGTTATTTCAATATTTTGATATTCCCCTGACACTAAATGGGGACTTACTGTATATTACAGAACAAATATGAAATATTTTGTTACCACAGTAAAATTAATACAGTTACTCAGGTTAAAATGATTATGCTGAAGAAATCAAAAAGTTAATAAAAGCATCCAACATAAACTAAAAGACTCGCCCTGAACCTTTGGTTCTAGTGAGTCTTACGAAAAACATAACTGCATTTTCATCCAAGTTTCCTTTCTAACCCCCATCCCCCTATTTCTCTTTTTCTTTACCCTGAAGCCAGTTTTGGGGTTACTGACCAATGCATTGCTTTAGATATCATGATTTTTTTAGACAAAAACTGCTACCACTGCAGAAGATGAAAATGCATAACTGTTATTACAAAATTATCGCAACAAAATTCCAACATCAAATCACTCTGGAATGGAAAAAAAACCTTTATGCAAAGGCAGTTTCTTTGATTTAATTGGAGGTCTTTCCAGTGGCATATCAAATACACTAGATAAATTGACAGACACAGTATCTATCCGTCCGTCTGTCTGTCCTATAGATACTGGTAGATCCAATTCCGAGCAATGGTCATCACTCAAACTTAACAGAGCACCTGTTATAATTAGTGAACTAGTTAAGTTTACACATTTTTTTAAAGATATACTATGCTCATCTTTAGGTAAAATACTTTTATTGCAAACATTTATTGAAATCTAGTAAATTCTTCCTGAATATGTCTAATTTTAATAAGTAAATATTATGATGGAAGCTGCATTTCTCTATTACTTATCAAATTAATTTGGTCTATTCTTATAAAAACTGCCAGGTTTTTTATGACACTTTGTAATCATACTGTGATTACCTGTAGTGTGTATAGCTAGAGTTTAAAATGTAACATATTTTCTCTATGTGTATTCAAAAGAAAGATGTTTATTTTATAGTAATTATCAGGGTTTTTTTTTTAAATCAAAATTTGAGCATAGTACATCTTCAGCTTCATAAAAGTGAAAAAGACCGAAGGTGGTTTTGAGCCATTCCCATGTCGGCTGTCAGGAACTAACCAGTACTGGTGTCATGTCTGGAAACATGGTAGTGATTACAGTATTGGCTCAACTGACAATCTCTTTAGAGGCAGACACCTTAACCACTAGGCCACCACTCACCTTGGTGTATTTGTTTGTCACAGATCATGTTAGAACTTTTAGTTGATTAAAAATTGAAGTCTTACCACAAAATGATTGTAACTTATACGAATGAAAGCAGCATGCCTTATTTTAATGAACATTTTTTATAAATGGTTTGAAACTGTCAAAAGTGTTATTTTTAGATACGATGAAATGCGTGCAAACCACATTAATTACATAAACTATCTTAAAATAACCTTTACCCATTAAATAACACGGTAGAAATATGGTGATAAAACTTTTAAAACTTCTCTTATTAAATAAGATAATTGTAACTGGAATACAATTAATACACTAATTCAAACTAAATTGAACCTTTTCCTTCAAAGGCCAAACGTGAAGTAGCAGGTTTTCCTGTATCTTTTACCTATATTTAACTTATACTAACATTTTGTCTTGGGCAGGTTTCAAACAGTATCACCAAAATAAACTGACTGCCTACATTGCAAGTTTTCCTAGATTATCCCAGTACTGACCAGTTTATCCAAAATGTGACTGATAATTTTTCCACATTGATCATTTTGAATGTGTTCCAATAAATAACATTGTTATCAAGCAAAATTGCCACAAAAATATTTTCTTCTACTACAACTCCAAAAAGAATCCAAACAATCAAAGGTCTAAATACCAAAAATGCTCTCCCTTAGATGAGCTTAATATCCAAATAGACTTTTACTGATGCTGAATGTTCACATTTTTTAACCCTTAAGTTTCCAACATCATTCACCTAATGTAACTTGTTTACAATAGAAACAAACGGTTAAAAGAAATTGGTGCATTATTTAAATTAATAGTGAGTTGTTTTTTTTTTTTACAGAGGTGCAACCTAAAAACACTGTGAACAAAAATAATTTATTCTACAGTTGGTGCAAGAATGTTCATTTTTTTAAAAATATTAATAAAGTTAAAAATATATTTTGTGAAAAAATTAGGATAAAAATGCAACTTACTGCTGTCTTTATAAACATGGCAATAAAAAAGAAGATATTAAAGGTTCATTTAAATTTTTTAAAATATTAATATTAACAATGTATATAGAATAAGTTCCTATTGACAGTCACACAGTGCTCAAGTTCTTCAACATGACAATGACTTGCCATCTAGAAAAGCCCAGCCAGCGTGCACGCTCGTACTTAATGTGACAATGACTTGCCTAGGGCATCTGGAAAAGCCCAGCCAGCGTGCACACTCGTACTTTATATGACAATGACTTGCCTAGGCATCTGGAAAAAGCCCAGCCAGCGGCACACTCATACTTTATATGACAATGACTTGCCTAGGGCATCTAGAAAAACCCAGGCCAGCGTGCACACTCGTACTTTATATGACAATGACTTGCCTAGGGCATCTGGAAAAAGCCCAGCCAGCGTGCACACTCGTACTTTATATGACAATGACTTGCCTAGGGCGTCTAGAAAAGCCCAGCCAGCGTGCACACTCGTACTTTATATGACAATGACTTGCCTAGGGCATCTGGAAAAGCCCAGGCCAGAGTGCACGCTCGTTCTTAATGTGACAATGACTTGCCTAGGGCATCTGGAAAAGCCCAGCCAGCGTGCACACTCGTACTTTATATGACAATGACTTGCCTAGGGCATCTGGAAAAACCCAGGCCAGAGTGCACGCTCGTTCTTAATGTGACAATGACTTGCCTAGGGCGTCTAGAAAAGCCCAGCCAGCGTGCACACTCGTACTTTATATGACAATGACTTGCCTAGGGCGTCTAGAAAAGCCCAGCCAGCGTGCACACTCGTACTTTATATGACAATGACTTGCCTAGGGCATCTGGAAAAGCCCAAGGCCAGAGTGCAAACGCTCGGTTCTTAATGTTGACAAATGACTTGCCTAGGGCATCTGGAAAAGCCCAGCCCAGCGTGCACACTCGTACTTTATATGACAATGACTTGCCTAGGGCATCTGGAAAAACCCAGGCCAGAGTGCACGCTCGTTCTTAATGTGACAATGACTTGCCTAGGGCGTCTAGAAAAGCCCAGCCAGCGTGCACACTCGTACTTAATGTGACAATGACTTGCCTAGGGCATCTGGAAAAACCCAGGCCAGAGTGCACGCTCGTTCTTAATGTGACAATGACTTGCCTAGGGCATCTGGAAAACCCAAGCCAGCGTGCACACTCGTACTTTATATGACAATGACTTGCCTAGGGCATCTGGAAAAACCCAGGCCAGAGTGCACGCTCGTTCTTAATGTGACAATGACTTGCCTAGGGCATCTAGAAAAACCCAGGCCAGCGTGCATGCTCGTTCTTAATGTGACAATGACTTGCCTAGGGCATCTGGAAAAACCCAGGCCAGCATGCACTGTTGGCTGCTTTATTTCATTATACATGTATTGATATTGAAATCCCTAATACTTATAATGGACTGTTCCAAATCAGGACAAGTCCATTTCACAAATTCAGCATGATCAGGGTTCAGGCATTTGAACGAATGAGATAATTATAAGTTAAGGAAATTTAGGAATCATTACCTATCAACGCATTTGGAGGTCTGTGACTTGAATTTACCCATTCCAGTTCTGTCTTTATGGTTGGCTCAAATTTTGGTGAACTAGAATCAAAACACGTTGTGTGAAATCTTGGATTTCTAGGTGACTCCGCTGAAATATAGAATTAACACAGTATGAACATAACATAAGTTGTTAAACGGAAGTTTAACATACTTTTGGTTTCATTGGACTGTGCAAAATGCAGGCCAAAAGTTACTTCCCTTATTTAAAGAGCTTTTACTCATACCAAACTGATTGGTTTATACAGAATTCATTTTAGTTTGATTGTGTAGGAAGCTATAAGCTTATAGACACACTTTCAAATCCGTAACTGGAACCAACCAGTACTGAGCAATTAGTGTTATGTGTCTTGCTCAATTAGGAAACAACAACTTGCCCCTGATTGGGTTTGTACTCATGCGGTTAGTGAAAATTAGATTACTAATCCAACATGTTAACCACTCGGCCATGCCGCCACTTAAACTGATTGATTTCAAAACCATGGCAAATCAATCACATTTTCAGCATAAGCAACAATTTCCTATGATTTAAATAAATCTTTCATTAAATTTAACTCGGTTCACTGAGTTTGATCAATTTTGCATTCACATAGCTTTATGCAGAATTAATATTAAAATTTAATTAAACTATAAAACAACATGAAATTTCTATTTCCAGTATTGTAACTTAATTACCTCTGTGTCTATTTGGATCAACATGTCTGAAAAGAAAAAGAAAAAATGAAACATTAAAAACAAATTAAAGCATTTCAGAGTAGAAAAACAACATTGAAATATAAGTTTATCCCCTATAATATGAGATCTTATTATACATGATAATACTTCAATCTTGTGCCATGATAGATCTCAAACAAATTTGCATGGGGCCTCAGAGTTTGAGCCAACAAATGAAGTGAAATTCTCAAACATGAAAGCTTTGATGCTGCCTAAATGACCAAATGTTTCAACCTGACCTATACTGAGTGATGCCAGCCTACAAGTCCTTAATGTCTCACAACACTCTATAGTGTTGACTACTCTATTTAGATATTATTTTGATATCAAAATCCCTAAAACCAACAATGAACACTTTCAAATCAATTTCAAAGACAGGGGAAGTCCATTGTACAACTTATGCTGAGTAGTCCGCAAAGATATGAATAAAACTGCTTGAATCAATTATTACACAAATTATGCAGAGTTAAGAATAAAACCAAATGGAATTAAATACACAAATTATGCAGACTTATGAATAAAACAGCTGAAATCAATTACACAAATTATGCAGACTTCTGAATAAAACAGCTGGAATCAATTATAAATATTATGCAGATTTATGGGTAAAACTGCTGGAATCAATTACACAAATTATGCAGATATATGAATAAACTGCTGGAATCAATTACTCAAATTATACAGACTTATGAATAAAACAGCTGGGAATCAGTTACACAAATTATGCAGATTTATGAATAAACTGCTGGAATCAATTACACAAATTATGCTGAGTAAAGAATAAAACAAATGGAATTAATTACACAAATTATGCAGACTTATGAATAAAACAGCCGGAATCAATTACAAAAATTATGCAGACTTATGAATAAAACAGCTGGAATCAGTTACACAAATTATGCTCAGTTATGAATAAAACAGCTGGACTCAATTACACAAATTATGCAGTTATATGAATCAAACTGCTGGACTCAATTACACAAATTATGCAGATATATGAACTGAATTACACAAATTATGCAGAGTTATGAGTAAAACTGCTGGACTCAATTATACAAATATTGCAGAGTTATGAGTAAAACTGCTGGACTCAATTACACAAATTATGCAAATTTATGAATAAAACTGCTGGACTCAAGTACACAAATCATGCAGATATATGAACTGAATAACACAAATTATGCAGAGTTAATAATTGAGTAAAACTGCTGGACTCAATTACACAAATTATGCAGAGCTCTGAACAAAACTGCTGTACTCAATTACACAAATTAAGCAGATTTAATGAATCAAACTGCTGGACTCAATTACACAAATTATGCTGATTTATGAACAGCTTAAATGAATCAATTACAAAAATTATGCAGATATATGAATGAAACAGCTGAAATCGATTAAATTGTTTTTGGCACAGGAAACAAACTTTAAATGCTAGAGCATTAATGGCCCTTTCAAACTAACTATGCACTTCATATGTCTTTGATATATTTTGTGGTAACCATTCTTCCAGCACTGAAGATTTTCAATAGTTCTATGTCCCACTTTAATTCTTTTATTATGAGCATCCACTAATACTGTTTGTTCAGGACTTAACAATTCACATTTATTATCTAAATAAATATTAACATGTCATAAAAAAACTTCAAATGAAAGTACAGATCTTGTTTTTATTGTAATAATATATCAAAAGGGTCATAATAACCTGAAAGAGTCCCATTAGCAAACTATAAAAACATATTCAAGTCTTCTTGAATTTAATGTGGGCCTTCCATATAAAAGAATTCTGCGTAAAGCCAAAAAAAATCTTGTTGGTTATATATCTAATTACACAACCTGAGCACAGCTAAAACAATGTATGGACCCTTATTATAGTTATCTACCTGATCAGCCAAAAGATTGAATAGAATGGACTTGTCCAATGGTCCAACTGTATCAATAAATAGGTTTGGCTATGATACTGGTGGCAAATGTTTTTTAATTATTGTTTCAAACATAAATTGTGCAACTACAACACATATTTTATATTTTCCAATTTTTTACTTTTTACAATTTTTTTAGATACCTTCATCAAAATGATAAACACATAACAGACATGGCATCAAATATATAATGTGACACAAGGTGGCAAAATAAAATGTTTAGTTAATAGTAAACATAATTGCATGTATATCAAAAATGTACAAAAATAAGTCACGCTTACAGACAATACAGAAGTTTTCTATTGTTAAAATATATTTTATTTATTTACAATGTTTATTTCTTTAGCTTTTGTTTTAGTTTTTTAAAAACTATTTTTACTTTTCTTTCAGTGTTTGAATAATTCTATTAATGTATTTAATCATCAACATGATTTCAACGGAGAAGCATATTTATTAAGTCGATTAGTCGAACTATTTAACTTAAATAATAAAATAATAATTATTTATGCATTCAACAGTTATGCAAAGGATCTGTACTCGACTGACAAAAGACATATGTTTATAGATTTTGCATTAGTATGCACATTTTACACTTTAATACTACATGGACTTAACAGCGTGCTGCTAGAACATATAATTTGAGTGTTGACCGCAAAACTGCAGTAACTTATATGAAATAATGAAGGACTTACAACAGTTCTGCAGTCGACCCTTGATATGTCATTTTATTCACTGGTATTATAACACTTTTCATAAATGTCAATATTAATAAAGTTCAACAGGTTTGTGAAAGTGCTCACATATTCAGTATATCTCAATAATTTAAATGAAGTTTTACGGTAAATTTACCTAGGGTCAGGTTGCCCTCAGTTGAAGTGAGGGAAAGTAATCATCATTCAAATCAATATCATTAAAATTTCATCATTATTCAATGGATGGAAATATTTAAAATACTTCAATTCACATTCATTATTAGGTGAATAAAAGGCCTAATGATTAACCCTTACCCTGTTTGAACCAGTGATCAGCCTTTGCCACCAAGATAAAGCCAGGCCAGCCTGCACTACATTATAGTCCGATCAGGTTCTATTCTATTGGCTAAATTTAAATCTTCATCTTGATAACCCCTGATTTGATAATGGACAGTTCCAAAAATAGAAGCTGGACAAGTCCATTTGATAAATTTAGTAGGTTAAAGGTTAAGGGTTGTGTGTCTCAACCTAAATATAGTAATTATTTTTACCTCAACATATATAATGATTTTTCACTCCCATTTTAAACAATATTACACTTAAGGTTCTATATCTAACTAGCATAGCAGCCAGTAAACTAATATGTTTAGGACCTTAGTTTTGTTGTGGGCTTCATTTGCGACATATTGCGTCAGAATACAATCATGTATTTTGTTAATAGAGGCTGGTACTTGTTTATTTTAACCTTTACCTGCTATGATTGTCCTGCTTTAATTTGGATCAGTCAATGAATAGGTTAAGAGATTTCAACATCAAAGTACAAAAACTGAGCTTCCAACAGTATAGAGCCTGGCCAAACTGCATGAATCTGCTGGACCGGGTTGTTCAAAACATTGGTTAAAATTAACCAATGGATAGCTTATCCACTGGCTAAATCCTTAACCAGTGGCCAGTTATCCAGTGGATAAAATTTCATTGTTCGACAGTTGGTTAGTACACTGGCTACCTAACCAGTGGATAGCGTATTTATCCGCTGGTTAAGTACCACGATGCAACAGGGTTGGTTAGTGATTCTGGAAACAAAATGGCCGATTTTTTGATGAATAATACATTATTAGAATCAAAAAGCTCCCAAAAAATAATTTTGCATGTTTTGTGCTTTCTTGTATTTGGAATTAAACAAAAAGTATATCAGAGGCCTTAAAGTATTGAAAGATTTATTTTTCCTTTAGACACACATAAGAAAAAATTCAAAAACTACTTTTTTTCAAATTTTGAATTGAAATTACTTCCATTAGATGAGTAATGTTCTAACTAAGAAAATGAGTACTGACACTTGTATGTTTTATTAAAGAATAAGAAAGTTATGACTGTTTAACTGAATTTTCTGAACTACAACAACAACAAATTTAGATAAAAAGGGTTCTAAAAGCACATTTTCAGAAATGTTTCAATTTAATCATATGCATTTAATATGAAATGTTCTAGTTAAGAAATATAAACATATATTTGTAAGAAAAATCTGGTTTTAAACAAGTTTTAATGCTTTTTACTGTTTTAATGATGTTACTAACCACTGGTTAAGGGCGTTATCCGGTGGTCATAGGTCTGGTTAAAGTTAACCGCTGGATAACGCATTTTATCCATTGGATAAGTTTTGAGCAACAGAATTTATCCAACAGACAAATTTAAACCAGCGGATAATGAATTTAACCACTGGTTAACACTAACCAATGTTTTGAACAACCGGATCCAGGTAGCCTGGCTTTATACTGGTGGCTAAGGCTGACCACTTAGAACTCCATCAGGTAAAGAGTTTAAGTAACTTTTGATTCCATATGGCTTAATGTAAATCTGTTAGCCTACAAGATTTTTATATACTCAGTATATCATATTGTAACAATCGTAAACAATAAATACCTTTCTGGTTTTTGAGGTCCTGTGTAATAGCCCCTTAATCTTGTCCCTTTCTGCAACAAAAATGAAAACTCAACAAAATATAATAAAATCAACAAAACATGACAATGGAAATTTCACTTTCATAATAATTTCTTTTCATTGTTGCTTAATTTGTTTGTTTTTTATAATCTCTTAGTTTATAAATGTAAAATATGTATGGCCTTCAAATCAATATACATTATCAGGTTGTTTTTTTGTTGTTGTTGTTGTTTTTTTCTATTCAATTGTATGAGTTGTTTTGTATCACTATGGAAAACCATCACCTTAGTAATTCCATCTTATCTTTACAAGCATCAGCCTATAAGTCTTTAATACAACATACTTCTGGAAAAGAAAACCTTATTTTGAAGCAAAGACTAGACTTATGGTCTTGACCTTGACATTATAATGACCTTGACCTTCTAGGTCACTTTTTCAAAATTCAGAAATTATTATTTATAATTGCTTAATTTTAGTGAATTAACTGTTCAAATTTCAAACAAGACCTGTCCCCACAGAAAATCTTAGTTGAAAAAAAGGCATAACTTGGCAAAAAATAATTTTTGGATTATATACTGTTTTGAAATGCCGCCCTTTTATGACAATAAAAATGTGTACCAAGCTGTGAAACAGGAAGTTAATGAAAAGGTTAACCAATGCCGACGTCGAGGAGAGGGTCATAACAACACTTCCTTAAAAAGCTTATTTAAGTCCATTATTGTTGTTTTTGTTACGGAAAGATAGATTTTTGTTATGTAAGGAAGATGTAGACTACATACCTTTCCGTACTTGTTGTTGAGTATGATAAGTTTAGTACTGGTGTTAGCTACATCATATGCTCTAGATACAGGACTATCACATGGCCACTCGTGACCATTGAAGTCAGTTCTGAAAAATATAATATTCATGTCATAATATCATGACTTTTTAAGATTTAGCACAAATTCAAATCTTTTTCAGGCCAGCCAAACATCTATGGTCAAGTTCTACTATTGCCATGCCAGCCTGAACATATGTGGTCAGGTTTTGAACCATTGCAAGGCCAGCCTGAATGTATATGGTTGACTCTGCACCATTGCCAGGCCAGACTGAACATCAGTGGTGAGGTTATATACCATTTCCAGGCCAGAATGAATATCCATGGTCAGGTTCTGTACCATTTCAAGGCCAGCCTGAATATCCATTATAAGTCAGGTTCTGTATTATTTCCAGGCCAGCCTGAACATCCGTGATCAGGTTTTGTACCATTCCCAGGCCAGTCTGAACATCCGTGGTCAGGTTCTATACCATTAGTAGCACATTTTTTTAAATATTTTTATGTTGAAATCCTTTAAACTATGAATGGACTGTTCCAAATTAAAAGTTGGGCAAATCCATTACACAAATACAGAAGGTTGAGGGGTTAATAGTCTTTGAAACTATGCAGGCTTTCAATGTGACTTGTACAAATAAATCTTTTCAATATTTTTCAAAACTACACAATATATAATTATGCTATTCAAAAATCTGTAGAGGTTGAAGCACAAATACAAAATATCATAAATAAAACATCAAATTAATTTTTCAATCTCAATTTCTTTTCTTATCAAGATATAAAACATTCAAGCATAACAAAATGAAAATTATTGAATTCACCTCAACTGATAAATATCAAAACTCAAAAACACATAAATTGTGAATTGTTGTACAGAAAAGTTTTGTAAGGACTTGGATAAAAGCAAAAAAAGTGGTATAAATACGATTTAAATTATGCTTTCTGGCTCCTCAATAGATTGAATTATTTTTCAAGTCAACAAATAACTATGCTAATTCATAACCTGTTGTATATATTATAAATTTATTTGATTTTTATTTTTTTATTTATTTTTTTATTTGGTATTGCATCAAAGTGTAATCTTAAGGCTTAAACAGCTAAAAAGAAAACCTCCTTTACTCTACCAGTAGTAACAAAAGATGACAGCAATTAAGTTATATTGTTCAATAAGATTTACTTCTGTAAATACAGATCATAAAACTGTACTTACGTATCGTGAATTTTCAACGGAGATTTTGACATAACGTTTGTAGTTTGTCAGAGTAAAATGCCACTGCCTGACAACAACTATCCCCTAGCTACAGAATAATTTCCACTTTGAACATGTACGTGTGCACTATATTTAAGTAATGACTTAATGCGTTACCATTCCACAAAACTTCTCCTTTTTTTATTTTTCAAAACGAAATACAATACACTTTCTATTGTTTTATTTGTACTATCAAGATTTTATGATTAGCCACCTACTACTATTGTTATAATTCAATGGGAAAAGAATATAACAAAAATCATGCAAGTCTTTAGGCCCCGAAATTAGCATAAAGACATAAAACAGTCCTTTAATTTCTTAATGTGTATCCATTTTGATAGTTACTCTTGCCACATTATCACCTTCTCTGTCGCAACTATAGAACTGAATTTTTCTTTGATCTTATACTCTTGCACTATTACAAAAACAAAAATGTGCAAATGAAAAGAATAATCCAGTATAGACGTTATCTTGACAAGAGAGCTTGATAACGGAATAATTTTTCAGAAACGCTAATTGCGAATAATGCAGTATATCAATCAGGCAGGCGATAAGATTGATTTTTTACCGCCCAACCACTTACGGTTTCCTACGGACATTCTAATTACATGTATCAAATTACACTATGTGACATTACTAATCTCTATGACATGGGACGGGACAAATTCAAATGTCGAGAGGAAATCACAGCATTGACAATCGTGACATCAAAAAATCGGCTACGGTAATATAGCATTGAATAGGTCTTTTATCGATCTACACATAAAAGTGTTTATTTAATTTATCTGTAGTCAACGACACATGTAATCAATAAATAATCTAATCTGTTACTGCAAAAAATGTACATTCTTTAGTAAGAATAGATCTAAAGAAATGTTTAAATTACATATGTAAACATTGCAAACTGAAGTTGAAAGCTCTATTAAATGCCGTGTACACAAACCTTAAGAAAATATTTTTAAAAAATGTCTTTGAATGTTATAAAAAAATTTCAGATTCATTTTTTAGTTATATCTTTATATGATTTAAATGTTGATTCAAAATACCTTAGTTGTAATCAATGAAGAAAAAAGGAAATGTATTCTTTGTTTCTAACAATTAAATGCATTAAAAACATTTTGACCCCTGGCCCTGTATACTGCTAAATTTGTGTTAATGGTTTTGACCCACTTTGTAATTGGAAAAGTTCATTCTGATTTTGAGGGGTTTACATATCCATATCATAAAATTGTACCAACAAATGTATGGAGTCTGTTCGTTTAGGTCATTACTGTTTTTATGTGCTCTGAAAATTAAATTAAACTTTATATGATTTGATGTTGCATAGTTGTCCCCCGTGATCCTTTCTTTAATGGAATAATTTTCAAAATTTTAATTTTCAGAGCTGTGAATTTGTATTGAATGTCCTGTACTTTTGCATGAGATATCTTAGCTTGTATTTTAGTACAAAAATGATCTTGACTTATTTATGATCACTTCAAATAAAATATTCATTGTGCTAAATATTTTGTAATAATTCAACATATCCTGCTTCGAATTCAGAACATTCTACTGGAATTTCGATGAAAAAAATCTTTCGAAAAGTATATAATTGTACTGAGAACCGGTAATTATTAAAATGATAATGTGTATACTCATATATATATTATCATATAAAGATTAATATAATCTGATGATTTATTTTATAATATTTATTTTTTGCGCTAAGGTAGGCGTCTCAATGTAGATGTCTGTTTGGTGTGTTCCTTAATTATGAGGGTTGACCGCAAAACTGCAGTAACTTATATGTAAAGAAGAAGGACTTACAACAGTTTTTAGTCAACCCTCAATTTTTTGTCAACTGAGGAATGCAAAACATGTACTGGCAAAATCTGTTGTTTTTTTAAATCTTTCTTTCAATGTAAATTTACAAAAATCAAACAAATGGCAAAATCGGTTGTTTTTTATTAAAATCTTTTTATCAATGTAAATTTAAAACAATCAAACCAAGACCGAATCACCATGTCTTGAAGTTAGAGAAAACTTATACAGAAAAGTACATATATAAGCCATCGTATCTGCTTTTATCAGCGTATATAACTTACCATAGAGCTGATAAAAGTGAACTATATAGAGTAGAATCAATGAGCACTGAAAGTGTTAGGTCTGATAAAACGTGAATCAGTTATGAATACTGACCTTTCATCTTAGTGACAATCACCAAAAACAAACAAATTGTGGAATTTACTCCGCCAAACTATTGAACAAACCAAAATGTGTCTATAAAAGGCCATTTAAAGGAAATCAATGATAAGCCATCATTGGTAAAGTAAATTTTGAACCAGGTAGTCTAAGTGGCATAGTTCATAGATTTTTGGATGATTTGATGAAGTTTTTTTATTTTTTTTTTTAGGGGCATTTTAAAGGAAGTGTAATCATTGTTGCTTAGTGGTCATGGTATTTAAGTAAACATATTAAAAAATATTATCAGTTTAAAAAAACAAAACATTATGAGACAGGGTTTCAGCTGAAATTCTCCAGTTCCGCAAATGACGAAAAAAATATTTGGAAGTGGCAAAAAAAATTAGACTGTGCTTGCATTAAAAATACCCATAACATATTATCAAGTAAAACAGATAAAATTTTAAAAAGGGTTCAAATTAATGATAATAAATGCTCTTTTTCTGAACTGTAAAACTAAACTTTTGTTGATAAGATTTAATAAAAATCCCCCCAGACTTAAATCTGAGAAATTTGTAAATCACCTGGCTTGAAACATGAAAAAAATTCAAACAGGAAAAAAAATGTCAGTCAATTTTAAACAAGGAAAATAACTGAAATCACGTAACTTAAATCAGGGAAATATGTCAATCATTCAACTTGAATCAGGATAAAAAAATCTTTAATCAAATCTAGGGAAAATATAAATAACCTGACTTGAATGAGGAAAAATGTAAATTACTTGACTTGAAACAGAAAAAATATATATCTTAGGTCTAGCTCAGAGAAAAATGTGTATCACCTGACATGACTTGAGGTTAAATGTAAATCACATGACTTGAGGTTAAAATGTAAATCACCTGACATGACTTGAGGTTAAAATGTAGATCACTTGACAATGACTTGAAGTTAAAATGTAAATCACCTGACATGACTTGAAGTTAAAATGTAAATCACTTGACATGACTTGAGGTTAAAATGTAGATCACCTGACATGACTTGAAGTTAAAATGTAAATCACTTGACATGACTTGAGGTTAAAATGTAGATCACTTGACATGACTTGAGGTTAAAATGTAAATCACTTGACATGACTTGAGGTTAAAATGTAAATCACCTGACATGACTTGAAGTTAAAATGTAAATCACTTGACATAACTTGAGGTTAAAATGTAGATCACCTGACATGACTTGAGGTTAAAATGTAGATCACCTGACATGACTTGAGGTTTAAATGTAGATCACTTGACATGACTTGAGGTTAAAATGTAGATCACTTGACATGACTTGAGATTAAAACGTAATTCATTTGACATGACTTGAGGTTTAAAATGTAAATCACTGACTTGATGTAACTTGAATCAGGGATGATGGATGATTCAATCACACAACTTGAAAAAATTAAACATTGCTCAGTTAGTTGAATGGTGATCATCAGAACAAGCAAAAAACAGGAACATCTATTTTTAGACTTAGTGACAATGACCTTAACCTATAAAACATGAATCTTGACTTAAGAGAAGAGGACAATAAAAAGTACAGCCACCAAATATTTAAGATATATGTGCTATAAGAAATGTAAGTGTGACACAAAGATAGACTGAAGAAATGAAAGACAATCTTTAATGCAACTTTATACTCTGCTGCAAAATATCGAGGACCATGTCTATTATAATTTTAGATTGTGTATTTTGCTTTGTAATGAGTATCATACCTGCGGTATCTCCTGTCTAACTGTGCTGGTGTTGTATCTGGTGGTGTCGGAGTTGAATTCCGGTTCAATCCGGTAGTAACAAATATCGGACCTGGTACCAAACTGCTCATCTTTAAGTCTGGTCCCCGTACTGTATCACTCACTTACGGACAGATTCTATACGTTATGGTCACACCATTCAAGGTCTGGAAAAAAAACAGGAGAGATATATTTGCTGGTCCAATTGAACAAAGAACATATATATCTTAAAGTTTCACACCTCCAGATCAGAGTACAAAAATTTCAGAACATCAAATTTTAGAAAAATGAAATTATTCATATATTAATATATAATCTAAGTGATATTTTTCAGGTTTTATGCAATATACATGACATTGTATATTGACCTGATTTGCTATTTTCATCACCATATTTAGACCCCTTTTATTTACAATGTTTCTAAATGTCTTAGATTGAGAATTTCTGTATATTGTTGACACCCTTGAAGTTATTTTTGAAGAAATTAAGTGCCCTTTAGCCTTTACTATGCTGGTACCGAAAGTAATAAGCCTTTGCCTCTTTTAACATATTTTAAATTTTTGTCTTAATCAAAATTCTCAAAATTGAAAGTAAATAGTAAATAATATGGAAGCTTAAAAGGAGTCAATTTAATAAATTCAGCTGATACTTGTCAGGTGCTGCATGGCCAAGTGGTTAATGCGTCAGACTATAAATCTAATGATTGCAAGCCGCATGGGTCCAATCCCGGTCAGGGGCAACTGAGTTGTTTCCTTGAGCATGAACCTTTTACACTCATTGCTCAGTACTGGTTGGTTCAAGGAACAGATTGTGTGTCTTATAATAAGCTTATCAAAGTAAAATAAATTCTGGATAAACTAATACTTGACAACATTTTCTCATAGTAAAATGATATAATTTTTACAAAAAAATAACAGGAATATGGAGGTATACTGCTTTAATACTGTATCAGATTCTATCAACACCAATTCTGTTTAAAATTTAATCTAAAATTAAGGAAAAATTTATTATCTAAACAGGCAAACTTATTGAACAATAAGTTTTGTCAGGAAGATTTTTTTTTATTCATGTCTGTATTTTACAGGCCACTATTTAATCAATCTGATTAAAATCAGCTACTTAAAATAAGGCTTTACATTAGATTGTTATCATACAGAAATTGAAAATTTACAGGGACTCAACTGAGTGTGTGTTTTTTACATGATGGGACTGAAAATATATTTTTCAAGGTTTTGCGTACCATTTGATGAAAGTCTGGTTAAGTTTGCAGATAATTTGCTCACTCCAATTTTCTAGAATATTCAATTTTGAGCAAATGACCCAAAAAAAAGACATTGGCTTATATATGCTTTTAGCTCAAAATGGGCTGAGAATTGCATAAAAAAAAAATATTTTCGATTTAATTCTAAGAAAATTTTTTAATCATCTTTTGCATATGTTTCTACTTTTTAAGTGTTTTAAGTCATCTAAGGAAAATTAAAAAAAAACTTTTTATGTTATTAGGCTTTTCTTTTGGATTTTGAATGTCCTTTAAAAATTCTGTTAAATTTGTTCAATCAATTACTAGTATATCGTAGTTTAAATGAAAGCCATAAAAATATTTGACATGATAAAACAGCAGATAAATCATACCTACTCAAAACCCACCTTTAGCACCCTCGGTACTTCCCCTTATCTAGGGGTGTAAGTACCAGTGCAGTGCCAGTCCTACTCTGTTTAGTGCATAAAAATTCAAGGTAGTTAGTTCTCTTTTCTGATAGTTTAGAATGATATTTATCAAAAATTTCCAGAAGGAAAATCGCAGTTTGATCTGGTTGCTATTATTACATATGTATTTTTTGTCTCTACTCAAGAAAAAATATATATTTTGAGAGATTTAAGTGCAAAACTGTATGACCAGCAGTTTTGCTGAAAACAGCATGCATCTTGATAAAAATGTTTCACTTCATAGATCAAAGTCATTTTATCTCTTAAATTTGATCAAATTATATTGTATTGGTTGTTTGTATGTCTGTCGCATGCTGCAGGTGTGCAAATGGTACTTCAGGTGTGTGCCTTCTTTTAACTATGTTAGTTCAGTGCAGTGGTTGCAATGAGTTGTTACTTATTGTTGACAATAAAACATCTTTTGTCTCCGGCATTTTTCATATTTTATTGAAAAGCAAGGAACCATCTTACTGACATAGATATAACTTAAGGCGCACACATGCAGTACCATATATGCACTCTTAAAGCACTAGCCAAAAAGAATAAATAAATTAACTCTTTAACACCGATTCCATACTCGAAGCCATAGGTAATTGGAAATCATAACAAATCTTATTGGATCAACTTTGTAAGGTAATATGACTTTTATATGTAAAAATTAAAAAAAATAAGAAAAGTATTAAGCTTAACAATATATTAAGTAACATGGGTGGGCAAGTTTTGAACTTTACTCTCTTAAAATACATTCTATTGAGCTGGGAAAAAGAGAAATAACATGCACTAATAGTAGCCAGGTTGAATTACAGGTTAAAATTTTGGAAACTTCTTCAAAGAAATTATAGAAATCACCATAATGTAACATCACCTACCTTGAATTTTTAAATTTTAAATCACAATGATAGCACCGGAAATAATGACACCAATGTCTAAAGGTGTGAGTTGAGAAGGAGTGTAAGATCTTTAATTGAAAGTAATTTAATCATTAAAAAATCCATCAAAAAAAAAATCCACCAACAAAAAATCCACCAAAAAATAAAAAATATACCGAAATAAAATAAATCAGGAGTTTAGATATACTAAACTTACAAAATACACAAGTTTATAACCTTAACTGGCATTGAGGTATTTAATGATAAAGCATTAATCCATAGTTTATAATCCAATCCACTTAGCGAATATAAAACTTTCACATGAATAAGAAAGGATTTCTATGCTATTACCAAGTCAATCAATGCCTTTACACATTAAGATATAATGGACTTTATTCTTGAAGATATAATAGAGTACATTTAATATTTTTACCATACTTTAACCTTATTCATAAATGCATTTGCTAATAATTTCTATGCCTGTAAGATGTTCTTTTAAAGGGGCCGTCAGCTTTCATTTTCTGTTGGAAAAACAATTCTGTGCTGTTTCAAACTAAGAATTTCAGTAATTTTATCTTTGAAAAAAATAAAAAGCATCATTTCACTGTTAAGCCTATTCAAAACAGCGTCCCAAGAGCTATTTACAAGGTGTAAGTGCTGTTTGTTTATAAAAATATAAAATTAGGAAACAAATTGTCAGCTTTTTTTAGAATAAAATATAGAGAGCGGACCAGTAGATTAGATGTATCCAGGGGTTTCCATATTGTTTAATTTAACAGTACAGCCTGAAATTTCGTGCATTCACACCTGACTCTAATTTCATTGACTGTCCAATCCTTAACTTGCTGAATTTTTGTAATGTATTTGCCCTGTCTCACTGCCTTGAATTTGGTACAGTCCACTAGTTTTTGTAATGTATTTGCTCTGTTTCACTGCATTGAATTTGGACCAGTGAACAAATTTTTGTTATGTATTTTTCGTAAAGTTCCAAATCCAGGAAGTGGGTGGAAGAATGAAATAATAGGAAATAATAGTAAGTGGTGCCGACGACTTGTGTAAGCCAATTGAAAAGTACAG